TCCATTTTCTCTTGACCAGGTAAATGTTCCCAGTTCTTTCAACTATCACATAACAATTGTCAAACTATAGTTTTCATTGTGTCTTACATGTAAAAAACCTTATCCAAACCTCTGATGCAATGTGACTAAAGCAGGGTACGTCAATACTGTTGCTTCCTTTTTTCTAGATCTTGTAACTATTAAGATGCAATTATTTCTGCAGCCCAATTCATATCACCCTGTTGGGAATCAGAATCACAGTTAAGTAATATTGGTATTTCATTGTCAAATCTACTATAAATCCAGGTTTTCCCCATGCTGGACTCATGTAATAGATTGTTTTAGAAATAAAGGGGATTTCACATTTATGAGTATACAATCTTAGGGTTTTCAGCCTGCTGTGATTTTTGAATTGTCATTTTTTGACTATCCACCTTCACTGGGCTTATATTCTTTATATGTAGTAACTGTATTTAATTAGTGCATGAATGGAAATCGCATGAGGCCAAGAACACAGGACAGAAGTTAAGCCATCAGTTCTCTCCAAGTTGATAGATTTAAACAACCATGGTTATACTGGTGGTTCTCCAACTTCATCATGAACCAGAATCACCTGGAGGGCTTGTTAAAACAGGTTGCTGACCTTGTTTCTTTAGGAGAATCTGAATGTGATGAATACATTTTGGGTACCGTTTTGTTCAACCAGCTACCACTGCACACACCGTGAGATTTCTTACAGACCTTTTCATATGAGGTTTGGCCTGACTTATTCTTACGCTGGAGTTATACTGACTCCAAAGATATATTTTGTCCTGGTGCACAAATTAATTACATTATAGTTCCATTTCCATAATTTTAAAACTTTCAATGAGAAGGATAAAGGGTTCAATTTAGTTAGAGCCTAAATTGGCCAAGTCTAGTAATGCCAGTGTTGTTTCAAATAAATGTTTAAATGTCAATGTTGTCAAAGATTAAGTAAATTCTCCAGGAGAGATGTTGCGGGCTCCAAATAGATCTAAGTTCGCACAGCTCTCCTTTATAAACTAAGGGAATATTCAGCCTTCACAACTGGACAATTTGTCAGCAACAGACATTGAATTACAACTCTCAGGAGCTGACTGCACAACAGAAAAGATGGAGTTAGGGAGGGAACTTTCAAATGCCCTCGGGTGTTACAAAGAAGAAATATAGTTTCTCCTGCTGAAATCATTAAGACTCCACCCACAGAGTGAGATTTGACAGATTCTGATACACAGGACAAAGCAGTGGTCTATTAGCTTTTGATAATGAATACTGTGCAACTTGAGTATAGCAGCTGTTCACTGGCCCTCTTACCTCACCCCCAAATATGCTCAGATAACAATATTTTCACTTCATTTATTCCTTTAAAACAAGTCATTTCATACAGCATTTGCATATTTAAAATCATACACTTCATAAATAAAATTAATGCATCTTAATGGCAATGGCAATATCACATAAGAATTGTACAAAATAAAATTGGACATCTCCCAGGTAGCATCAGTGCACCAACTGGAAAAAAAAATAATAATACTGACAAACAGACCAAAGAACATTTTTTAAAACCACAAAGCACTGTCCATTTTCATTAAGGAAAATATTTTTAACAAGAAAACCAGAACTTTGTTCTGGTTCGCTCTTCCCTACTACTTTTTCAAGCCACCGTCCAAAGCTCTTGGCCTGACAGTCTTTGTGGTTTTCTTCGTGCTTCAGGTATTCCTCTTCTACTGCATTCATACAGAAAATATATCCTGCTTGACAAGCTATCCATATTTATTTTGTACCTTAAGCTGAATTCAATACTTTTTAAAAGGAAGGATTATTTTGTTGAGGAAATTGTATTTCCTGTAAACATCTTTAAGTCCTGAATGGCACCAAGGTGAACTGGAGAAATGGATGCCCTGGTCCTTTTAAGTAACTTCTGGGCTACAAACTACACATCCCACATCAGTTAGAAAGTCAGGCTTATGCTATCGTAGTAGACATCCTAAAGCTTTCTTCCGTTAATCTTCTTTTTTAACCTACAACTTCACCAAATCATCCCTAAACTCCAGTTGCAGGTTTGTATTTTTAAAAACAAGTATAAAAAGTCATCATACCAAAATGCTTATATTCATGGTTTTATACTTTAATGACTAGCTTTTCAGTTATGACCCTGCTACATTCTATGCCAGGCGAGAAGACTTAAGTTCACACAAAGGCATTGCTTGAACATTTTTCCAAAAAGCATAACTCATGACTAGGAAAGCAGCCATTTGAGGGCCCCTTCTGTTTAAGTGGTACTTTATCCTCCCACCCCTTTGTCCCTTCACTCTAAAACAGCACGGGAGGGCTAGCAATCTCTTTGAGAGTCATATGAACCAAGACTGAAATCAGCACCCCACAATTCAATTATCAATGAAGTCATTTCTTCAAACTCAAATATGCTAAGCACTATAAACACATTACCAGCCAATTTTTGCAGAAGAAAAAAATAAATAAAACCTTTTCCTACAGTCAGGAAAGCTTTACATTCTAAATTGGATGAAATGTGCTGAAATATTATAACTTTTAGTTAATATTATCTTTAGTTAGTAAATAGCTTATTCAAATCAAGTGTTTCACTGTAGTCTTAAAAATGTTGCTTATTACGTATGATACTTTTAAGGCCTCTGACTCAAAAATCAGCTCCCTTAAAATAAGTTTGCCTAGAAACAAAAGATGAGTCTTTTCAAAGTTGTTACAGTCATCTTTGTGCTGTAAGAACAAATTTGAATACTGCATTGTACAATGAACGATAAAGAACAATCACATTATAGAATTAACATTTTGAATGCTAGGGCACAGAGCATGCTCCTAATAGTTACTGAAATTGTGTGCTGTTATCAAAACACCAGAATGTTGTACCACTGGATACACTATACACTGATGGTATTTGTTAATTGTGAGTAGTTGATTGTAAGCAGCTCAAGAATTATATTTTAATGTCTTTAAGATTCTTGGAGAGGGCTAACATGTAAACTTTTATTTCTTATTTTTTAAAGTGCTGTAAATAATAACAAATGCCTATTTCAACACATGATTGAACATAAGTCTTAATACATGGAAGTTTAGGAAGGTCATATAATTCGTAAAGAAAAAAATCACTCTGCCGCTAATCTTGCATATTTCTTTTTCTAAATTTTTTTTTTCCAAAAAAGACAGAGAAAACTATGTTTAGCTAGGGTAGCCTGCAACAGCTATGTTTTAAAGCCTACATAGGATAAAAAGAATAGGCTTGATAAGCAGATTAGGCATGTACAGATAATTCATTCCTGATTGATTTTGTAATAATCATGTAATAATCAAATGGCATGACTACATTAGCTTTTTCCAATAGGGTCAAGCTGACCAGCAGCCAAATTCTCAATGTACCCATTTTTCATGCATGGGAAATAATTTTTAAAAATCAACCACAGACATTAACAGAAGATGGTGTCTTAATGTGGCTATCACCATCAAAAAATTATCAAGGATATAATTTTAGCTTCTGAAATCACTCTCTCTCTAGGAAGTGCAACTTTATAGCCCTACACCTAATTTTTAAATCCAAAGAGTAAGGCAAAGAAGAATAATGGAAAGGAGTGGGGGATGGGAAAGTACAATCTTCATTCAGCCACTAATGTAAACAGTTTTCATTTTAATTAAAAAAATATTATTGTATGGCAGTCAAAAACAATGACTAGGAAGAATGGTTTCATTCTGCTCAAGCACAAATTTAAGAAAGTTTCTTTTAATCCCACTGCAAGTACTAAATCCATAGGTTTTTAAATTCTCAAGAGTAGAATCTACACATTAATAAAGTAATTTCAAGAGTTTAATAAGTACAGTAACAAACTATAAATTCTGTGAGGCTCATAAAATTGAGTTTAGAATGAGTACAAGCTTAGGTTTTTAATCCTCAGCAATTAAGTCAAATGCTGCCATTTTAAATTTTCCATGATCAGAAATTAAAGTTCTAGTGCTGAATTTCAGCTGCTGATCAATTTTAAAAAGCCATTAATGACAGCAATGTCAGTTTCCCATTGGTGAATGGACAACTTAGACAACAGTAAACTAAAATAAAATAAGGTCCCCTGAACAAACACTTGACACTTGCTATCAAAACATAAGTTTAGGCCAGGACCGGTTTGGCTCAATGGATAGAGCGTCGGCTTGGGGAATGAAAGGTCCCGGGTTCGATTCCGGTCAAGGGCATGTACCTTGGCTGCGGGCATATCCCCAGTAGGGGGTGTGCAAGAGGCAGCTGATCAATGACTCTCATCGATGTTTCTGACTCTCTATCTCTCTCCCTTCCTCTCTGTACAAAATCAATAAAATATATTTAAAAAAAAACACACACAAAAAAACACACATAAGTTTAGATATACTACCAAAAAAAAAAAAATTTAAATAGAGGGGTTTAATTTTATAAAATATCAGGTTCTTTTTCTATTTGCTAACATAACCCAATGCAGACAGAGTATACTCAATTTTAAAGTGACAGAAGTTTATGTTGGGAAACACATCAATAGATGTCCGGTACCTTATAAGTTACTCAATAAATATTTGTTGAATGAATATACTTCTCTAAAATTCCAGTTAGTAAATGTCAACTTTGGCTCCTGAAGTACCTAAGAAAGGAAGGAAAACAATTTGATAGATGTTACCCAGTAGTATACTCTTCACTTAGAATTTTAAATTTAGTATTTTCTGGGAAAAAGAACAGATAGAAAAACCTTTTAGACTGGAGGACAGACAGGTACCAAGAGATTTTCAATCATATTCATTTGTACACATTATGATTGCCAAACATTAATGATCACAAACTTACAAGTGCTATTTTTAAGGCTCTGTAAAATAGAAAATTAAACACTTAAGTTAAATTAAACACCATAGCAACTTTTGCCTAAAGAGGCTATTCACATAAAAAGTACTAAAAAAAAAAGGTCATCTAATGATTTCCTGTATATTTTGTGACTTGTTTCTTAAAGATACTTTTCCCCTACATTGCTTACATGTTCCCTAACTTAATATGGCTACCTCCACCAAGGGAAAGTGCTAAAAGTAAATCTCAGTTGTGTAACATTTGTCAACAAGATATGGTGAAGAAGATTTTAGTGCTTGCAAGTATACCATTTTAGTGTTTGCAAGTTTTCTAAGTGAGATACTTAATAAAAATGAGACCAAACTAACAAAACGTCACAACATTAAGCCTCTTCACATTATGTGAGCTAATACACATCAAATTAAAATTTAGCATCCCTGATCATCAGAAGATTCATGAAAAGAGGTAGAAAATTTTTCATCTGGAAGATCTCATAGAGTGAAGCTAAGTTTTAGAGGGTTTGCTTTAAGGATTAGCCCACCAAGCAAATGGCTATACATCTAATTAGGAAGAAGCTTATTCAGGTAAGGCAACAGTTTTAAAACTGTCATATTTTGGAAATGAAACTAACTCATTCACATTATTATCCCAATTACTTTAAAACTCTTCAAAAGTCCAAGTAAGAGATCAAGATCATCGATAAGCAAAGTTATATTCTGCAGAAAGGTGAAATTATTAAAAGAGCATTAGTGGCAGGATAAGGCTAAGATAAAAACATCATGTTTAGATAATCAAACATCTACCAAAACCCAAACCAAAGCGTAATCATTAGCACTTTAAAGAATTTTTTTTTAGAAGTTGGAGGAAGGGCTCTTAAAAAGCTGAGGAAATTAAACCCCTTTAAATTTTTGTGTAAAAAGGCAAAATTCAAGCATTCAAATTTCAGTTAAAAAAATATCCTGCTGAACTAAAATTTATCCAATGGGACAAAGATTAATAAAGGAGTTGCATTAAAACACGAGGCAATGGTCTTTGAAAGCTTCAGCAAGCTGCTCAGGCACCTTATCCCTCATACATTCTATTTCTCCACACTAAAAACCCTAAATTGGGCACCAGCAGTTCCTGTTTTTAGGTAACATTCTCAGGGAAAGACTCATCCCTGTAAAAATTGCTTGTATTTGTAACTGGTTAAGCACACATTTATCAAATCTACCAAATTGCAATATAAATAAAACCAGTTTTGACAAGTCTGTGCATCTTCTTTTGGGGAATCAATTCATAATTTAGACACTATTAACTCAAGAGTTTTTAAAAGGACGTATTACTGGAGACACTGTGGTTTCTGTCCTTCCGCTTTTCCCCAAACAGGCAGCTGTTTTCTTCTACACGTTAACGCTGCTGGGTGCTAATGTACAAAATGAAAACTCAATCTTCAGGTTAGTGACAGTAGGTAGGAAGGACCACCTATTCTGTTACCCCCAGCACGAAGAGGGCACGTATCACCGCTGTAGACACATCTGTAAACTTGCACACTAATTTTAATCTTAACAAGGAATTTCAGTGCCTTTGTGGTTTTAAGTTAAAAGGATGATTCAAGCATTGTGTGTCCTTGGTTTTTTAAGGTTACAAATAGCTTATTGGAAAACCCAGAACCTTCTGGATCTGTGAGGTAGTAGGCTTCAGTCCTCATCATGCATAGATCACACTTCTCCGAAGTTGGTATGGCCCGTCTCCTTGGCATGTTCTCTTGCTTCTGCTTGTCCAGTTAATCCCTTTTGACATATCATGCATCTCAGGGTGAAGCGGTTGACATCGGTAAACTGTCTCTTTCTTTTAGCTTCATCTGCTAATTCCAGTGCTTGTACCAGGACAATATCATCATTCGAGGAGAAGATGGTCAGAGGAGGGGTGTCCGGGTCAGGGAAGTTACGTTGGAGCGGGTCATAGTGGACACCGTCATAAATAAGCAGGACCCTTTTGGAGTATCCTGCGTCTTCCCCAAAACGGTCAATCCTCACTGTCTGGGTATCCACCACACAGATTTCGCATTGGTAAAATTTAGACAGAATGGATATTTCAATAGCTCCTCCCCAAGTGTCATCCCTTTTGATCCATTCACAGTACTCTTGATTTGTTTTGCCCAGGATGGCTTCGCTGTAGAAATCTGGATCACTTGCTACGATTCGTGCTATGAGGCGTCTCATCTCGGGGGCGCAAGCTGGGTTCAAGACCCCTCCTTCCACCACATAGTACACGCTGGTAAAGAGGCAAGAGTTGTCTGCTGGGACCATGGTCCTGGTGAGCACGGGCACAGCTTCTCTGCCATAACCAGGAGCACCGTGTCTGGTAAATGCAGGGGAGGCATGGGGCCTGGCTTGGTCTTCTTCAACGATCAGCATGTCGCCTGTTAAAAGGAAAACACATCCAGAACTGCCAAGAAATTACAGATGAAGTCAAGTCTGTTAATTACAAACAGAAGGAGCTAAAGTATATAAGCCGGGGTTACTAGGGAGCATACAGCTTGGCAAACAAGTGACTACCAGCTAATACTGTTTGTTCACTGGATCTTCATAAAAGCTCAAGACAGCCGAAACCGGTTTGGCTCAGTGGATATAGAGTGTCAGCCTGCGGACTGAAAGGTCCCGGGTTTGATTCCGGTCAAGGGCATGTACCTGGGTTGCAGGCACATCCCCACTAGGAGGTGTGCAAGAGGCAGCTGATCGATGATTCTCTCTCATTCATGTTTCTAACACTCTATCCTTCTCCTTTCCTCTCCGTAAAAAATCAATAAAATATATATATTTTTTAAAAAGCTCAAGGCAAACAAAGACCAAACATCTTAGGCTGCAACCCAATTCTGCGAAGGGGTGAAGCACTTTCACAGTTTCTTGAAAAGGTACATTTCAGGAACAAAATGTACCTTATGCTTGCTCCCGGTATTTAAAAATCACCCATCTTCCACAAGCTGTTTATCACGATCTAGGCCACTAGGGGGTTCTCTCTCCTTCTGAAAGTTATCCAGCCTGTTAGCTGTTTACAAGATCCCCGATAAAACAGCAGAAAGCTTTTCCCGATCAATATTGCTACTCCAGGCTTAATGCTTGGATAGAAATAGCTGCTGCTGTTTAGCACCTGACAGGGCCTTTAGTTAGTGGATGTGTAAAAGCGAACCCTACAGTGAGGACACTGCCAAAGGCGGTATCTGTGAAGGTGATGGCAAACACAAACCAGGGAAGCAAGCAAGAAAAGCATCTGCATCCTCCAGACCTGCTACCTTCTTTCAGTGATAAAGAGCCATCAGGACAGAGAAAACGGGTCCTACTTAATGTATGCTTTTGTGGATGCTGAGGGGAAACAAAATGAATGAGATGTTTTCAAGACAGACTAGAAAGCAGTGTGAGGAAGGAGGGAAGGGGTACACTCAAAGGCTTGGAGCTTCTCGCATGGGCTGGGACCTCCTTGTCTCTTTTCAGCGTGTCCCGGCTTCCGCCCGAGTTCTCCGGGCTTCCATCTCCCCTTCGCCTGGTCCTCAAAGCCCCTGGCCGACCCTCAGCCACCTCGCCTTTCCGGGCTGCTCTCCCTCTCGCCCCTTGCATTCGTTCAAGGGTTTCCCCCCCATCACCACCCCCTGGCCCCAGCCTCGATCCCCTTACCTGACTGGATGGGCAAATCCCCCAGCATGGTATCCCCATTGCTGAGGTCCAGGCACTCGGGCGGGTATCCCACGAGGATCCGCTGACAGTCGGGGGCGATCCCCGTGATGGCAGCGATTTGGCCCTGGAGCTCCCGCAGCCGGGTCCGGCTGGACAACTCCTGCAAGACATAGGTGCCGTCCTTGGCTTTGCAGCGGAGCCGCCACATCGTGTCGGTCCGGCCACCCATGGGCCTGACAGCCGCGGGGCCACCAGCCTTGGTCCCGGCAGCAGGATGGCAGGCGCCGCCGGGGCAACCAGCCTCCGGGCGGACTCCAAAATGGCTACCCTTCGCCGGGCCAAACATCGCGAGAACTCGCTGGTGGGCTACTGTTTCCGCGATATTATTTCGGGGCAGCGGCGTTTCCACACTTAGAGAAGAGCGGGTTCTCTTAAAGCGACAACGAGTTCCCCCACCCCCTGCCCCCCATCAGCAGCCGGAAGGGTGAAGACTTATCTATATTTCTAAAGAACAAAAGGCCTCGCTGCTACCTGTAGATCAAGTGAGGTGCCATCCCAATCGGCCGCATATATGCTCAAGGCGAGAGGGCGGGGACGGAGCTCCTGAATCCAGTACATTGGAATGTGATCTTGCACTTAGCTGAGGTCGGAAATGGTTAAATGGGGGCTTCCGCGCTACACCGGGAGAGGGAGAGTCATGGTTCAGGACGCAAATGAATGCCAAGAGTGGTCAGTGAGTCAAAGGGCCTGCCAGAAATAACCAGATGCTCGGGAACAGACTCATGGCTGCAGCAAACATGGACTCATCGAGGTTAAGGGGTGACTGGCCTTCCCACCTGCGGGAGGCTGTGACCTGAAAACGTCCATTGGCCACATCAGAAAGCTCAGTATGAGGTCAGACTCATCCTGGGCTTATTGCCCTCGGCCCCCCAGGGCAATTGCTACACCCAGGGAGGTGGGTGGCAGCGTGGAGGACTTCATGTGTGTCACCCACATTCCAGTTCAGGCCCCGAGTATACAAATAGGAAGATGATTTTTCCCTCCCTGCCTTTGAGGATAACGAGTACTGTTGTCGAAAGAGAGGGTGGGGTGTAAGGGACTCATCGCCACTGCATTTCACAGCAGCGTGAGAATGCTAGATAATGGGACCCCTTTCAAACCCTGCATCCCTAGAACCAACGGCTGTGTCTAGCAAATAGATGCTCGGCCAATACTTGCCGAATGGATCTATAGTCGCAGAGGGCAAACTATCATAGACTGGGAATTGTAATAGGGCTTCCAAGGGAAATACCATTAGAGCTGTTTGAAGGAAGATTTTTAACCTCCAGCTGAAGGAGACATAAAGACATCTCTGAATTTTACTTCTCTTGCAAGAAATTCATACTCGTTGTCCTTTTTCCATCCCCATAGAGCAGTACGCCCAAACCTGCGTAGGGGGGGGGAATGGGGTTTATCCACAGAATCCAGCGCACGTGAAAAGTTTGAGATGTGCAAACTCACCTCCACTGCACAGACCTCTACCTCTGAATGAGTTATAGGTAACCTTTGACTCTTTTCACGCCTCTCATGACCCATTTTCCTGCTGGAGCCGTTTTCCTCTTTGGTTCTTCAAGATGACCATAACAGCAGGTACAGTGTGGGAGGCAGGAGGGGGCGTAATCAAGGTGGTAGACAGACGTCCATGGAATAAGTGGATGGATCCAGAGAAGTTCGCGGTTCAGCACTTAGTTGGTTTTCTTCATTTAGAAAGTCTCAACCTCTGAGAAAGATATGCAAACACCCTCAGCTGTCATCCGCTCGAGAGCGGAGGCTCCAGGAGGAAAGGGTTAACCTCCCCAAAGTTTTGGTCTTTCAAGTCACACCCACTCCCGACGGCTTTGTTCACACTCTCGCGAGAGTATGCAAAAACCGAGATACCGCTTTTAACAAACCCCACCCCCAGCCTTGTTAGTTGCCTAGCAACGACGCAGCCAACCTCCGCCCGTGCGGGGCAACTTGGGAACTCGCTCTCTTTTCCCCTTCACGGCGCCGTCCTCCTCGGGGAGCCTGCGTCAGCGAGTCCGGCCGGAGCCCCGCCCCCCCGGAGTCCGCGGGCGCCGATTGGTCGAGGATTCTCTCCAGGTGAGGACCAACGTGGGGGTGGGTGGAGCCAGGCGGGGGCACTTGAATTGCGAATGACTGACTGGTAGTGCCGGGCCCCAGGCCACCGTGTGTGTGTGTGTGTGTGTAGGGTAGGCTGGTGTCTGCTTCGTTCCCCGGGGATCTGCCGGGGTCACTGCCGGGAGGGATCTTGGGGATCACAGGGTGAGCGACAGCTGCACTGCGCCAGGCAGAGCCGGGGAGGGCGGGAGGAGGGGGACTGCCGTACAACCCGGAGGAGGTGCGAGACGGAGGTGCCCGGCTGTTTCTGGGAAGTGCCGGCCCGGAGACGTAGCCCGGAGTGCGGACCTCCGGGGACTTGGATCGCAGCAGGTGTTTGGGTGGGAGGATCTGCGTGGTCAGTGGGAGCACAGCCAGTGCCAGGTATTTAAAGCCATAGGACCTTCCTTCCTCACGAATTTCTTGTCAGGGTTTGGGAGGGGGTGGTGGTGTGCGCTCGGGGGCTCTCCCACCCCAGTTTGAACTGATCTGATGACACCTTAGGGTGTTTACATCCCCTTAATTCTGTAGGTGACCTTGAGGAAGTCATTGACCACCTCTTTTGTGCCCCCAAGGTTCCTTCTGTAGACCTTGTCCCGGGGATAGATGGGGAGACGGTGCAGAGGTTAGGGCTTGAGGATAAGAGTTCCAGAGGAGACATGGTGACGAGCGAAAACGGGGAGTCTTGTCCAGTTACAATGTTTTCTTAACGAAACACGTTTGATATGTTTCCACTTTCTCATTTTTCCCCCCAGAACTGAATCCTACCATTGGACTGCCATTAGTTTGTGATAATGAACTTGATCTGTTCTCAACCTCCCTCCCCCACTTCCCCCGACGGCTGCCACTACTCTCCCAGATTCTTAAACTAGAATTTGAGACCAGATAAGCCACATCATTTGATTGACCTCAGTTTTTCAATCTGTAAAATGGGAAGGAGTAATAATGGTACTAAAAATCTGCCTTATTGCAGGAATATTGGAAAGAGTGAAGGAGATAATTGATGTGCATGTTACTCCTAAATCAACATTATAAATGCAAGATTCTAGTGCTCTCTATTTATATGCAGATGAGGAAACCTAGGGCTCTGGGTTCACGTCTTGTCCTAAGGGCCTGTAGCTATTAACTGGGAGGAAGAGGGTTGGATCTTTTCACTTACACCACCCGGATCCTCCTCACCGTGTGTTTTGAAGGATGTCTTCTCCCTTCCCTCCTTTACATTCCCCGTTGTCCTTTCCAGACCCCTGAAGAGCCGCCATGTCTGAGGATCCTGCACCTTCCTCAGAACAGAGCGACAGCAGCTGTCAAACCAAAGCCTCAAGTCTCCGCATGTCCGAGAAGAAATGTTGTAAGTTCTGGCCAAAGGGAGGGCTGTGCGCTCCCAGAATTTTATCTCGGGAATATAGTTGTAACCTAGCCTTGGCTGCTTGGTGGGAGTGAGAAGTAACTCTTTGACATGGGAGTGGAAGACAAAGTGTGCGAGGGGGAGTTCTAGTGTGAAAAAAGGAGACTCAGGGAAACAAACGACTGTCCTTGGGGCTAGCCAGCGGGTGGAGCCCAGCCTTCCCTTACTGCTTTCTCTCCCCAATCTCTGTCTCCTGGGGGTATCTGCGCACTGGATGCTAAAAATTGGGGCAAGCATTAGCCGTACATGCTGGGAGGAAGGCGGAGGGACCCTGTGCAGGAATTACTTGGGGTTGACATTGTTAACAGTTTCCCTTTGTTTTTCTTGTGAGGGGGCTGCCCACTGGGGACATTGCAAGTAGGAACAGATTTCGACAGCCCTCCGTGGAATCAGCCCTGACCTTAGACTTCTCCCCGGGTCTTGGGCACCTTACTTTCTCACAGGTTGAGCCTTTGAACTTTGCAGATTATGTTCCTGACAGATTCATTTTTTGGGGGATTTTTTGGGGGACAGGTTTCACAGGAGTTTTTTTTATGCTAGTTATTTAGACAGAGGTGGCTTGTGGGATGGCAGAGAGATGAAGCAGTTGTGGTCCTAAGCATTATTATGGACCTCAGCAGTGCAGAGGGTCAGGAGGTTCAGAAGGTCCTAGGCCTCTGGGCCCTGGATGTCTTGGGGAACCTAAAGGAATGTCGATCCTTCTTTCCCTCTGTGTTCAGATTGCATTTTTCCCATCAGTCAGTCTTCTCGTTTCAGTGATTACATGTATTGGCAGGTGGAAACAGCCCAGCAGCAGGAGACCTGGGATCATCTTGTGTTCAAAGCTTTCCCCAGAGTCTCAACCTTGATGTCATGCCCTTTTCGGTCTCATGATGAATGATAATAATCTCTTCACCCGGCGCCGATGAGGCTTGCGGGATTTGGGGTTATAGCGGGGGCAGGTGGTTTGGATGTGATACTGGGGTTGGCATACCTCTGTGATTAGGGTCACCTCTCTCTCTGCCAGGGCAGAAACTTAGGTACCCCGGGCAAATACCCCATGGGAGATAACCAGCATAAGTGAGATGTTTTTCAGGGCAGCCTCTAGGGTAAGAATCTCTACGTTTGAATCTGGGATTTAATACTTCGTGGCTGTGTGCACTCGAACAAGTTGCTTATCCCCTTTGTAAAATTAGGGTACTAATAGCATGTCCCCCCGAGAGTGATGCAAGAATTAAATGAGTAAATATAGGAAAGCGCTTAGAAGAGTGTCGGGCACAGAGCTAGGTGTATTATTTTCACCGGCAGCTCTGTCTGCATGTTGTGTTTATTCTAGAAACATATAAATTGAATTGTGGTCTAAATGCTGCGATGGGAGCTCTCTATTTAAAAGAAGCCGGTGAAGAATTATATTTTCAGTAAAGAATATTTTCTCCTCTTATTCGACAGTATTGTAGCCCAGATTTTGGGGTTTGGGTGCACATTTTAAGAAGAGGCGCATTGATTCACAAGGGAACAGAGAGCTGTCCATGTGTGGGGAGGAGTTGATGGATCGTGGGAGCCTCTGACCCTGCACCAGGCCCAGTGTCTGCTTTATTCTCCAAAGGAATCTCCTACCTGCCTTCCTGTCTCTGGGCAGTTTTCTGCCCCGAAGGCTTCTGAGTAGCCAGGAAACAGCACTTCCAGGTTTCTAGCCCCCTGGGCTCTTGATCCTGGTTTGGGATCCTATCTGATCCTCGCAGCTCCTCCCTCTGCCCCACTGGAAGCATTTGGGTTGTCCTAAAGCCACTGTCCTTCATTTGCCCCATCTCTTCTCGCTTCCGGTTGGACTATGAAACTGTTACGGTCAAAGGAGAAATACGGTCATGAGGATATGTGTTAATTCATTTCCCTTTCCTCTGTTATTTGCCTGCATCTTGGAACAGGCTCCTCTGGCTGCTCAGGGTTCATACCCAGCGGTTCCTTTATTAATAGCTCAGCCATTATCCCCTCGGTGCTAATTACACCTGTGTTGGCTGACTTGGGCTCTGTGAAGTGACTGAGCTGGGGATTGAAGGATTACTGTAGGGAAGTAAGCCCCATAGGGTGGGGTGAAGGAGAGTGCTGATGGCTGAGTGCCTTCAAGGTGCGCAGAGGACTGCTGCCAGGGCTCTGAAAGCAGTAGTGTGTGTGTGTGTGTGTGTGTGTGTGTGTGTGTGTGTGTGTGGTGAGGGGGTCTACATGCTTTTCTTTCTTTGTTTCATCTATTCTCTACTATTGTGAGTAAGTCTGGAACAGACACATTCCCATGTATACTTTCCCTAATGACCAAAGCAGCACATGTTCATGAAATATTCAAACTGTACAGAAAGAAACTGATAAGTAAAGAAATCTCCCACAATTTCTCTGTCCCTTTTAAGTTTGCTTCTTTCTAACAAGTTATTCTGGTTTGTTATTAATATCCTATTAAAGAAAAAAAGGTTCAAGCTGTACACTTTGGTTCTGCTGCTATTATCCCTCTCCCCCACACCCCCTTTTAAGCTTGCTATATCTTGGACATTTCCTTCCATGTCAGTCAATCCAGATTTACCTCATTCTGCACAGGATTGCATTGTATGGATGTGTCAGTCTCCTCCTGATGGACATTTCCGTTTCCAATTTTCCACTGTCACAAACAATACTGCAGTGAGCATCCTTTCACAAACACACACACACACACTCACACTCACACACACACACTTTTGCATGTTTGTGCTAGCAACTTTTCTATAGAAATAATGGAAGAAAAGATAGATACATTTAAACTGTTGATCAGCATGACTGTCCTACAAAGTTCTGTAAACTGTTTTAATATGTAATAATTAGTCATTATTAACTATAGTTGCATTGATTCATAGAACAATGTTCTTAGCAGTTTGAGTATTTCATACCCCTTAGTCAAATAGTAGAAGGAGAGAATTGTCAGTTTTATGACTTCTGATGAGCAAAAGAAGATATTACTAACGAAACCCACTTTAATGGGCAGCATATTTCAAGAATGTTGGATCTCCTTAGGGCAAATAGTGAACACGACCTTGATCATGAAAAGGCTGGGAGCCATTGGCCTTCCAGGCCACCCTGCAGGATTGGATTAGAAAGCTTGGTTGTGCTGACCACATGGCTCCTTGGTCAGGTGCTGACCAGAGCTGGAGGCTGGGACTGAATGGGTGGACATGAAACCAGGATTCCGGTCAGAGCTCTGACCTTGATTCTCTCTCTACTGTGGGTCATGCTGAGCTTGAGTTTTTCTGTCTATAGGAGGGAAGTCACCAAGCCTTCATTTCCTCTTTCCCATGAGTGTGTTCATGAAAGGAAAATAAGTTTAAGATCGAGAAAGTGAGTTAAACCTTGTGTAAAGAAGATAGAAGAGTCAAGATTGAAACGGCCTTCCATGATAGGCCAATGGGCATGTTACATTGTCTCTGAAATGAATCAGCATGAAGTGTCTACTACTGAAATTCAAGTAGTGGTGGTGGTGCTTTTTAACTGGCAGGACAGTCTGTTCCCGGTTCTGCTAATGTGGCAGTTTGAGGCAGGAAGTGTGGAAAACGAGAAGCCCGGGTTGCGGCAGATGTTTGTGGGTGGATTGTGGGCAGAGGCAGGTGGTGCGGTGGGGGCTGCTGTGGGGAGACATTAGTGACCTGTATTTTCTTTTGTTCCGAGCCCTCTTGTCCAGTTTGGTTTACACAGAGCAGCTGGTTCCTTCGTTGGTCTCAGAGCAGCTCCCAAGTATCAGTTTATTTTCCGCATTAGGAGGGTCACAGGACGTGCCTAATGGGCTGGAAGGTGTGGACAAAGCAGGCCTGGAAGTGCAGGTAATGAGCCAGACCACGGGGGATGGAGAAGAGCGAGGCGCTGAGTTGGAGAAAGTGAAGACTCAGGAGGATTTAAATACTGAAATCCCAGGTGGATAGATTTGCCTGTTGGGGGGTCAGAGGTCAGGGATAAACATCAGCTGAGGATGCTGGGTGAGTTCTCTTGCTTTTGTGCTACAGATGTGATGAGAGATGAAAATCACTTCTAGTGCCCAGGGCCAGGAATTGTCTATGTGCCAGGCCCTCTGACCCTGAGCCCACCCCTCCCTCACCAGTTGGGCCGCTCTTTGGCTTCCGTGTTCTTGCCAAACACCCCTAGGAAACTCTTCCTTCCGAGGGCTGTTCTCTACCCGGGCCCTTTTGCCCACTTCTCCATTGAGCTCTTTTGACATTTCTTTCCCAGAAGAAAATAGATGACTTTCCACCCACGTACCCCAATTTTACAGAACTGTTTCTTAGCTTTATGGGGTCCCCTTGTCCCGGGTTAGAACAGTGGCAGTGACTTGCAGGGCACCCCCTGGAAAGCAGTGTTGGGAAGTGAAGGTGCTTTCCCTCTCTGGTCCCTGTGCCCTTAGAGGAGCCCACAGAGCCTGAGCCTCCAGATGACCTCCTGCGGGTCTAGGCCTAAGAAAGTGGCTGGCAGCCGTGCAGGGCCCTTACCCATCACTCCTCCAACAGCAGGATGGGCAGAGAGGAGCCAGATCCTATGGGCAAGCTAATGAGAAGTCACAGGCTCTTTTTAAGGAGAAAAGCCACCGAGGAAACACGAAATCTGGACTGTAGTACCAGCTCTTCCCTGTCTTATTGCATGTCCATAGGCAAGTCACTGGGCTGACTGAATATCTAGTTTGCCCCCCCTTCCCCCCACTCCTGTCCAGTGAGTTTATAAATGAGTATTCCTGAAATAAGTTTCCTAAGGAAGCCTGGACCAATGACTGATCTTGCTTCTAAACTGTCTTGCTTTCTTGTGGGCCATTGAGGCAGGCTGGCCATGATGCCCCTGTGGGCTAAGCTTTACTGAAGTTTTCTGAGGTCTAGTCAGAACTTATGTCAAGTAGGCTTCTCCACAAGCTAATCTCTCTTAGAAATAATGGCTTAAGCTCATGTCCCAAGTGCAAGGCCGAGACAACTTGAAGCCAGGCTCTTTTTGTGGTGGGCAAGCTAGTCCTTGCCCATGGCTCTGAAGGGATAGATGAGATACTCAGCTTAGACACTCAGTTGGACCTATTATAGGAGCCTGCTCAGTTCTAAATGGGTAGGATCTCCAGACATAAGACCCTCCTTCAAAGCTAGGTCATTCTTGTGTTAGGCAGGGTGCCATCCTTACTGTCTATATTTCTTTCCACCTTGGGTACCTCTGTGAGACCTTGGACCTATGGGGAAAACATGTCTTCATGTTCTGGGGACTTTCTGAAAATCGACATGACTCTTCAACTCTTTCAGGAGGGTTTGCCTGATAAATCACCAGTTTGCCTTCCCAGTCTTCCTGGACCCTGGTCTCACTGAGGTGTTTGAAGATTAAATGAGATTCTAGCTATGAAGTTACTAGCCCTGTGCACGAACCTTACTTGGCCCCTAATCATTTAGCTGTATTCTGTCTCATTTCTTTTTTTAAAAACTTTTAATTAATTATTTTATTTCTTTATTGATTAAGGTATTACATATTTGTCCTTATTCCCCCATTACCTCTCCTCCACCCCCCTGTTGTCTGTGTCCATTGATTAGGCTTATATGCATGCATATAAGTCCTTTGGTTGATCTCTCCCCCTTACCCTATTCTGTCTCATTTCTCTCTAGCATGGGCATCCTACATGACCAACTCCCCGACTCTCATCGTTATGATTGGCTTGCCAGCCCGGGGCAAGACCTATGTGTCCAAGAAGCTCACACGTTACCTCAACTGGATCGGAGTGCCCACCAAAGGTAGGCGTGGGTCGTCCATTCTTTGGGAATGAATCTGTTCCTGCATTTCACAGGCCTCTGCAGGATTTGGTCTTCCTCGCATCAAGGTTACAGGGTGCTTCTGGCAGGAGTAGGTGTTGCTTCTGGATTTGCTGAATTTATTCTTGTTCATTCTTATTTCCTCCTGAATATATATATGATTCTATCCTCAGTGCCTTTGATGGCACACACTTTACATTGTTAAAGCTCTTTCTATATGTCATCTTGTTTAGTCCTAGCAGTGCCCCAGTGAAATAGCAGAAGCGCCTGAGGAAATTGAAACTGAGACAGCTTAAGGCTTGCCCAAGGTCTAATAAGTCTGAACTCCAGCATAATTTGATTCTTAATCTGATATTGTTCTCTACATACGTTGGTGCCTTTTTTTTTTATTTTTATGTTTTTATCCTCTTGGCCATTGTGACGTTAGATCAGGCTGTCCCCTTTGGTGGGGCCATTGTATGGTCTCGGTGCTTATAGGTGTTGGTGTCTCCTGCAGTGTTTAATCTTGGGGTATACCGGCGTGAAGCAGTCAAGTCCTATAAGTCCTATGACTTCTTCAGGCATGACAACGAGGAGGCCATGAAGATTCGCAAGTGAGTCTCCTGAGGCCTGACCTCTGGGCCAGCTCTTTCTCGGCCATCGTAAGAGAGGGTGTGATGGGGCTTCGTTTTCCTTTCAGTAAATATTCTGTGGGGATTTCAAGTGGGAGTTGTCTTCTGGACAGGTCCCTTTGGGCTTGTGTGGGTAGAAGAACAGGGCTTAGGGAGATGTATGTATTCTTGCACATTAAGCCTACAGAGGGATAAGATAGATGCATGAGGTGGGGGGAAGGGAAAGATGATATAAACATCTCAGTGGGGAGTTGAAAGTTAGGGAAGTTTTTGACCAGTGAGAAAACTAAGCAGGAAGGGATGTGACTCCTGTAGCAACCCAACTGCTCCGGTCTCTGGCTATGTCTGAGCCAGTCGCCTGCACTCCTCCTGCTGATTTCCTCTGCTCTTATGGCAGACAGTGTGCTGTGGTGGCACTGGAAGATGTTAAGGCGTATCTCACCGAGGAGAGCGGGCAGATTGCGGTAAGCCTTGCCTACCTCTTCCCCGACTTGGTATCTACCTTTTCAAAGCTCTATAGCCCCTCCCTTCTCCCCCTCCTGGGTCCACCTTGGTGGGATCCCATTTTTGTTCCCTACTCATTTACCTTGTGGGCGCTCTTCCCAGGTGTTTGATGCCACCAATACAACTAGGGAGAGAAGGGACATGATTTTGAACTTTGCCAAGGAGAATTCCTTCAAGGTAGGATCTGACTCCACATCGGAGGAAAGGGGATAAGTGGAAGTGGGCAATTGAAAGGAACATGGAGATCTGTTTGGCTCTGGTGAGTGAGGCCAAGACTGGATTTATGATTCTATCCTCTTGGGGCAGGCCCACAAGCCTTGAGTGTTTTCTTGCAGGTACTTTCTCAAACCCTTAACCTGTATGTCTGAGGCCCTGGGGATTGGTAAGAGTTATTTTTAAAAGAAAAGGCCTTGAAGGCACTTTCATGAAAGAAAATCCTGGGTGATGTGGTGGCTGGGTGAAGTAGGTATGAGCATATGCTCTTAATGGACAGCCTGGCCAATTTTGACTCATTTATAATTGCCCTCTCTTTCTGGCCAGGTGTTCTTTGTGGAATCTGTCTGTGATGATCCTGATGTCATCGCTGCCAACATCCTGGTGGGTGACACCCCGTATACCACCACCTCTTTATCCTTTGTGCCTGGTGTGTATGGGGGGAGGGGACCAGGAGGGGAGAGTCAACTGGGTAATGAAAGAAAGAAATAGACATGTTTAACATCACTGATCTATTTGATCTGCCAGAGCACCGTTTTGTACTTCCTCACTCTTGGGAGAGGAAACAGGCTTTAAGGAATAAAATAAGAATTACAATAGCTGTTGAATGGAGACCAAGACTTAGACTGTAGGATTCCTGGCCCCGTGTTCTGGAAATTAGCTGGATGCGGAGACCTAGAGGTATTCTTAGAATAGACCAAACTCATGATCTGTCAGGGCCACTTTCTAGGAAGGTCACCTGCCCAGTGTTTGTCTAATGGTCAGAGTCTAAACCAGTGCCCATTTGATGGGTTGTGCTGTGCCATCAAGATGGTGCTCTCCCAGCAACGTGGGAACTTGGGATCATCTAAGGGAGAGGCGTCTGGTCCAAGTCAGGCATGCGTCAACTCACGCATCTTATCCTAAACTGCCGTGGGGAGAGATGGAAACACATTCTGTTTTCCCAAGGAGGTACATAGAGGGATCAGGGCTCAGGAGCAGCTTCCGCTGCATGACTGCCGGCTGTCCTTCAGCCAAGGGCAAGCACATGACTCCCCAGTTGTCTTGCCCTTCTGGGTTGCCAGGATCATAGGACAGAGTGGGGGTGGTGCTCAATGAATGGGGGTTGCCAGAGCTGCAGTGAAAGGCCACTGCTGTGGACTTCCTTTTCTTTATTTAGCTGTGGCTGTTTGCAGCAGGGCTAGTGCTGGCAGACCTCTGACTAGTCCTGCTCTTCTGTGATTCCAGGAAGTAAAGGTGTCAAGCCCTGATTACCCTGAAAGGAACAGGGAGAATGTGATGGAGGACTTCCTAAAGAGAATTGAGTGCTACAAAGTCACCTATCAACCCCTGGACCCAGACAACTATGACAAGTAAGATTTGAGGCCACGGTTTAAAGGACATAAATATGGACCTCATTTGAGGAAAGAACCTTTCTCTCCCTGTTCCCAAACTTCCTTCTGCCATTCCAGACCCTTTTATCTTTCAGAGAGACCATGTATGGATTTGTGGCTTTTATGTGGGTTGCAGCTTACCCTTGAACACTGACATGTTTTGTTTTTATGATCATCAATTCTTCCTGTCTCTCCTCTAGAGCAGGGGTGGGGAACCTCTTTCCTGCCAAGGGCCATTTGGGTATTTATAACATAATTCGTGGCCATACAAAATTATCACCTTAAAAATTATCTACTAAATTTGGTCAAACATTTAATTAACTCACCCCTCATGCCTTGGCAGGGCCAGACCCAATGATTTTGTGGGCCTTGTTCAGCCTGTGGGCTGGACATTCCCCACCCCAACTCTAGAGCAAGATTTCTCAATCTCTACATGGTTGACATTTTGAACTGGATAATTCTGTGTCATTGTCTTGTGCATTGTAGGATACTTAGCAGCATCCCTGCCCTCTGCTCACACGATGCCAGTAATAACTTCCAACCTGTGACAACCTAATATGTTTTCTGACATTGCCTGGGGAATAAAATCACCCTTGGTTGAGAAGCACTGCTTTAGATCAGTAGTTTTGAACTAGGGTAAATGTAAGGTACCCCTTAGAGATGTGTCATCAGCTTTTGGTCAATTTTTAAAGTGTATAGTGTATGTGTGTGCATATATATGTTAAGTAATATATATTAATACATATACATACATATATTACATATATAACAACACACACAATATAAAACAATTGTGTATGTTATATGTATGTACTGTATATGTAGCATGTATCTTGTTATATATAACAGGTAACATATTATGTACATATAAATACATAATATGTTACCTGTTATATAAATATATAATATCTTACCTGTTATATATAACAAGATATATATAATTCAACTACACAGAATTATCTAGTTCAAAGTGAAGTTCTCAGGAACATGACTGGCTTAATGAAATGTCTGATCACTGCCAGCTGTCGCTACCATGGCAGCATCTATCAGCAAAGTGGTGTACAATACATATTAACTTGATGTGTGTGAGTTATAGGAGCCATAGCAAAAGGTCAAGTTCATGTTGAAGAAAGATGTGTGCACATAGAAATTCATGAGGACTTGGAGTGCTGAACACACATAGAATATACAGATAATGTATTGTAGAATTATAAACCTGAAATCTATGTAATTTTATTAACCAGTGTCACCTCAACAAATTAAAAAAAAAAAAAAAAAAAAAGAAACCTGTGAGAATGTGGCCTTTGAAAAAGGCATGCAGTCCACAGTTCCCATCTATCCCAATAAGAGCACAGCCTTACAGCCCAGCAAATGAGACTGGTTTGCATAGCCACTGTTGAATTACTTCAGTGTCTGCTTTTGAGTCTTTCAGTTCCTTCAAGGCAGGGGTCTTCAAACTTCTCTCATTATGAGAATCACCTGGTGGAGGTGTTAAAACACAGATTCCTGATAGCACTTCTTATAGTAGTTGGGATCCGGGAATCTGTGTTTTAACAACTCCACCAGGTGATTCTCATAATGAGAGAAGTTTGAAGACCCCTGCTTCAAGGGGTTGCCCAGAATGTTACTATTTGCAGGTGTTTTTTATAATAGGTTGCAAACCACCTCCCTAGATATGGCTTAATAGTATATTCTTTAGTTACCCCCAAAGTTCTATACTGTACATAGAACAACATTCTGGAAGTGTGTGTGTGTGTGTGTGTGTGTGTGTGTGTGTGTTTATAGATGTTATCTCTGGTGGTAGGCTTATGGGTGATTTTTATTTGCGTCAATGTACCTTTAAAAATTTTTTTTTGGAATAAGCATTATTATTTTTATAATGAGGCAACTCCGTGATGGCCACAAAGAAAACTGTCCACGGAAGTGCCTTTGAGAGAGGATTGATGTAGGTAGATGCCGGGAATGCACAGAGGTTCCTCTGGTTCTGCTTCTCCTGCCTCCCCCTCACCACTGGTGATGCTGTACATGCTGTACCCTGGCCAGGTCTCAACCCCTCAGATGGGGGTTGTGCTTCTCACCCAAACTCAAGGTTAGCAAAACCTTCAGGTCATCTAGTGTAGCCCCTGACGGGAGCCTGAGTTCTGTTGGTCACGCTTATTTCATGGCACAGGGAGGGACTCTGGGCACTGAGGGACTGGCCAGGAGTTCCAGAGATTTTACTTCGTCTCGTTCTGGGGAGTACCAGCTCTTACCATTCAGCTGCGTGGGACTCTGACAGGGGAGGAGGAGAGCTGCTGTGAGTCTGTGAGAGCTGTGACCTTTCCCTGCTATGTTATTCTGAGATTTTTATACTCAGGGGATCCCTCCCCCTTCTGTCCCAGGGATCTTTCTTTCATCAAGGTGATCAACGTGGGCCAGCGGTTTCTAGTGAACAGAGTCCAGGACTACATCCAGAGCAAGATAGTCTACTACCTCATGAACATCCACGTCTATCCCCGCACCATCTACCTTTGCCGGCACGGAGAGAGCGAGTTCAATCTCCTGGGGAAGATTGGGGGTGACTCTGGCCTCTCGGCGCGGGGCAAACAGGTGCGTAGTTGGCCAGAAGGCTGGATTTCCCAGGCTTAGAATTAGCGGGCGTGGTGGAGGTCATCTCTCTTATCCCCTTACTTCTTCCTAAACCCCACTGAGGCTTAGATCTCAGGTGGTCAAGCAAGGGCTAAAGGCTTTTCTTTCTTTTCTTTTTCTTCAAATATATTTTATTGATTTTTTTACAGACAGGAAAGGAGAGGGACAGAGAGTCAGAAACATCGATGAGAGAGAAACATTAATCAGCTGCCTCCTGCACACATCCTCACTGGGGATGTGCCCGCAACCAAGGTACATGCCCTTGACTGAATCGAACCTGAGGCCTTTCATTCCGTAGACTGAGCCAAACCAGTTTCGGCAAGGCTTTATTGTTCACTAATTCTAGCTCCATATTAGAGTGTGGATGACTTGGAACCATTTCTGCTGTGGTCATTCAGCCATCGGTTATTGGGCACAACTTGTGTGCTTAGCAGAGCACAGGGAGCTTTAGCTGAAGCTGTTTTCCTCTTGGGTTTATTGCATGGAGCAGCTTCCAGATGCCCACTGCGGTCATGCACAGTGCCCTCCTAGGCTGAGTGAGCAGGTGTCCGTGTGTGTCCGTGTTTCCTCTCTTGAAACTTTTATTTCAAACCCCAGTTTGCCCAAGCTCTCAGGAAGTTTCTGGAGGAACAGGAGATAGCGGATCTCAAGGTGTGGACCAGCCAGCTGAAGAGGACCATCCAGACCGCGGAATCGCTGGGGGTGACCTACGAGCAGTGGAAGATTCTGAATGAGATTGACGCTGTGAGTTGGAAGCTCTGGTGGCCCGGATGGTCTCTTATTCAGGCAGGATCTCTCAGACGTCACCATTTGGGCAGTTTTACCTAACATCTAGGACCACCAAGTAGAGACATTGAAGAAGCCAAAACTGGCTGGTGTGGGGAGGAAGTGGGAGCAGTTCCGTCCCTAATTAGGGCTTTCTGCCTCCTGGAACACCTGCGCCAGTAATGGCACGCCAACCAATCTTGGGGCACCTGGGAGTTCCATTTGGTACCTCGGTATGTTTTTTTCCTGGGAAAAAGAAATAGCTAACAGCTCTTGCCTTTAATTTCTACTTAGTTCCTTTGGTCAACTATTCTAAAAAAAAAAAAAAAAAAAGTCCTTTCTATTTGTTTCCTTGGCTTTCTCTGTCCTTGAGCACAAAAGTAGGCATTTCTTTTTCTTTCCTTCCTCTGCACCCTTTTAAGCCTTCTGCAAGAATTCCTCTTCCACTTCCTTTCACTTCCTCTCCTTCCCTGCTCCCTGTTCCTTTTATCCCGCTGACTTTTCTCGACTTTTTAAATTCCCCCCAGTAGTAGGAGAAAGTGGCAGCTTACGCTAGAGAAGCCGCCTCCTCTCTGCCGTGGCCCTCACCCTGCCAGTCCCAGCCACCCTGGCCAGGCAGTGGCAGGACACGCCAGGACCCGGCACAGTGCCTGGCGCGTAGTAAGAAACTAGTGTTCCTCGGCGTCGCCTGCCTTCGTCGGGTGGGGCTGCATCGCCCCGTCTACACCTGTAAGCCAGCGTGGCTCCCTGCAGGGCGTGTGCGAGGAGATGACCTACGCGGAGATTGAGCAGCAGTACCCAGAGGAGTTTGCACTTCGAGATCAAGAGAAATATCTGTACCGCTATCCTAGCGGGGAGGTGAGATGCCCTTCTGTGGCGCCACTGCCCCGCCCTGTGCTGGGCGTTTAGTGTTAACTTTGGGGAAGGGTGGAATGTGATTTCGGGGGGGGGGGGGGGGGGGGGGGCCTAGAAAGGGTACTTAAGGCAGCACTTAGTTTATCCTCCTGTCTTTGGGTCCTACTGTTTTTAGTTCAGCTTAGGCAGTCAAATGCCTCATTCATTTGTTAAGATCTCTAGGGCAGCGGTCGGCAAACTCATTAGTCAACGGAGCCAAATATCAACAGCACGACGATTGAAATTTCTTTTGAGAGCCACATTTTTAAAACTTAAACTATAGAGGCAGGTACACTGTTATGAACTTAATTAGGGTACTCCTAAGCTGGCCTTTGCTAAAAGCTCACGGGCCCAAAGAGCCGCATGTGACTTGCGAGCCACAGTTTGCCGACCACTGCTCTAGGGGAAAGAGTAGCAAGACAAACTGTTGAGTAGGTTGTGGAGTCAACTTGATCTTTTTCACTTTATTTTTCATTCCACTCACTACATCTCACGCCCAGATATGGGCACCAAGTAGATAGACGGGCTGTGAGTGAAATCCCTATCATCTTCAGTGTTTTGGGCTGTTTCCTGGTCTAAGTGGCTCCTCAGTCTAGGGATGTGTGAGATGAAGGTAAATCAACGTATGACCGAGGCCCAGGAGGCCCCCAGGAGCCCCCTGTTGCCTTGTGCTCTGCCCGTTAATCTGGGGAAGAAAAACCCCACATGCGGGATGCAGATTTTCTCCTCTTGATATGTAGTTTCCTCAGGCTGAGTGTTGCCCTTGAAAGGTCTGAATATTCTTAGGAGCTTCCAAAGCCAGGGAGTGAGCAGGTGACATGCAGTCAGTCGCTGAAGCTCTAGGAGGAAAGCCAGCTGGGGAGGAAGGAGCCATGGCCTCTTTACTCTGGACACAGCCTCTGCCTCGGCTGCCAGCTTGCGCCGGGCCTCCTAGCAGCCTGCCCACTTCCCCCCGCAGTCGTACCAGGACCTGGTGCAGCGGCTGGAGCCTGTCATCATGGAGCTGGAGCGCCAGGGCAACGTCCTCGTCATCTCCCACCAGGCTGTCATGCGCTGCCTCCTGGCCTACTTCCTGGATAAGGGCGCAGGTGCCACTGAGGGAAGGGCTGGGAGGGGACTGGACTCAGGGGTGGCACCAGGATCCCTGGCAACTGGACCTCCCCCCTCTTTCCTTCAAATTGGAGTACATTCTTCAGGCGCCAGTGTGGGGCACCCAGCAGCCACCGAGCCAGCTGTTTGCTGAATTGATTGCTGGTCCAAAAGCCCCCAGTGGAGGGGCTGCTGCTGTGGCTGCTCAGTCCTGCTTGGCTAGAGGGCAGCCTCGAGCTAACCCTTCTGGCAGCACCAGAAGAGCGGCTGAACACTGCCAGCTTGTTCCTTTGGCTGCTAGGAGGGCGGTGTCCTAGAAGCATCTTCATCCTTAGATGTAGGACAGTTGCTGGGTGTAGCCAGAAGGAAGTGCTGCTGCCTTCTCGGACACTTCCCTTTCCGGCCTACCTGACCCTGAGCGGCTGAGAAGCTTGTGGGGGTGGGGGGGGGGGGCGCACACTCTTTCCTTCCACGGGGCCCTGTCTGCAGCACTTACTCCTGTATGGCCTGCATGGAGGGATCTAAGCCACGTAGTTGCTTGGGTGGCTTCTTTGGTGGCTGCCTTGGTAACCATCTGGGGTTTAGGGGCGGAGCTGTATAACTCCAGGTCCAGGTTAAGGGAGGAGTTGTCTAACTCCAGGTCAAGGTAAAGAGAACTCATGAGCTCCTCAGTCTCTTTCTGCCACTAGCTTGGCCTTACTCCATACTGAGAGTCTTCCTCGCCTGGTCTTTCTGCTTTCAGATGAGCTGCCGTACTTGAGGTGCCCTCTCCATACCATCTTCAGACTCACTCCTGTGGCCTATGGTAACTATGCATTTAGGAGCTGGGCAGAAGGTGGGGATTGAGGAAGGTCAGGATTTCTCTGAAGTGTGTGCAGAAGTTCAACCACATCACCCCTGTGTGCCAGGAAAGCTCTGTTTGTAAATGTATGTAGGTATCGGGGAGCACAGGCATTCTGTTCTGGTGCACTTCCCCATACGGAAACAGAGGGATCTCTCTCGGAGCTCTGCCCCCCAAAGGCCTCTTTCCTTTCCTCCGTGTTCCCAGGGTGCAAAGTGGAAACGATCAAGGTCAACGTGGAGGCCGTGAACACTCACCGCGACAAGCCAGCTGTAAGTATTTCCCATGGATGAGCTTGCAGGTGCCCTGCCACCTTGAGTCTCTGAACCTTTGGCATCAAGACACTGGGGTTGCTTTTATGGACAGAGGAAGGCAGATCCAGAGCTCACGTCCTGGGGAGTCTGCTCACTTCCAAGAGGCAGAGATGTTGGCATTACTATTTCTAGAGATTAGTACCTCTTTCATGAGTCTTGACCCTGGAACCTCCCGGAAATCCAGTTAAAAATGCAAAGTGTTTGGCTGAAGGGAAGTGCAATGCCCTCCTCTTTCTCCTTCTTTCCCCCCTTAGAAAGCGGGATCTAGCAGAACCCAACCTGTAAGGTGGGTGAAGAGGTGCAGTTTGGTTCCTAGGTTTGTCCTGATAGCCTGTTCACTCTTAAGTAAGCCCCTTCCTTTCTGTGTCCCTCTTTCCTGCTTTGGAGTTTGATGCTTAAGGAGAGTCTCCCTCTACAACCCTTTAGCTTCCTGGAGCTAGGGGACCCGCCGCCCCCAGGATTCAGGAGACTGCCTCAGGAGCAGGATAGAGGGAGCTGTTGTGGTTTATAAGCATTTATTTAACCTTCACGAGTGAGCTCTTGTCTTGGCTTTCATTTGTGTGGTGTCCCTCCGTTTCTAATCAGAACAACTTTCCCAAGAACCAAACCCCTGTAAGGATGAGAAGGAACAGCTTTACACCTCTGTCCAGTTCGAATACAATCAGGCGTCCAAGAAATTACAGTGTTGGGAGCCGGCCCCTCAAGCCCCTCAGCCCTCTCCGTGCCCTGGACATGCAAGAAGGGGCCGACCAGCCGAAGACCCAAGTCAGCATTCCGGTGGTGTAACTGTGTGTTTCCCTCCAGTCCTGGCCTCCTGCCCTTGCCACTAATCACCAACGAGTCATTTAACTTCCAGTCCCCGCCTTCCCGACCACGAACGTGAGGCCCTGTGTTGCAAACCAACCTTAGCTCTCCTGCAGTGTGAACCCTCTCCCCATCCTGGGGCAAGTTGCTTCAGATCACGTCCTCATTGCGTGGTCTGGAGGAGGAGGAAGAGGGGTGATCGCCCCTGGACTGATTAGCTTACCTGGGACTGAGGCTAAGCAGGGCCAGCACATTGGTCCTTGACAGTCTCTGGTGTCCAAAATGACTAATGTCAGTAAATTGGGGTGGAGTGGAGGGGGACACATGAAGCCCATTTTCCCTTTACCTTTGTCTCTTCAAAGTGTGCTTTACTCACAGCTCTTACCTGCCTGCTTCCTTCCCCCTCCCTCATCTCCCCATTGGATTGTCTAGTGTGATGCATGTCATTGTCACTGTAGTGTCTGACTAGGGGGGAAGGGAAGGTCAGCAAGAGAAATTTTCTCTGCGAGGGGTGGGGGGGTGGGGGGGGAGCCTTTTCTTTCTCCTCCCTTTTTCTCAAGCTGGGTCTTGCTAGGGTCAGCCTAGGCTCTAGAACATCCACAGATGCTCTGGAGCTAGGAAGTGGATGTAGGGTGAGAGCTCTTGCCTCCTTTCATGAGAAATAGCCCTAAGGTTTTGCTGCCCTGGGGAAAGCTGCCTCTGCGAGAGGGGGAAGTAGGTTGGTTTGTGTTTCTCTGGAGCCAGGCATAGGCCTTCTGGCAGCTGTGGGGTGAGGTTTAGGAGAGAGGGCGGTCCCCTGCTGCTGCAGGGCTGTCTCAGGGCAGGTCCTATCTGTTCTCCAGTGGCTCCCAGCTTCTCTGCCAGCCTCTGCCAGCCAGTGACCTCGGGGGCTGTTTAGAAGGACAGTGACCACTGATTCAGGAGTCGCCACTGATGTTTGAATTGCTCAAGTCAAAAGGCAGAGAAGAGTTCATCCAGCTGCTTATTATTTCCTAAACACTCCTTTTTAATGAAAACATCTCGAGGAGGCTTTGGGACCCTGCGGGGTCTAGGTTTTGCTGCTTGTATTTATTTCCCTATTCCGCTCTGTCACTTTATTTCTTTCTGTAGGATTAAACAAAAGATGTTTACAGCCGGGATTCTTAGCCCCTCGGTGATTTACGATGGCATGCTTCTCCCCCTGAATTTGTATGTAAAACATGAATATGTGGGCATTTTCACAAGAGATTTTTAAAAGAGAGAGATGACTCCCCATCTTGAAGTTATCAGTTTGTCTTTTAGAAGTAACCAGGGAGAACATAGTAGCTGTTTGCCCTGGGGTTGGGGGTAGAGGGGGGTTGGTGACAGAAGACCTTTTGTCAATATTCTTATCCAGGAATTGTCATTGGAACCCCCGTTAGCACTTTTGAAATGTACACATGCCTGGGTCTGTTTTAGGCTCATTGTTCACTCAGAATCTCTAGGGTTGGGGTCTGCACGTGCCTGTGGTCAAACAGCTTCCCTGTTGGTCCTGGTGTGTTCTCCAGGTTGGAGCTCCATTCTGTGAGGTTTGTTAAAGGAATACTGGGACAGTAGTTCCTTAGACAAAGCAGCAACCTAGGGATTCTGAATCTCCTGGAGCGAGATGTTTCGCAGGTCCCAGTACTAAAAGCGGGCTGCTGTGTTCTAGAGTTATTCTAGGTCCTATCCCATCTTTAACCACTTACACTGCAGGAACAAATCACTATGTAAATACATAAATGTCCTTGGCTGATCGCTGGGGATTTTAAGCACCTGGATGTAGGCACTGAGATAAAACCTGTAGGTTGAGAAAGATTATCCTCAGAGGCAGCTGACTTGTGACCTTGAGTCCTTTATTCTAATTGGAAATCTAGAACAGGACTTCACAGTGAGTTTCCTAAGGCTGCTTGCCTAGATTCTGCTTGGAATTACCTGCTCTTCCTGCTTAACCATTTGCATAATGTGTACTTAGTTCTCAATTTGTGGGGCTTTGGGCTAGGTGGAGTGGGGGTGCAGGGATACATAGAAGCAGAAGAAAAGGTGCTTGCCTTGAAGAAGGTTATATTAGAATCAGGGCATATAATTTATAATAAGTGAGCATTTGTGAAACAGGCAACACTGAGTCTGTAGGTGCGGACGCTAAAGTGGAGTACAGATTACTTGACCTTTCTCTTGTCCTTGACCATAAGCCTGACCAAGTTGGGAGGTTGGAATGCCACAGGTCACTGAGATGTTCATGAGGATGACTTCCCTGCACTACCCCCTGTGCTAGTTTGCTTCTCCCAGAAGAGGATCCTGAGGTGGTCTTAGTATTCTCAGAGAGGACACAAGAAATTAGAGCTTGACCACAGCAAGGGCTTCAGGCATTCTTCATTTTTAGAGCAAGATTTCTCCAGAGAAGGTTCAACAGGAAGAAGCCAGGAGACCTTAGGATGGAATAGAGCTACAAATTTTATTTTAGATATTTCATTTTTAAAAATAATATATTTTTATTGGTTTCAGAGAGGAAAGGAGAGGGAGTGAGAAATAACAATGATGAGAATCATTGATTGGCTGCTTCCTGCATGCCCCCCACTGGGGATCGAGCTCACAATCCAGGCATGTGTCTTGACCGGGAATCGAACCGTAATCTCCAGGTTCACTTAACCACTGAGCCTTGCCAGCGGGTGAGCTACAAATTTCAGAGAAGTCCTCTTCTATCTTTTTTCTTGTCCTCCTCTCTTGTTACTTGATTGTGTATTATTCTATGAAGAAAAGGTGGATTCGAGCATTTTTTTTTTTTTTTTTTTTTTTTTTTTTGCCGAGCCTGTCAGTTTTGTTATAGGAGTAATAAGTGAAGGATTTAGCATCTATCTATTTTTCAGTTGCAGTTGCCATTCAGTTCTATTTTCTTTTATTGCTTTAAAGCTGAAGGAGGAATTCTGTGACATACTTTAATCCTCAGATTTGAATTTAGCTGTTACTTATCTGTATTGTCTTGATTTTGTTTTGGTAAGGGGGTTGTTTTACATTCAATTGGAAATCAGAATAGGGAAGTAATTTAAAACTCTAACATTTTGTGCTAGATGGTCTTATCATTATCTCTGGGTTTTATTTTTGTTTTTTTGTTTTTGTTCTTCTTTCCCCCCAAGAAGTTAAGAGTTAGGAATACGATGTTTGTTTTCCTAGACTGAACAGTTGAGTGTTTCTGATGAGACTTTGCTGTTCCTCTTCGGAGGTCCTGGCATTTTGAAGGAACAGAAAATAGCTGTTTGGAAATAAATACATCTTAAACGGTACTTCTGTGAGCAGGAGTTCTGAGTTCCAGAGAAACTATGGATGCTTGGGGTAGTGAAAGGAGTAGGGGGGAAGTGTCTAAAAATGGAGAGAATCATATCTTACACACAGTTCATGGTCTTCTTCTAAGCTCAGAAGCCAGACTGTGTTTTCAAGAGATTTGATAAATTTACCCAGGTGTTCCAGTGTGCATTTAGACATGTTTGTGTTTTAAAATATTTTAATTTAAAAAGTTACATAACAAGTGAGTCAGGTTTAGCAGGATTGATCTCTTACTTCCTATAAAGGTGACATAGACATAAAAAGTATGTCCAGGAATTTAGTTGAGATTCATAGTGGCCAGAAGACTGTATGTAGCAGTAGCTACATCCTGACTCACTGACAGACTCTAGTGGGGTCAATATGCTGACTGATAGACTCTAGTGGAGTCTGTATGCTGACTGATTGACTGACAGACTCTAGTAGGGTCTGTATGCTGACTGACTAACAGGCTCTAATAGGATCCATATGCTGACTGACTGACTCTGGTAGGGTCTGTGTGCTGACCGGCTATACTAGGATATGTAAGCTGACTGTCTGACTGTTTTGTAACTGTACCAGTTGGGAGTATATTATTGTAGTTCTCTGTCTATTGCATGTGTCCTACAAAGAAAGGAAGTAAACACTCCACATGTGTTTTTAGGGGCAAGTTCTGTAAATTATGATTTCTAATAGACATTGCTTTTAGAGTGGCAGCCAAAGTTTCATTTTTAGAAAATGAAGGTTGTGTATCACTTGTATGACATTTTGTAAACTCAGCTAAGGAAATGTCTGCTCAAAGCCTGAAATGGTTATTCTACTTGAAGTCACCCCATTCGTTCCCCAACTTCTAGGCGGATTCCACTTTTACCACCTGTGTCTAAACCTTCTGTGTCCACAGCTTCTTTGTTATAGAATGTAGCACTCCATTGGATAATGTGGTGATGTTAGTCTGCCATGCATTTGGCGCTTATTCATAACCTAATAAATAAAAATGCAAAGGTAATTTTACTTTAAAAATTTTAAGAGGTGGCAAAGTATTCTTAGTAAGCCTTTCATTGGGTCTCTATGACTGATATTTACCTATTCAATGTTTTGTTTCTGAATTGCTTATGTACATTTTTAAAATTGTTTTGAATTAACTAGATCAACTCATTCTGATATGGTAATGGTTTTGCTATGGCAAAAGCAAAGGACTGATCACTAACTGTGCCCAGGTTGGGAATAGGCTAAGTACTATTGGGTTGAATGGGAATGGACTGGAATGGGAACCCAAGCAATAGAATTATCCTGCTGATTTCCTAGGCACAGCTCTGTTGAAAGAAAGAATGTAAGTCCTTAACAGCATTCTGATTTAATCTGGTGACACTGATATCAAAATATGCCACTCAGATCCACAGAAGGTGTGTATAACTGTACTTGAAATGTGTTTTGTGTGTGTGTGTGTGTGCAGAATGGGTAAATAAAATTGTTAAGTAACTTGAACCTATCAGAAGGCTCCTGGGTTTTTTGTTTTGTATTTTGGGTTGTGTTTTCTACCCATTCATCCCTTCTCCCCCACTGCCCCCACCCCAAGCTTCCCCAAGCTTTGCCTCACACTGCCCAGTGATTGAACCCCAGACCGGCCAAAGCCAGTTCCTAGTGACTAGAGTCCTTGGTGTAGGCATGGCTCTCTTCCACCACCTTCTGGGGAAGATGGGAAGGACATCATGCAAGGCACATGAATTTCTGTAGGAGCTGTGTGTACTTTTTGAGAATGACCTCTACAAGAATTACCTGTTACCTTTGACTTCCATTAACAACATATAACTCACTATTTATTGTAAAGAAAAAAAAAACCCTTAAAGATCTCTTAGAATTTAGTGGGCTGTTCCTTCTAAATCATGACCTGCCTGTTTCTAAAGAGGTTATAGCCAGTGAGATAAACCAGCGTTAGCTTCTGGGACGGGAAAATATGGGTGAATTGTATCACCATTGCCATGCCTTATTCCTCTTACTCTAATGGAGAGTGGGAGGGGAAAATACAGGTGAATTGTATCACCATTGCCATGCCTTATTCCTGTTACTCTAACGCAGTGTTTCCCAAACTTCTCTCATGATGAGAATCACCTGGTGGAGTTGTTAAAATACAGATTCCTGAATCCCAACTAAGAAGTGCTAAACTAGAATTTTTGGGAACATATAGGTAAAATTGTATACTTAACTTAGTGCTCTGCCTTAGAATCTTAATCTTTGTCTTAACAGGATTACCTAGTGATTCCCAGGCACACTTAACATTTGAGAAGCACTGCTCTAAAGGGAAGGATCTCTCCCAAGTTAAAACATTAAATCCCAGTTTAGGGGAAGAGGTTGATTTCTGCTCTGAAGTCATCAGTCAATTTCAGAATGGGTTGGTTGGGATAACTGCGATGGCAGAGACCCTCCTCCGAAGCCAAGTAGCCCCCCGACTGCAGTGTCACCCTCTCGGCATGCTCTCCTGGCTGGTGGAGCCTACCTGCTCTCCTTGTACTACAGGGTTCCCGCCAGCTTCTGCCTCATTTCCTGGCTATGTAGCTTATGGATTGCCTGGTCCAACCTGGCACAAGGAGGGTCTGTTTTTCTGGGAAAGAGGCCCATGCCTGTGCCACTGGAGTCTGCCTGGCTCCCAGGAGTAGAGGGGGATGTGCAAGCACACCAGTGTCTGTGCGCATGTCTGTGTGCAGATGGGGTGTGGGCGGTGGGGAAGCAGTGCAGGGACTCTGCTCTGCTTTTCTTGATTTGCCAGCTTGCTGGTGTAATTGCTTTGTTTCTCTTCCTCTCTGGCTCCCAGGCAAAGACCTCGCTGGCCGTGCCTAGACGCTCCTCTCCGGCCTCCCTCCTGGTGTTCTCCTGATCGAGAAGCTGAGTCCAGGCCTCCCTGGGGGACTGGGATCTGCTGGAAAACTTGGATGTCGGCACCACCAGGGCTTGATCAAGAAGCAAAGCGGGGATTGAACGTTGGGCACCCCCAAAATGGGGCCTGGAAAAGCATCACCACATTTCTCCCCCTCATGCCCAATGGGAATATCGGTTACACTGAAAAACTTAACTTCTTTGTGCCTCCAAACATTAACAGCCTGAACTGGTTAGTTATTATTATTTTTTTATGATCTCTTTGCTGCATTTGGCCCAAGTTGGCCAATCTTGCTGTGTTTTGGTATCTAGCACCCTACCTGTGACTGTCTCTAGCTAGCTATTTTTTTGTGTGTGTGTGAGGTGCAAATACACCTCTCAGATTTCATTGTTTCCAGGTGAGAGGGTTGAACCCCAGTAAGTCTTTTCTGTCATGTATGAGCCGGTCTCCCATCCTATCCAGGTGAGCAGGATTGGAGTACAATTTACAAAGGTTAGCATTCACTGTTTTTTTTTTCTTCACATGGGAAACAGACAAATTCCCCAGGTGACTGGAGGGTATGTGAGTAATGTAGTCCCAGAAACGTCTCTCCTGTGATGATGGAAGAGTGGTGTCTACAGCAACCTTTTCCTTTTAGAGAAGTTTTGCTGGTTCCAGGCTCCTCGAGGGCAGGATCTGACTGCAAGGCTCCCCCAAACGGGTGCCTGTCTACTAGGCTCTCCTCTGTAGCTGCTGTGTTTTCTGTCTGATGCTGCGTGCCTCTCAGGGCTGAAGAGAAAGAAAAAAAAAAAAATAGGGTGCCAATTCTGTCACATGAAGAACTAAAGAAGACTCCTTGGGAATCAACTCCACCAGGGAGTTCTTTTGATTTCAAAACAGATACCCTTCTTTGGGGTTTGTCACCATGACATGGTCCCTGCAGAAAGCTGTGGCCGTGACTTTAAGAGCAGCTGGTTTTCTGACTCCCGCCTCTTAGCTAGTTGTCTCTATTTTGGTCTACCTGTCTCATGTAAAACATGGGAGGTGCAGGGGAACCAAGCCCTTAGTCCGTTGGTTTCCCTTAAAGATAAGCCAGATAATTACCCCTGGTTAGTGATTATCAAATATGCAAACATGTCTCTGTAGATATCGATGTCACTTCCTGAAGGAGGATGACAGCTCCAAAGAATATTATATCTTACACTCAAACTCATTGCTTCCCCCCCCCCCCACCCCAAGAATGAAACGTTTTTATGCTTTTGCATTTTTGTTTTCTTTTGACTCCAATGCCCACTTGCTGGGCAAGAGGGTGAGTAGCAAGGAAAGTAATGAAATGTAGCTTTTTTTCAAATGGTTCTTTTATACTGTGGTTGACACGGGGCCGTTACCGAAGATACGATGAGCTGAGCTGCAGGCAGTTCAGCACCAGCACCTAAGAGGTGCTTTTATATGCATGAAGCTGCCTTCAGAGAGGCTCCTGACTCTGCTCTGCAGCAGGTGATTTTCATCTCGCTGCTTGGAGCATGTTCTACTGTACTAATTGTGTTCTTGGGATGCAGGTGTCTTTCTGCATCTATATACACTGTCTTTTGATGACCAGATAATTTATTTATTCATCCATGTAAGGTATTTTTTAAGTCCCCATAGTAGTGTTTGCATGTATATATTTAATCAAAATGTATGGTCATCTGTGTTGTCATTTTTTTTTTTTTTTTTTTTGGTCGAAATTGAGGTCCTTGGAGTATTCAAGTCTATTGTTCATAGTATTATCTTAAGTTAAATTTCTAGAATATAGATATCTGTCTTCTGTAAAAGGCTAATAACTATTTTAAAGCACAGTGGATTTCTTTGAATACTGTTTTGCTCATCAGTTTTTACCTATGAATCAAGAGATGCATTTCTCTGCACAAAAGTTGATCTCCTTGATCAATAAAATCATGCTGAAATATGTAATATGTATTGCTTTTGTAATAAATACAATAAAAGTTATTTTAAATTAAAAATGCAATTTTTGAAATCACACACAAAAGAAGATAACATTAGATACATTATGCATACACAAAATATTAATAACATTGTGCAAAATGTGTTTGAAACTAGCTTCTTTAAAATTATCCTTAAATTATTAGATTGTGTATATATTTCCAACTGATGGTTTTAATTGGTGACTCCTGCCTTTATCAAGTTCATTAGCTTTTCAAAAATGATATCAGTGGGATCATTACAGTCATGCATTATTGACTTCTAAAGCTTTATTAATTTATTTAACATATTTAATGATCACTTATTGGTTGCCATGCAATGGTAATAAGAAGTCTTTGTCCTCTTTCTAGGGTTTATGATTGGAAAGGAAAAAGTGAACAGCAGTTCTGTAACTCAGCCCTCCCTATGGGGGATGCCTTCCCTCATAAATAACCTTGACCAAAACCATTATTAGGTAATAGTTATGTAAATGTTTATGATAAAGGGACTTTGGACACTCTCATTAGCATCAGTAGCAAAAGATAAAGTGAAATGTTCGTTATAAGAATATAGTCCTAGGCATCTGATAGAATGAGAACTAGTTATCAGTTCTCCAAGTGCAATTGAGAGGCAATGATTATAAGTATTGCTAAATGTACTGAGCTTTAGCAGTATATCTGGAGGAGTAACAATAATGAAGGTGTCAAGGATGTAATTTCCTTAGTTCTCTAAGCACATTTGGAGGTGTTTTCTTATTCACCAACCAGTTTGTAGAAGGCTGGGAGGCTCTGGCTACACTAACCCTGTTTTACAAATAGGTAAACACCCTTTTTGAGTGGCTCACCTCAACACTGATTGAGTTTTTTTCAAAGCCCATACCTCAGAACAAGGTAAATCATATTTGTAGCAATGAGGGCTCGACAAACATAACATACTACTATTTTTAAATGTAGCTGGAAACTTAACCAATATATCAGGATTAGAAAATGACTATTCAGTGAGTTACCCAACGATGGCCATTATTTGCTTGATTTCTGTAGCCTTAATTATTACATCATGTTGTAAACCTTTCCGGGGTCTTCACTAAGGACTCACTGTGAGAAGAATCAACCTTCAAGCTCAGTAGCTTGTCCTGGTTGGTGACAAACTTATTGGCACTTCCTGTGGCAGTTGGGCTGTCACCTACTACTAAGGTCTCAAGGTATCCAATCTACATTCTTTGTCTTGAACTCACTTGAAAATTTGGCAAAAGCCAAGGGCTCTCTCCAGAAAAAGGTAGACACATGTAAGTTTTTCATTCCATTTATGGAGCTCAGGACCTCCTCAAACCCATCCCTGTGCATCAAGGTAGGAAACAGGAGCGAGATAACACACCACATACACACACACACACACACACACACCACCTCCCTTTCTTTGACATGAAAAAAATAACATCCATTTTATATTAACATTTTTTAAGCAGAGGAGGAGAATATATGAAATACTCATATTTTTGTTTTTACTGGACATTGTGGAATATTTAAGAATTTGAGTGGGTTGTAATCATGGAGAGTAATATTAAAAAAACACGATATATTTATTGATTTTTAGAGAGAGAGAAAAAGAGACAGACATAAAGAGAGAGAAACAGAGAAACATCAATTGGTTGCCTCCAGACCACATCTCAACAGGGGGTGGAACTGGCAACCTAGGTATGTGCCCTCACCAGGAATCGAACCCACAGCTTTTTGGTGTAAGGTTAGCCATTAGACAACTGAGCTATCCAGCCAGGGCAATGCTTTCTTTTTCTTAAAAACTTCAAGGCACTGTCTTCTTTTATTCTCATTGAGCCCATGCCAGCTATATTACTTTCATCATTACGGGCAGAACTTCCTCCTGAATTCCCAAAGGCATTTACATATCCTTTTTGGTTGTATGCAATACCTTACCCATGAAACCAGGTCAGATTCTAGAGGTGAATTTGTCCTTGCAATGAAGGGAAATAATTTCAGAAACAGAGGGGCCCTTGGGAAGCAGCATTCCAAATCTAACGAAGCCTAGTCTCAAATAGTGCAACGCCCTTCACCACCACCCTGCCCACTTTCAGGAAGTAAATTGTTGATCCACATGAGTTTTCTTCATTATTGATCTGTTTACATTATTCTTTACATTCAGTTTTCACTTCCTAAGATCTCTCCTTTCTCATTCATTTCATTGCCTTTTTACAATTGATAGATGGGATGTGAAACAGTCTCTAGGCATGATTTAATAAGGTTTATTTAACATTCTTTTCCACATTTAAATTTCTGGCCCTAACTGTTTTGGCTCAATTGATAGAGCATCAGCCTGCAGACCGAAAGGTCCCAGGTTCGATTCTGGTCAAGGGCATGTACCCTGGTTGCGGGCACAGGAGGCAGCTGATCGATGTTGCTCTCTCATCAATGTTTCTAACTCTCTATCCCTCTCCCTTCCTCTCTGTAAAAAATCAATAAAAAGTATATTTAAATTTCTGAATTATTTTAATCAATCCATGGTTTGATCCTAATTTTCTGCATTCATCAGTGTTTCAGAGGAAAGGTGGTTTCAGTGGAGGGTATCAGCAAACCCAAAGTGCTAGCACCTTCTGTCTGACAGAAGATTACCGTCACCTACAGTGAAGTTCGGAGATAAGCAGTGTGAGACTAGAATGGAGCTCCCTCAATCAACGAGGATCCAGGTCCTTCTGACATGTTAACGCATCATCCTCAAAGTGTGTTAGAGTCCATCTCTTCTGCAATATAGCTACTCAAACTATGGAAACTGGGTCTATACTATATTCCAATTGGCAGAAAGGAACAAAAAAGATACACCAACTTATGTTAAAAATATTTTCTAAGTGTTGCATATAACATTTATGCTCACACCCCATTGTCCAAGACAAGACAGGCTGGATTTTTTTTTATTTTTATTAAATTCCAGGTGGTCTTGTGCCAGCAATAAATATGAGGTTTAATTACTAAAGAAGAAGGTTGAAATAGATATTGATAAGGGTTAGCTATCTGGTAGTAGGGACTTTTCAGCAAGTCCTAAAAGATAACAAGGTGAGCAGTAGTCTGTAATTATGCTGCTATCATTTAAAAGACGGTTTGTTTCATTCATCAAATCTGATCTTGCCATAGTGCATGGCAGTCTTTACTCACAACCAAAGCAAACTCTACAATATTTCGTGAACAGTGAGACTTTTTGAAAATTTATATTAGTTTTATTATATAATCTGCATACAGGCTACTTTTCTGGTCCAGATTTTTCTTCGTGAGGCATTCAAGAAATATCAACTCAATAAACAGAAACTAATTGGAGAAGCAATTTGAATACTTTGTGAATTGACTTGACAAATGCAAAAGTGGATGCACTCATAACATAGTGTAGAACTTCATATATATATTTATTGAATTTTTACAGTGAGGAAGGGAGAGGGGTAGAGAGTTAGAAACATCAATGAGAGAGAAACATTGGTCAGCTGCCTCCTGCACACAGTGCCAGCAACCAAGGTACATGCCCTTGACTGGAATCAAACCTGGGACCCTTCAGTCCACAAGCTCTATCCACCAAGTCAAACTGGTTAAGGCAGCGTAGAACTTCTTAAAACCTTCTCCCAGTTCTCTCAAAATCTGACATACGCACACGCACACGCACGCACGCACGCACGCACCAGAGCATGTATGTACGCCCCTGTTGAACTCCCCACAACCTTTCCCCTAGCCTAGGCATAGTTGGCTTTTGTTTTTCTACCCTTCCTCATTCCCCTGATCTCTTCCAGTAATTACTGCCTGCCCCTTCTTTATAAAGCTATCAAACCGTCTGAGTACAATTCTACACCTGACCTATTGCCTTCCAGAAAACAATTTAGATTAGATTAAATTGTTCTTGAAGTTCAAAGGTCTAGAAGAGCCTATAATGCTTATTTGTTAATTTATATGATCTTGAATACATAATAAAACATATAATTCTATAACCCCTCATATGTAATCGCAAAATCTAAATAGCTTTAGAAACAAAGATTTCTTCTAGTTTATTTGTCAAGCAAAACCTGACCTTAACTTTATGAGAGCATTTATAGCCTCTATATCCCACTTAGTATAAATATTTTTATACTTCATGGAGAAATATTAGTAAAACAATATTATAAGCAATATAGTACCTTTCTGAAGCCCTAATAATTCTGAATCTGAAGTAAACCATTGAGATGGAGAATTATTTGCAATTATTCCCTGTGGCAGTGCTCTATTTTATGCTCATATTTATGTAGGGATAGACAAAATTTACTTCCACTTTTTAAAATTATTTGCTTTTCAAACACAATATATATTAGGTACTGTGAAATATGCATGCCTCAAGAAGTTGAACATGTGGTATGTTAAGAAAAATTACTCAGAACTTGGAATTAGGCAACAGGGATCACTGGAGAAATTTTTCAGTGGATTACTAAGTACGGTCTAGCAGACCTTCTCTGGGGATTATAATTTCCCCAGAAATTACACAGGGGTGTGCAATTATGTTTCATTTTCTACTAAACTAGGTCTTTTGTTTTACAACTATAAAAAGTAGAGGTCAATTTGTAGACAATGGATCAGAATGCAAGTGATTCTTTTTCTGAGACTAACGCAATGATTCTGATCACAGCAAAGCAAATGAATTTTGTCCAGTAAATTCACTTCCATCAATTAGAAAAGCTGATTCCAAATATTAGTTTGTTGCCCTGTCTAAGATTAACCAGTTTTGCATCTATTGGAAAAGTGAATTCAGAATGCCTTTTCCTGACTGACTACATTAACCCCTGTTCCTCAAATTCTTCTTTGAACTATGTATAGCATCTTAATGGTCCCTCATTAACTGAGATGAGTAAAATCTCTGTCACATACTCTTTTTATGTTTACATACCAGGTCAAACTAATTGGAGAAGCAAATTGAATATTTTTGTGAATTTGACAAAGGCCAAAGTGAATGCATTCACAACATAGTGTAGAACTTCTTAAAACCATCTCCCAATTTCTCAAAATCTTACACACATGCACCAGAGCATGTTCACCCTTTGTTGAAACTCCCCACAACCCTTCCCCTAGCCTAGGCATGGCTGGTTTTTGTTTTCCTACCCTTTCCCATTCACTCGATCTCTTCCAGTAATTACTGCCTGCCCATTCTTTATAAAGCAATAAAGCCAGTCTGAGTACAATTCTGCACCTGACCTATTGCCCTAGTTTTCCAGAAAACAATTTAGATTAGATTAAATTGTTCTTAACGTTCAAAGGCCTAGAACTGTGGTCGGCAATCTATGGCTTGAGAGCCACCTGCAGCTCTTTGGCCCCTTGAGTATGGCTCTTCCACAAAATACCATGGCCTGGGCGAGTCTATTTTGAAGAAGTGGCACTAGAAGAAGTTTAAGTTTAAAATATTTGGCTCTCAAAAGAAATTTCAATCATTGTGCTGTTGATATTTGCTCTGTTAACTAATGAGTTTGCCGACCACTGGTCTACAAGAACCTGTTATGCTTATCTATACTAATAAGAGAGTAATATGCTAATTAGACCAGGAGACCTTCTGGATAAAGCCATGGTGGCAGGGACAAGGCATAGATTGTTAGGAGCAATCAGGCCAGCAGGGGAGAGCAATCAGGCCAGCAGGGGAGATCAGGTTGTCAGGGGAGGGCAGTTAGGGGGATCAGGCTGTCAGGGGAGGGCAGTCAGGGGGATCAGGCTGGCAGGAGAGGGCAGTTGGGGACGATCAGGCAGGCAGGCAAAGGCAGTTAGGGGTGATCAGGCAGGCAGGCAGATGAGTGGTTAGGAGCTGCTGTTCCAGATTGTGAGAGGGTGCAGTCTGGGCTGAGGGAAATTCATGTGTCCCCCCACCCTACACGTGCACAAATTTTGTGCACTGGGCCACTAGTTCATCAATAAGCATTATGAATGTTATTAACCATGGAAGATTATACTTTAAAAGGTGTTTGCTCTCATGCCAAAACCGGTTTGGCTCAGTGGATAGAGCGTCGGCCTGCGGACTGAAAGGTCCCAGGTTTGATTCCAGTCAAGGGCATGTACCCTGGTTGTGGGCACATCCCCAGTAGGGGGTGTGCAAGAGGCAGCTGATTGATGATTCTCATTTATGTTTCTAACTCTGTATCGCTCTCTCTTCCTCTCTGTAAAAAATAAAAAAAAATAAAAAAGGTGTTTGCTCCCTAGCAACTCACATATTGACCAAAGATAAGCTATGGAAAACCTATAAGGCAGTTAAGTATACATTAAGTGAAAAATATAAATGATCAGTGTGGATTGGCAAATATTAGTTTGTTGATAATATCTGTATCTATCCTTTTGTTCATCGGTTTATTAGTCAGGTTTCTGGATGACTATGTATAGCATAGTCATTGATTCCGCATCGCTTTCCATTTACTTGGCAGGCAATTCTGCTTTGCATTCTGGAGTGCAGAGGAAGGGAACACACCAACTAGGCCCACTCCCTGTCCCGGAGTTGTTAACAGTTAACACGGGAGAAAGATATGAGCAAGTCATTTCAAAGTAATGCAAACCCATGGAGGAGAGAATGAAATTTGAGACCTTACTGTGTCCCTTAGACTTTATCTTTATTACAATTTTTTATACTATTTTTTTAAACCTAAAATTGTGTAGGAATTTTACTCCTATTTTACCCTGGCACATAACCACCAGCGAATTGTTGTAACAGGCAAGGAGCTATGAGAGCCCCAGCACTAGTTTCCCTGCAGGACTTTGGAGTTCTTCTCAGGTTTGGCATCCAGCAGGACCAGCTCCTTGCTGGGAAGCCATGAATCGGGAAGATCAGAGACAGGTAAGGGTGATTGACTTCCCTGCGCACTCTGTCTTCAGCACGCTCACAGCCTGGGCAGAGCTGGTTATTTGAGAAAAGGGGGATGAGGTAGTGCCCAGAGTTGGGTTTTATCTGGAAAAGCATCAGCGATTGGCACCCCTTTCTCCACCAGCAGCGCTGGACAGAGTTGCAGAAGGTGGACTTTAAACATGGGCAAATATTGACAGAGGTGAAGGTCACGGCAAGACCCTGTCGCCCACGTCTGTCATGGAAGGATAAGCCTGCACTTCAAAAAGACTGGTCAGCTGGATTTGCATGACCAGAACCCAAGCAACTTCTGAAACTGAGTTTTAAAACTGGCAGTTCTTTTTCCATCCCTTTATGTTCTTGCAAAGTCTTTTCTGTAGCAACTTCACCCAGCTGTTTTTAATTTCCTGTTTACAAATTCTCCCTCCCCCCCCCCCCGCCCCCTTTTTTTTTGCATTTTTTCCAGGGAGGAGAAATCAATACAAACCTGTTCTCTAGGAGGGAGGTGGTTGGTTGGTCTGATCTTGAGCGGTGTTAGATGACCTGTTTTGATCCAAACCAGGCATCCAGGCCTGAGTCAAGCAATTGATCACAAGATGTTTTTCCCGGTTGTGTGCTCTCTTGTGGTTGTGTGGCTGATTTCTGGCTCAGATGGTACGTATGCTTTGCTTAAGCTCAGTTTTCAAGGCACTTGATGTCAGTTTGTGGGTTGAGAGGCATTCTGTCTAGGATTCTAATGACATTAAAATCAATGAAATGTATGGGTCGCATTGAAAAATCTCAGGTTGCTTGGCTGTATTCTCTGTACTCCATAGGGGCTTAGTCAACATTGACTCTGAGTCTGCTCTGTAAGTGGGCGGCTACCTGCTTGCTTACCCCTTCTGTTGAAGGAGCAAAACCAGCATCCGTTTCAGTGGTCTTATATAAACTCCAGCAGTGCCTTTTGGAAAGGGGATTGCTTTTTTTTTTTCCCCCTCATTTTTTTATTAAGGTATTATATGTGTACATACCTTACCAATCTCTCTCCCCCCCCCCCCCCCCCGCACTCCCATATATGCTCTCCCTCCCCAGAGTTTTGCGTCCATTGGTTATGCCTATGTGCATTCATACAAGTCCTTTGCTTGATCTCTTATCTCCCCCATATCTCCCTACCCTCCCTGCTGTAATTTTGACAGTCTGTTTCTTTACTGTCTCTGTATCTATTCTTTTGTTCATCGGTTTATAATGTTCCTTATTCTCCATAAATGAGTGAGGTCATGTGGTATTTTTCTTTCATCGACTGGCTTATTTCACTCAGCATAATGTTCTCCAAGGGAATTGCTTCTTTGGGAGTGGATAACGTGCGGCTGAATTTGAGTGAAATTCCGGTTAACCTGAATCCCAGGATGTGGATGTACATTAACATGGAAGATTACAAGGAATCAGAATCAATAAGCCAGCAAAAAGAGAGTCAATGGGGGAGGAAGGGGGGCTTGACTGAGGGCTTCCTCACCACACCTGACGTGCCAGTGAGTCCGTTTCCTTTTTCCACCAGCACAGAGCTGTCCGGAACTTCCCTCCGTGGACTATAGCATAGTTGTTGCGAAGGAGGCGGAAGGACGCGTCCTGGGGACCTACACGTGCATGCAGGGCTACCACCTGGAAGGAGAGAGCACTTTGTTTTGCAACGCCTCTGAGGGGTGGAATGCCCCTACACCCAGGTGCCGCTGTAAGTTGGATCTTTCTGCTTCTTTGTCCATCTTGCCAACCCCCTGTATCCTTTCACCATTCTACTCCAGTAGCTCCTGTTCAAACGTGGTAAGGCAAGAATTCCAACTCCTAGGAATCCATTTTTAAAGCACCCTAGTGGCGGGACTTCTTTTAGGCGGCACATGATCAGCTCCGCATAGACTCAACCACCCTCCAAAAAGGAAAGACTTTCCACCAAATAGTAAAATGACTTTTTTTTTTTTTTGGGGGGGGGAGGTTGTGAGGGCCTGTTAAATGTTTAATATCATGCTGATTTGCAGTTTTTATATTATAAAGATTTTAAACGTATTGAAGGCATAGTTATCACCCAGCTTCAACAAGTATCAATCAGCACACGACTGATTTTTTTCCTCCTACAATGCTGCTTTGCGTTATTATTACTTGGAGGTAGTAATCTGCCATATCATTTTTCTTCATTCACCCTATAACTTTGAAATGAGAAAAATTTATGTCGTTAATTTATAAATGTGATAACTGAGATCCACGTGACTTGCTCACGCTCTCAAAACTCACTTTATGGTGTCTGTAGAGATGGAGGAAAAGTCGTCCGTGTTCTCTTTATTAGTACTACGTTTAGGAATAGTTGGATCGATTCTCCTTTATTCCCAAGGTGAAGAACATCAGCATGTTAACCTTTTACTCATATGACCAAATTCACATCTCTCTGCATTCTCTCCTGTTTTTACACTCGAGAAAACAAAATGAAGTAAAAAAAAAATAATAATAAATAAAAAAAAAAGGGCAGTATCCATGTATATTTGGCTGGATAAATAAGAAGGAAACACTTGCCTCAAACACAGGCTCAAGGATTTTGAGCAATGCTTTACATAACAGGATGAGGAGCTTGCCATTGGCAATTTCCAGTTTGATGCTTAACTATTTTTATTAAGCTCAAGTGCCTATTTTCACTCTTGTCCAAAACCAAGACCTTTTCACTCTTGGTCATGTACAGGAATGACAATGACAAGAGTGACCCTCAGGCCAATCCAGTCTTCTCTCACCCTGATTGATACCATTTGGTATCACGTACTAGTCCCTACTAAGAGAGTGCAGTTTTAGCTCGAATTTCTTGTTTTCTCAGTGACGCGCCGGGAGGTCTAGGGTCTGCTGTGGTGGGTTTCATCCTGGCCCTTTCAGGTCACTGCCTCTTTTCTTCTGCAGTGGGCCACTGTCCCGACCCTATGCTGCTGGATGGCAAGTTTAGTTTCCAGTGGCCTGTGAAAATGAGAGACAGAATCACGTTCCGATGCAATGAGCACTACATCCTCAAAGGCAGCAACTGGAGCCAGTGCCATGAGGACCACACCTGGGTGCCTCCCTTTCCCATCTGCAAAAGCAGTAAGTTCAATAGAAACACATGCAAATCCCAAAGATGTCGATCAACATTGGCCGCCAGGCGCTCGCCACATCCATTGGATGACTTCCTCTCTTGTGTATCTGGGGAGGGTTTAGGATCTAACAGACAGCCAAGAAACACTGGGAGGCCCTAGCCTGTTTTGCTCAGTGGATAGAGCATCGGCCTGCAGACTCAAGGGTCCCAGGTTCGATTCCAGTCAAGGGCATGTACTTTGGAGTGTGCAGGAGGCAGCTGATTGATGTTTCTCTCTCATCGATGTTTCTAACTCTCTACCCTTTTCCCTTCCTCTCTGTAAAAATCAGTAAAAATATATTTTTAAAAAGAGAGAAAGAAACATGGGAGCTCAAGGAGCTGGGCCTCAGCTCCAGGTGGCATATTCCAGTGAAATGAGCAGCATTCAGACAGTGAACAACGCTTTTTTATTTTCTTGAGTAGGATTCCCGTCCACTAGGTCTAGCACAGGGCAACTTGGAACATCTGACTTTTTAAAAAATATATATATATTTTATTGATTTCAGAGAGCAAGGGAGAGGAAGGGAGAGGGAGAGAGAGATAGAAACATCAATGATGAGAATTACCGATGGGCTGCCTCCTGCATGCCCTCCTACCTGGGATCAAGCTAGCAACCTGGGCGTGTGCCCTTGATCAGAATTGAACCTAGGACCCTTCAGTCCACATGCCTGATGCTCTAGCCACTAAGCCAAACTGGTTTGGGTCATCTGACTATTTTTTAAATTTTTATTTCAAGATACTGGAAATTTTTATTTAAAAAATACACAAAAACAGGGGAAAAGGCCATTACTTATAGTAAAATAAGAGTTGAAAGTACCTTTTATTATTTTATTATATGGAATAAGAGTTGAATGTACCTCCTCTATCATTGTAATTCACAGTTCTCAAAGGCAGTTAGCTGGATGTATTTATTTCATGATTTTTTCCCTTTAATTTATGCAGGTATTTTAAATAAACAAATGCAGTGGTTCCTGTCATAGCTCCAGAATGCAGGATTTCTGTCTTTTTGTTTTAGTTCATCGCCCAATTCTGAGGGAAGCTCCCTCAGTCCCTGAATAAAGCAGACTCTTTTCTGTTTAGGCCCAAGATCCAAATCATCTCCTTCATTTCAAAACCGTACTCTTAAAAGTCACCAGAAAACCCTATCTAAACTTGAGTTTCTTAAGTCATTGAAATTTTTTTTTTCTTTTCTCTATAAAACCTTTGAACTCAGTTTTTGATCTTTTTAAAAAATATATATTTTATTGATTTTTTTACAGAGAGGAAGGAAGAGGGATAGGGAGTTAAAAACATCGATGAGAGAGAAATATCAATCAGCTGCCTCCTGCACAGTCCCCACTTGGGATATGCCTGCAACCAAGGTACATGCCCTTGACTGGAATCAAACCCGGGACCCTTCAGTCCACGGGCTGATGCTCTATCCACTTAACAGTTATTTATTAACTGCTCAAGTAATGTATCTCTGTTGTAAAAAAATATTTCAGAAAATAAAAAGAGAAAAATGTAATTACCTACAGGCTGACCACCCAGGGATCGCAGAGTACTTTGATATATAATTTTCAGACATTGTTGTTCATAGATGTTTGTATAGGATGGTGTTTTACAAAAATTATATTATTGTATACATACTCTTTGATGTCTTGCTGTTTGTACTCAGCTATTTGGGCTGAAGACCTTTATAGACCTTTTTGTTTCAGTAAACATACACCTGTGTAATTATTCTTGATTTAGCCTTTAATCTTGATCAACATGTTTAGACTTAACCTCAGAGCTGAAAGCATAATATCATTTCACCTGCTCATTGTATAGGTTTAGGAAGAAAGCCAAGAGAGATGAAATGGCTTCGTTAGTGCCATGCAGTTACTGGAAGAGCCAGAACTAAAACTCACAACATCTAGTACCTCCTCCAGCTCTCTTTCTACAATTCTCAACCTTAATGATCCATGCTTTGTTCTCCTTTAAAAAAAATTTTTTTATTGATTTTTTATAGAGAGGAAGAGAGAGGGATAGAGAGTTAGAAACATCGACAAGAGAGAAACATTGATCAGCTGCCTCCTGCACACCCCAATCTGGGGATGTGCCCGCAACCAAGGTACATGTCCTTGACTGGAATCAAACCCGTGACCCTCCAGCCCACGGGTGACACTCTATCCACTGAGACTAACTGGTTTCCGATGTTCTCCTTTTTTTTTTTTTTTTTTTTTTTTTTTTTTTTTTATGAAGCTCTCATATTGTATAACTCTGTCCCTTGGGGATATCAGTCTCTATTTGAACTCACACTATTGATTTCCTGTTTCAGAGTTTACTTCTTCAATTTCGGTTTGTGGGCTAAATTTTCTTTTCTTATATACTGACAATTAGCATCTCGACCACTTAACCACCTTTCCTTGAGCTCCTGCCAATCAGGAAAGTCCTCTCAAGTCTCTAGTGACTCAGGATGAGCCCAGGGAGGGGGTCTTTCCCATGGACAGATATGATTTTGAGCAGAAGAAAATGAATGGAGAACATATATGTCCCTAGATGTCACATGTACTGCTATGATGATGGTAGGTGCTGGCATGGACAATTACATGTAGGGGGTGTTGTTAATTGAGCATAACTGAACTTCAGAACTGTCTCTCCTATTGTCCTGCCCCCAGGAGACTGTGGCCCTCCTGGGAACCTAACTCATGGCTATTATGAAGGAGCAGATTTCAACTCAGGATCTACCATTACTTACCACTGTGAAGACAGGTAAGAGGAAAGCTTGCCCATTGACTAGTAGTGTTCTTTTTAGGAATGACCCAGTCTGTCTCAAAACTAGTCCCCTGATTTCCTACTGCTCAGGATTCCGAGCTCATTCTAATTCTGAGAGTGGCCTTAGTCCATTTCCAGCTACACCCAATCCCTAGAAGACAGACAAACCTTCCTATTTATCCTAATTAAAGCATCATCTTTTTTTTTTCCTATTAGGTAAGACAAAATAGATATTATAAATGTATTTTTTCCCCCTAAGGAACCTCTGAACAAAAAATTCAAGGAAATACAGAACACACGGAACTGCAGAAATAGAGAGATTTAGAATATAGGTCCTTAAAATACCCTAAAGTCTAGCCTTAATTTAGACTGCCTGGTCACCCACCTTACAGATCGCCTCGCATTTTCTTTTCCTTGCTCCTTCTTATTGACTCGGGGTTGTGTGCCTTCACTAGCATTTCAATCTCATTATGTACCTCCAGCAAACTTTGCAGTCAATTCTCGTGTGTTTTTTTTTTTTAATTTTTAATTTTATTTTTTTCTGATTAAAAGTTGCAGCCTCTTTTCAGCCAGTTCACTAAGATGCATTTGAAGGCTGTCTCTAGCTTTCTGCTCCTTTTTAGAGCCTAGATGACAGATGCTTATTTAAAGCTCTTCCCCTCACCTCCCTTTCAAAAACTGTATGTATAAATGCACATATTCAGAATTTCTCACTTCTTGTTTTATGGGTTGACTCATCCGTTGGGCTCTCCACACTCCAGGGGGCAGTTGTACTTGAGTACTACCTTGTAATACGGAGAGCATGCCTTATGGGTACAGGGCAGAGAGGTGGGTTCTGTCACAACCAGAAATACCGAAATACAGCAACACAAAACCAGCCTTAGATGCCCAGTTCAGAAGGTGAAAGGCTAAGCGTTGTGGCCATTCTAATTTCTGTTCAGGTACCGCTTAGTGGGCACACCGGAGCAGCGATGCATTGATGGGGAATGGAGCGGGGCACCTCCGGTCTGTGAACTGACCCCAGAAGCTCCCAAACCAGCCCCACAGACTGCGCATGAGAAGGCACTGGTGAGTAGTAGGCTCTTGTCTGTCTTGTTCACAGCTGGATCTTCAGGGCTTGGCATTGCTCTTAGTACATGCTTAGTAAATATCTGATCAATTTGGGATGATTTTGAATGGGTTGGCCTTGACCTGATTGTGGAATGGGGGCACGTAATCTATTATCTCACATTTTTATTTATGGTAGTTCCCATTTGCCACCCGATGAGGCACTGTTAGTAGGTGTCATTGTTTCGTGTACTTTGTAGAGCAAGGCACCTAAGCTCATGTCTATAATATTTTTATTGATTTCAGAGAGGAAGGGAGCGAGAGAGAGAAACATCAATGATGAGAGAAAATCATTGATCAGCTGCCTTCTGCATGCCCTTTACTGGGGATTGAGCCAGCAACTCAGGCATATGCCCTTAACTGGAATTGAACCTGGGACTCTTCAGTCTGCAGACCAACGCTCTATCTACTGAGCTAAGGTGACAACTCAATTTTCATTGAGACTCCTCTTTTAGTTTATATTTACTACTGGGATAATAGTAAGTATATTTGAGCATCATGTTTAAGATTCACATCCCTATGTAAATTGGCCTGGTTCTAAGCCCCATTCACATACTCACTATCTTCAGAATATCGAGCTGGCTCTCCATTCTTAAGTTGTCATTTACAAAAAATTTTCTTTCTTCAGCTTGCCTTTCAAGAGAGTGAGGAACTTTGCAAAGCTGTAGAGAACTTTATGCAAAGATTAAAGGAAAATGGCACAACAATGGAAGAGCTAAAACGTTCTCTGGAAAGAAAGAAAGCTGAGTTGGAGGCAAAAATATTGTCCTGACATTGTAGCTGAGTTGACTGGGTAATGTCAATACACCTATAAATAAAGTTTCCTCTTGGTTCTGAAATTGGTTTCAGAATTTTCTCTCATTGGACTGAAAAGCAACTTCATAGTAATCAACTGCAGTTGTATGATGGACCGTGTGTGAGTGTGTGTGTGTGTGTGTGTGTGTGTGTGTTTTGTGTGTGTGTGTGTGTGTGTGTGTGTATGTGTGTGTATGTTTGAATGTGGAAGGACCAAGTGTGATGGTTGTCTATTTAAGACAAGAATTAGCAACACCATTAATGGGGAGAAAAAGATTTGATTTCCTGTATACCAGGAAAATCAAAAGCTCAGATCATAACTAAGAGTGTGCCTCATATTAATATGAGACAGGAACGATGCAGCCAAAATTAACCTCAAGTGAACCAAAATTATGAGGTAAAAATTAACCATTTATTTTGGGGAAACAGGCTCAAAACAGTTATATCTTCAAATGGGCCATTGAGGAATAAGTAGAATTAGGATCCAAACTCTCTCCTGGGTTTTGCCCCTATATCCTATTTATGAAACCAGGTTTCCAAATCTTCCACAGTACGTAAGATTGCTCATGACCTTTTGGATGAAACCCATCCTGCACGGTAAATGTGAGATGGTGCATCACAAGCGAATATATTCTTTTATTTTTTTGAGACCAGAAGACACAACAATCCCAATGGTTTCCTGTCAAGATGTTATACTGAGCTGATATCACAAGCTTCTTCCATCCCCCACTCTGCCCTCTGTTTAAGACAGATAGGAAATGTGAGTAAAGTACAAGCAAAATACATAAGAGAGCTTGAAATAATGGAAAATCTATAGGAGAAATTAAGAAGAAGAAGAACAAGAAGAACAAGAACAAGAGGAGGAGGAGGAGGAGGAGGAGGAGGAGGAGGAGGAGGAGGAGGAGGAAGAACAACAACAACAACATAGACTCTCAAGTAGCCCACAGTCTCTGAATGTACATGTCTTCATTTAGGATGGTTAGGATGAAACAGGCATCTTTCACAGAACAGTGTGCTATGGGAGCCCACATGTGAGGTATGACTTCCATCTGGGAAGGGTTAGAGGCAGGAAATTTGTCAAGGAAGATGTCATTGTTATTTGAGCCTTTAAAAATGAGAAGAAGTTGGAGACAAAGATTAGGGAGGAGACATTCCAAGTGAAAAAAGAATTTGAGAAATGTAATGAGAGCCTGAGCTTTTTCAACCAAGTAAGTCCGCTTGTAGAATTAATCTAACTCGAGCAAAATGGCTTTTAATGTGAAGCTATTCATTTTGTTATGACCTTTATAGTCTGCCCTAGTAAGGACTTATGAGCATTGGAAATGTCCCATCTTAGAGAAATGTTAAATAAATCATGACACATCAAATGTAATGCAGCTTTTTATAGTGAAAACTAGAGGCCAGGGCATGAATTCCTACCTGGGTGGGGTCCCTTGGCCTGGCCCGTGATTGGGGCTGTCTTGCCCAGTCCTGACAGGGGCCATTTGGGCCAGCTGGACAAGGAGAGAGACCACGGAGGTTGACTGGCTGTGGGAGATTGGCTGTGGGAGCATACTGACCACCATGGAGCAGCTCCTGCATTGAGTGTCTGCCCCCTGGTAGTCAATGCATATCATAGTGACCGGTCAACTGGTTGTAACAGTCACTTAGACTATATATATATATATATATATATTTATATATTTATCATATATCATATATCATATATCATATATCATATATCATATATTATATATATTATATATATATCAGAAAATTATAAAATATAATCTTGAATCTTGAAATAAAATACAGAAAGACAAGTTGCTATGATTGAATTTATTAAAAAACTTATTCTTATAGAAAAGGATCAGGCAATAATAGATACAGATGAAAACAGTTGTCTTAAATTTTAAGACTTAAAAGATGAAATTACAGGTATTAACTTTTAAAATAATAATTTGTTCCCACTGATTTTTAGAGAGAGTGGGAGGGAGGGAGGGGAGACAAAAGAGAGATGGAGGAAGAGGGAGAGGGAGAGGGAGAGGGAGAGGGAGAGGGAGAGGGAGAGGGAGAGGGAGAGGGAGAGAGAGAGAGAGAGAGAGAGAGAGAGAGAGAGAGAGAGAGAGAGAATCATTAATGTGATATTGGTTGCCTCCCTTCCCACATGGACCTGACTGGCCTGGGGATTGATCCTGCATCTCAGGTATGTGGACTTAGCCAGGAATCAAACCCATGATCCTTAGGTGTGCTGGATGACACTCTAACCACTGAGAAAAACTGGCCAGAGCTAAATAATAATTTTTGAGAGGTGCTCTGCAGAGGCAGGAAAGATGGGGCCTGTTTGGGGACTAGCACATTGTCTGACTTGGCCTGAATAAAGCATGGGAAGTGATGAGAGAAAAAGCTGGAAAGATCCATTACAGTAAGTCTATAGAGGGCTTTAAAAGGTATGTTGGAGATTTTAAAATTATTTGGTAGGCAGTGAGTACAAATGTAAGACTTTTAAATAAGGAAGTGATGAGGACAGAACACAGACTGTAGGTACTACTGGTGGAAGTAGGAAAAGAACTGAGACAGAGAATCCACTACAATAGTCCCCAGGAGCGACAATGATGGCCTGAACCAGTTTGATGGCAGTAGAAATAGAAAAGAAACAGCAGATAAGAGAGACATTGCAAAACCCAATAAGAATAATATGTCAACTGACTGAACGTTGGAGGATGAGGGAGAGAAGAGTTTGAAGGGGAGTCTGAAATAGTATTCCTGGGAGCCTGGCTTAATGGTGGGGTCAGAGGTAAGGCTCTAGGCAGGAAACGAGAAGTTCCCCTTTGGATGTGCTGAGTATAAGGTACTTGTAAGATATCCATTTAGGAGAGTAATCAGAGATAAAGATAAAGATGTAGTTAGAGATAAAGATATAGTTCTCTTATAGGGAATAGTTAAAGCCATGAGAGTAAGTACGGTAACTAAAGATGTGAAGAAAAAAGAATTTAAAAGAAGAGCCTGGGGTGTATCCATACTTAGGAAGGAGAAAGTAGGGGTACAAATAATCAACAAAGAGCTATTAGTAAGATTGGAGCATCAGGAAAGTCTAAGTGAATGGAAACCCTGGGAGAAGAGAGTTTCAGAAAGGAGATAATCAGCAGTGTTCCAGGCTGCTAAGAAACCAAAGGAGATAAATACATTTTGGGTTTGGAGAAAAGGTCATGTCTCAAAGAGGTCTTTCAGAAATGGTGGGAAGAAGTCAGATGGGAAGGCCACAAAAGGAGGGCTGAGGACTGATAATGAGAAAGAGTAGGGAGGAAACGTGGAAGCCTTTTTTGAGAAGTTCAGCATTTCACAACAGAAGAAACATAGAATTTAAGGTTTCAGCAAGATGAAGGCAATATTTCAGGATGAAAGACACGCTGAAAATAAGGAAGGCTTTGGTTGGTAGTTCAGTTGTCCTGATACACCAAGGTTTTGGGTTTGATTCCCAGTCAGGACACATACAAAAACCAACCAATGAATGTATAAATAAGTAGAACAAATAGATATATATCACTCTCTTTCTCTCTCTCTCTCTCTCTTTTAAGAAAATAGGGGGAAAGGGGTGGGGGGCGGGGAGAGTAAGAGATCAACCAAAGGACTTGTATGCATGCGTATAAACATAACCAAAGGACACAGACATAGGGGGGTGAGGGTATGTGCTGGGGGATGGGAGTGGCCGGGGAGAGGTCAATGGGGGAAAAAGGAGACGTATGTAATACTTTAAACAATGAAGAATTTAAATTAAATAATATAAAAAAAAGAAAATAGGGGAAAGAACAAACACATATCTTCTGAAATAAGAGTGAATAGGAAAGAAAACTTGGGGTGGGGAGAAGCTACTGTAGAATGGTTTTCTTTTTTAGTGAAGTAGGACACAGGTCATCTGCTGAGATTAAGACACTTAGTGATCTGGAAAGAAAAATTTGAAACAGTAACTCTGGAAAATAAAGAACTCCAATAGATTGGAAAAATGGTATTTTCAAGACTCAATTTTAAGGTAATATTTCCTCTAACTTAGCTCTCAAAACTATACAATCCAGAATCCTCCTTTATGCTCATTCTTATCAAATCATTTTCACCTTTTCACCCATGTGAAAAACTCTAATATCTTCCTCATTTTATTTATTTATTTACTTATTTACTTAAAATATGTTTTATTGATTTTTTGCAGAGAGGAAGAGAAAGGGATAGAGAGTTAGAAACATCGAGAGAGAATCATCGATCAGCTGCCTCTTGCACACCCCCTACTGGGGATGTGCCCTCAACCAAGGTACATGCCCCTTGACTGGAATGGAACCCGGGACCTTTCAGTCCGCAGGCCGTCGCTCTATCCACTGAGCCAAACCGGTTTCGGCATCTTCCTCATTTTAATCTAGTAATTTCCACCTTTCATTCAAAGCTCAACCTAAATGTTATATATTCTGTCAAAACATCTGCTGTGCTTCTATTCCTTCTTTTCTGAAAAATTTAAGAGACTTTTGTATTTATTATAGAAAAGACAAAGTTGTCAGGAAGAATTGCTTTCTCATAGCAATCTCCTGAGCTCACAAACTTGAATCTTAAGGATTAATAACTTGATTGGATAATGTTTGAGTTTGAGATCTGTTCTGGATCATGTGATAATAAACATGGCTGGCTGTTCATTGAATTCTTCTGAGCAGCACTCAATGGTAGACTAACTTCTGGAGGTCACTTAGTGCTCAGCACTTAGTAGTAGTAGGGTTGGTAGTAGTTAACATTTACTGAGTACTAATAATATTGCAAGCAATGTGGCACCAATCAGGAACTCAATAAATGTATGAAACTCCCCACCTTTTTCCTATTTTCTTGAAGTGACCAAGACAGGTCAAGGTCATCTAGAGGTCACAGTGCCCAGGAAAGCCTACTGGACCTAGCATCATGGAAACTGTGTCATGTTTGTGAACTTAGTCTGAACCCTGTTGTAGCCAAGGATCGCAGGCTAGCTGAATTGAATTTTTCATAACCTCATGTGTTTATGAATAAAGAAAAAGAATTCTGGCATCAAATACATATTACATTTTCATTTAGGGGAAATGGTTGGCAAAGAGAAAAATGATTGCAACATGTTATCTAGAATGAGGGCTAGTAGAGAGGAAGGAGATTGGGTAAACACTGGTGCTGTGTTTCTGCTGTTAATCATTCACTGGGCCAATCAAGAATCCATTTGCCTCTTTTTATGCAGCCGTCCCCAATCAGCCAACCACATGGCTGTAATTCCGGGACTTTTGGTAGACCAATGACTAGAAAGCATCAGGATATTCTGGTAAACTGTTATCTGAGGATGAAATAGAACCATTAGAGATCAAGGCAGTTTTCTTCCTTAAGAAACTACCCAAGGCATCACAATAGAGTCTTCTGCTGCTTCCTCAGCTACTTGCAGGTCAGTGGATTTCTTGGGGTACTTTGGGGAAAGGCTGGTGGTTTAGGAGTGCAAGATTAGAAGGATGAGACAGAGATAAACACTTGGGGTGTTTTCAGCAGAAATCTGTCCAGCAGTAATGCATTAGGGTGTTTACATGACTTGAGTACTTTTAATCTCTTCTGAGCCTCAATTTTTAATGATAAATGGGGGAATAATAGATACATACTCAAAATAAACTGAAGTAGAAAAAAAAGTTGTTGCTCTTGTGATTGTATCTAAAAGTTGAGTGTGTTGGTTTGTTGTGCTTTTTTTTCTTCCCCATCTATGAAGGAGAGTGGAAGCAGGAGGTAAGCCAGACTTCCCAAAGGGGTTCAAAGAAGACCTGGTTTTCATAGTCTGCATTCTGAAAATTAATGCAATTTCCTTTGGAGATTTTATTAGCTCCTCGATACCTCCTTCACCATGGACAGTAAAGACCTTTATAACTGATAAAAAGGAGGATATTGGTCAGTGTCAAGTTACTTTGTGAAGCTAGAAGCCATAGTCATCCTCACCTCCTCTATTTCCCTCACTTGCAATGTTGATTATTATTTCTTCTTGAAATTCTCTTCCTGCTTGGGCATGACATAGTACTATCCTGGGCCTCATTTTAGTTCTTCATCCACCTTTCTTTTTGTCAACTCCTCTTTTGTCTCTTTCTATAGTAGTACAAGGAGAATAAAAAAGTAGAATATCCAGAAGAAAAAGAAGCGTCAAAAAAAGGTTTATAGTAAGTGTAGAGATACATTTAAATATAATATGCACACAGAAGTAAGAAACTGATATCTATCTTTCTATCTATCTATCTATCTATCTATCTATCTTCTATGATATGAAGGAAAATGTGGAAACAAGTTCTTCCTGGAATCTCAAAGTGATGTGATTGAGAATTGCAGGCATAAGCAAGGAGACAAAACAATTGAGACTATAGAAAATATTCTTTACCAAGGTATCTGAAATTTAGAAGGAGTAGTTTAGATATAATAAATACATTAACTTGAAAGTAATCTTTGATGGAAGAAGAAATTTGGGGGCTGAGGATTTTCCCCGTGCCTCTCAAATTGTACTGCATTGGCCAGGGCCAATAGTATTTTTTGCAAGAGACCCACCATGTTGACTATAGCTCTTGAGTTGGTTTCATTTCCGTAAGAATTTAGAAGGTGAGGATGTAATTGACCTCTGAGGGCATATGCTAGAGAAACGCTAGCTTTTCAGTGGGCACTACAAAAGTCTGCACTTTGTGGACAATAGATTTAAGTTTAATGTCCAATGATTTAAGTTTAATGTCTTTGTTTTCATGATGAGAAACAGATTCAAGGAGCTGCTGTAGTTTCTATAGGATCACAAAATTAGATGATGGTACTGCTGGGACTCAAGCTCAGACCTCCATACTCTGGTCTGCTGAATTCTGGGCAGGTTCTGCTGAGGCACCAAAGAATAGGACGGTGAACCACAAATACTGCATCTGCCAACTGAGCTACTGTACATCCTGAGAATGTGTAAGGGGAATCAGATCACTGTATCATCTCTTCAAAATACACAAAGCACTTCCCATTATTTCATTTGACCCTCAGTAAGGCAGTCAATCGTTCTTAAGGAGATAAAACTGAATTGGATTTTATGTATCTCACATTTATTGGAACTCTATTATATGCCATATATAATAGTAGGTTAGGCTCCTTACAAGGACACCTGAAGCCCTAGCCGGTTTGGCTCAGTGGATAGAGCGTTGGCATGCAGACTGAAGGGTCCCAGGTTCGATTCTGGTCAAGGGCATGCACCTCGGTTACAGGTTCGATTCCCTGGCCCTGGTTGGGGCGTATGTGGGAGGCAACCAGTCAATGTGTCTTCTCTCACATTGACGTTTCTCTCTATATATCTCTCCCCCTCCTTTCCACTCTTTCTAAAAATCAATGGGAAAATATCCTCGGGTGAGGATTAACAGCAACAACAACAAGAACAGTTGAATAAATAACTTCCTTGTCTGGAAGAGACTTACAGTCTATTTCAGGAGGCAGAAGTGAATAGAGACAATACAATGTGGTGTTGCAATTAAGGTATCAGGAATGTAATAGAGGAGCATAATAGAGACTGATATTTCCTGGTGGTGTTGGCACTTCTTCGTCAAGGAAGTGACCTGATCTCCATGTTGGAGGTGAGAGCGTCCATGCACGAGGGAGAGTACTCTATATAAATGACTGACACTGTTTAAGAATCATCCCAGGGGGTGCTTTGGGAAAGGTAAGCACGTTCATGAACTTGAAGCATGGAGTTCGAAGTGAGCAGAAGCAGAGGAATGGGGCCCTGAGGAATTGGGAACCCCAACAGCTTTTAAGTAAGCTGCTTTTTAGGATTATCACCACGCCAACGAGGCAGCTGGCTTACACATGCCTGGAGGCTTTTGTAGTGGTGTAGGGTAGGGTGAAGGAAATTAGGAGAACCGCACCCTGGACTGTGGAAGTGGGGTGTAGAGGAGAGTGACTGGATATGAAAAGGAGCCACGGGAGAGGAGGCGAGGATAACTCAGGTTTCTGGTGGGGGCGGCGAGGTGGAGAGTATTTATTACTTTAGTGAAACAGAAAACACAGGGGCCGAGCACTATTCAAGAGAAGAAAGTTTGGGATCTGTTGGATTCCAGGTATGTGGGAGATAGAAATGAAGCAGTTGGAGATACTGATCTGAACCTTGGAAATCAGAACTTACATTTTAAAAAGGTGTTGTTTTTTTTCTTAAATATGAAATCTAACAAGTGGTTGCTAGGTCTGGGGTTGGGCACAGGAATGGGAGGAATAAGGAGAAGTTAGTAAAAGTGTGTTAACTCTCGGCTATAAGATGAAAATGGTTTGAGGTTCTAATGTAAGACATGGTGACTACAGTGGGTAATATTGTACTGTACAGTATCATTAAAGTTTGCTAAGAGAGTAGCACTTACGTGTTCTTGCCAAAAAAGGAAAAGGTAAACCTGAGAGGTGGTGCATGTATTCATGAACTAGGAATGGGGAGGGGAAGGTTCCTTGGCAGTGCCTCTGTCAAACCACCCTGAGGTACACTTTAAGAAACTTACAATTCGTCCCTTTCACCGCAATCAAGCTGACATTTAGAAAATTTGAGAGTCAAACATTTTAGCTCTTAGACTTAGAGTTACAAGTGAAGAGGAAAAGGGCAGTGACTTATTTCTGGATTTGCAAAGAAAATGGACAAACGGTTACACTTTTCAAACACAAACGTTCATTTTTAAGTATTATGCCAAAAACAATTTGCTGAGATCACCAGTCAGCATTATAGACTTTTATAGGGTTAAAGGTTGAGTGCAATTGGCAAAGCTACACTCTCTAAAGTTCAGCAACACCTGCTTTGTTAGAAAAAAACAGTTTGCAAGATCAGTTTTATGAGGCAGATATCTGTTTCTCTGCAGCTGCAGGGGAGAGAAAAGACTTCCTCCTTATTTTGCCAAGATTTCTTTCACTGCTTTTTTTTTTTTTTTTTTTTCAGGCTAAGCCCTGGAATTCCGCCAGTTAGCAACTAGAATACGGGAGGCAGGCCTGAATGGCTCAACATTGACACGGAAGGAATAGGGTAGAATAACGTGTTTATTAACAGTGAGTTTATGATGCTTGCAAGGTTTTGTACCTACAAGAGGCAGTTGGGCCCAGAGGACTATGAGTGATCCATGGGTGATGCTTAAAGTCGTGGGAATAGATGAGTCCCTCTGAGGAAGACAGTTAAGGGTGAGGGAAGAAGAAGCCCCTGAGAGAAGGGTGAGGCTTAATAAGCTTATATAGGTTTCAAGTGTACATTCCTATGACATAAGATTGGTACATTGTACTGTGTACCCTGCACCAAAGTCAAATCATCTTCTGTCACCAGAAACGTTGAATTTTATCTTTTATTCTGACATTTCTGTTAGATCCAGATGAGGTTGCACCCCCTACCCCTCATAGTCTGGGACAGAAATATCTTTAAGGGAAATACTGAGGACATGCTTAGTATGAATTATGGACACATGGGAGTGCATATATATATATATATATATATATATATATATATATATAGATCTCTCCTCTCTCTTCTCTCTCTCTCCCTCTCTCTCTCTCTCTCTCCTCTCTCTCTCTCTCTCTCTCTCTCTCTCTCTCTCTCTATATATATATATATATATATATATAGATATATAGATAGATAGATAGATAGATAGATATATAGAGCCACTTTTTCAAAACTGCAAATTGCTTGATGACCTATTTTTTCAGTTGACAGCTGTTTTGAGGAATTTCCAAGACTATACATAGCCATCCAACTCTTTTTCTCTATCTCGTCATTTCCCTGTCTTTTTGTTTTGTTTTATATTTGTTCCCTTTTCTCTAAATCCTCTGCCATTTCCTTAGTCACATCATCTCTGTGGCTCACCTGGTCAATTGTAATAGCCTTCTTTTTTTTATGTCACTTAAAAATTATGTAATATTTTATTTTATTATTTTTCCCCATCACCATTTATCCCCCATATACCCTCTTTCATCTCTGCTGCCCCCTCAGCCAACCTTCCTGTTTCTTCTCTTTGTTTAATCTCTTGTGTACACATCTGCCACAGCCATCTTCTTAAAGCACAAGGATGTCACTCCTTAGCTTTCAAGCAAACAAACCCCAAACCAACTAACAAAAAGGCTCTTTATTCCTCAAAGAATAGCACTCATAAACCCCTAACTTGGCCTTTCTATCCCTTTTCAGGCACACCTTTAAGTCGCCCCTTCCTTCACGACTATCTCCCCATCTCAGGTACTATTTTCTAGCCACATTGAAATACTGTCAGCTGGTCCCCAATTTGCCCTGCATCCATTCTGTAATTTAAAAAAATATATATTTTATTGATTTTTTTACAGAGAGGAAGAGAGAGGGATAGAGAGTTAGAAACATCGATGAGAGAGAATCATTGATCAGCTGCCTCTTGCACATCCCCTACTGGGAATGTGCCCACAACCAAGGTACATGCCCTTGACCGGAATCATACCTGGGACCTTCCAGTCCACCGGCTGACATTCTATCCACTGAGCCAAACCGGTTTCGGCCATTCTGTAATTTTTAAAGCATAACTCAACTACAGCCACCTCCTATCTCTCCCCTGGGAATTAATCTGCTTCTTCTTCTTCTTCTTCTTCTTCTTCTTCTTTTTTTTTTTTTTTTAAATATATTTTATTGATTTTATACAGAGAGGAAGGGAGCAAGATAGTTAGAAACACTGATGAGAGTCATCGATCAGCTGCCTCTTGCACACCCCCTACTGGGGATATGCCCACAAGCAAGGTACATGCCCTTGACTGGAATCGAAACCGGGACCCTTCAGTCCCCAAGCGACGCTCTATCCATTGAGCCAAACTGGTCCCAGCATTAATCTGCTTCTTAATAGAGCCCAACCCCCTCCACCACCACCACCACTCCCCACCCTAGAAGCTAACGCTCACTGTCTTGTGTTGTCACATTGATACATGTCTTCTCTTCCAGCCTAATTTTCTTGAAGACACGGGTCCTATTGTATTTATCCTGGTGCTTTATAACAAGTAAGCATTCAACGACTGTTTATTAAATTGAGTTCTTTCAGCAGAAAAATGGTGGAGACACCTGAGATCATGCACCCTCCAAGAGCTCCAAATGGCACCCTTGATAGAAAGGGGAGAATGACAGCCTGGCCCTTCTCTAGGCTGTGGAGAGTCTCCGGTTCAACTCTGTTCCAAATGACTGTGGTGGCTGCTCTCCTGGCTACTGTTCTTGGTGAGTCATAGGCAAGTTTAGATCGGCCATCAGCATATAAGATGATCCACTTTGTTCACAAGACTAACAAAGAGATGACTAAGCAATCAACCAGAAATCCATCTTCAGCAATCAAGGGTTTGTTTGACCAGGATTTTGGATTTATTTGAAATTTGGAATTTTAAGGGTATTTGGAATTACTTGGAATTTAGGGGAATTTGCTTTACCCATGAAAGAGGCAGTTTTCTAGACACTTCTGGCTAGATTTCTCCTCCAGGAATTTCCCAATCTGTTTCCCACCCATAACTTGAGATAAATCTATCTGCTGTATCAGCTTGAATAAACAATTTTCACTGCCAGTGGGTTTATCCAGAGTGGAGAGGGGGAGCCATTAGGACAGTGGTCGGCAAACTGCTGCTCACGAGCCACATATGGCTCTTTGGCCCCTTGAGTTTTTAGCAAAGGTCAGCTTAGGAGTACCCTAATTAAGTTAATAACAATGTACCTACATAAATAGTTTAAGTTTAAAAAATTTGGCTCTCAAAAGAAATTTCAATCGTCGTACTGTTGATATTTGGCTCTGTTGACTAATGAGTTTGCCCACCACTGTACTAGGACTACTAGGTCTCCTAAAAGGTAAATCAGGTCTGAAATCAATTCTTGCTAGGAAAGCAAGATTAATATTTTCATATTTCAAGGGCTTCAGGTTTCTGCCTTTATATCATTCAAAGATCAAAAAGTACACATTAAAAATATTATGCTTATTCATCTCCCAGTCACGCAGTTTCTCTTCCCCGAGGCAACTAATGTTATATAAAGTTATTTTTAACGAAATACTATGTTTCTATTGAGGAAAATTTCAGGGACTTTTTGACTTTGCACAGATGCATCTGAGTCAGCAGAGATGAAAAATCTGATGGACTGATGAAATCATGTCTGCATTTAAAAAAAATAAATTTTCTTATATTGTATGTAGTAGAGGAAGGATGAAAAATTTCTGCCTTTTATCATTATTAGTCATCAACATACATGTATTTCTGATCAGCACTGGATTCATTGAGCAACAGAGATAACAAAAGTTTATTATTTTTCTTGATTTGAAGAGGAAAGAATGGATCTTGCTCTAAAAATCATATTACTGAAAACACCAAGATGCTGGGTGTCCCAACTATAACTTTTGGTGCTCTTTGTCATTTTGGTGTCCAGGTGATTGTGGTCCTCCACCCAATTTAAACTTTGCCTTTCAAATGGAAAAGTTCAATGAGACAAGCTACAAAGAAAGAACTCGTGTGCACTATAGCTGCCGCCCTGGCTTCTTTAAGACCAGTTCAAGAACTTATATTACCTGTGAAAATGGCGAGTGGCGGTACGATACCTTCTGTGTCAGTAAGTGTGAACATTTATTTTCTTATTTGTGCTTTTTCCCTTTTTTTTGCAAAGTTGTCTCAGGAACTAAGCTTTCTGAATGCAAATAAGAACGCTTGGTCACTGAGAAACGTCTTGTTTGTCAGTGGCTGATTTCAATATACACATTACCACTTTGTGAAAAACATAAACAAGCCAACAAACAAATAAGTAAAACAGAAAAATTAGGAGCTACCTAGTTGCATTAAAAAATAAGTCTGCTCTTTACACTATAATTCAGTAAACACTTTTTTTCAGAAGTTAACTACAAAATCAGTTTTCATATATTAAAAACCAGATTCACCCAGCCGGCATGGCTCAGTGGTTGAGCATCAACCTATGAACCAGGAGGTCAAGATTTGATTCCTGATCAGGGCACAAATCCTGATCAGAGCAATGCCCAGGTTGTGGGATTCATCCCCAGTAGGGGGCGTGCAGAAGGCAGTCAATCAATGATTCTCTCTTATCATTGATGTTTCTCTCTCTCTCTCTCTCTCTCTCTCTCTCTCCCTCTCTCCCTCCCTCCCTCCCTCCCTCCCTCTCCCTTCCTCTCTGAAATCAATAAAGATATATTTAAAAAACAAAAAAGAAAGCCAGATTCACTCTTTACAAATATTATATGGCTGGACAGTGGTAATGCAGTTTTTAAAGAAACCTCATCCCAAATATCTGCTGTGTTTGGAAAAAGATGCTGTGATTCTCTCTTAGTGGAGAATATATTCTGTGATGTTCTTCCAGGAATAAAGGTGTACAATCTCTACTTTTTTTGTGGTTCCTTATGTGATGAAGGATTTGCAATATTGAGTGGCTTAATTGCAAAGTATACACCGCTGACATAGAACACAACATAGCTCTCTGGTCAGTGTATTAAATCCATGACCATAGTGATTTAACTGGCCATTTTCCCCATTGGTAAAATATGCCAGAAAAGAATGAGATCAATTTTTAAATTTTATTTTCCCTCCAAATAAATAATCAATGAGTCAGGATATGCAATAAGTGTGAATCTAAATCTCTGGTGGTTGTGGAAGCAGAGTTCAAAGCTAATCAATCAGCCTTCTTTTCTAACGTCATATCTGTGAGAACTTGACATCACTAATCCTCATTTTAACTTCTTTCTTTCAGGGAAAAAATGCAGCAACCCAGGAGAATTACGTAATGGGGAAGTGATCTTGAAGCCAGATTACTCTTTTGGATCTCATGTAGAATTCAACTGCTTAGAAGGGTGAGTGTGAGGCCGTCTAGAAACAACACTTTAAAACAATTAATTTCTGATGTGCTTATAGATTTCAGAAGTAAAAATGATGTAAAGAATGATGTAAAAAACTACAAGCAGAATTCTTGTTTTTACTCTATCACCAGCCACTCATTCCTCCCGTCCTTAAACAGGCATCTAGTTTGATGAGTTTTCTTTGCATCTTTCTAGTATTTACTTTTACAAATACAAGCTAAGAAATTAGCAAATATTTTTATTTTGTACCTTTTCAATCAGGAACATAATTTTCAAATCTGGCTTTATTTTTCTTTTTCTTTTTCTTTTTTTTTTTTTAATATATTTTATTGATTTTGTACAGAGAGGAAGGGAGAGAGATACAGAGTTAGAAACATCGATGAGAGAGAGTCATTGATCAGCTGCCTCTTGCACACCCCCCACTGGGGATGTGCCCGCAACCAAGGTACATGCCCTTGACCGGAATCGAACCTGGGACCCTTCAGTCCCCAAGCCGACGCTCTATCCACTGAACCAAACCGGTTTCGGCGTGGCTTTATTTTTCTTTATCAATATACACTGAGTGGCCAGATTATTATGATCTCTGAATGCATAATAATCTGGCCACTCAGTATACACACACACACACACACACACACACACACACACACACACACACTTATATATAGTGGAGAATATATATAGTGGAGAATACACACACACACACACACACACACACACACACACACACACACACACATTAAAGGCCCAGTGCATGAATTCATGCATGGGTGGGATTCGGCCAGCCTGGCCAGGGGGAGGGGACATGGGCGGTTGGCTGGTCTGCCTGTTGGTCAAACTCCTGGTCGAGGAAACAATTTGCATATTAGTATTATATAGGATACACACTGAGTGGTCAGATTATTATGCAGTTAGAGATCATAATAATCTGGCTACTCAGTGTATACAGGAGGCATTTCCATGTTTGTGCACAGAAAGGTTCCTTGTTAATAACTTTTTACAACTACATAAAATTCTATTGTGGGATATATGATGGATTAATAATCTCTTTGATGGATCCAGGGGTCTTTTTAATCCTTTGCCATTCTGAGCAGGACTCCCATTGCATTTACCTTGCACATATATCATTTTGTACATATGAAGTCATATCTATAGGGTAAATTTCCAGAGTGGAATTTCTGGGTCAAAGAATGCATATATTTGAAAATTTGAAAAATATTACAAGTTGTTCTCTCTTGGAGTTACATGTTTTTACAGAGTATGCTAATGTTTGTCTTTCCCTAAACTTTCCAACTAAGCATGTTGCAAAACTTTTGAAAACTTGTCAATTTTTGGAAATTTTTCCAACTTAAGAGGTAGAAATAAAATCTCACTATAGTTTCAATGTCAATTTCTCTTACTATGAGTGAAGTTGAGCACGTTTTTATATGTTTAAGAGATGTTTGTATTTATTCATAAACTACTTGGCACTGTATTCTCGCCTCCTGTCCCCACCCTACTCTGTCTTTTCTGCCAGTAGATTTATGTCATTTGTATGATCTCAGCATTACTGTTAAATACTCATATATGTCTATAACTTGATTTCACTACCAACTCTCACAGATAAGGAAACAAGAAAGTGGGCTTTTCCGTTCTCTCTTCCATCTCCTGTTTGTTACCATATTTCGGCACTGTCAGGGCACAAACATTTACATTTCATTCAGTCACCCCACTTTTGTTTTTGTTCTAGATCTGCATGTTTTGTGCTTACAGCCAGTTGTTTTGTGGTTTTGCTTTAGCTGAAATTTCCTGTGTCAGAGTATGTCTTCTGGCTATAGTTTGTCTTCGGGTGATTTCCTAAAAGAAAAGCTCCACATAAAAATGATTAAGTTCTTGTAGGTTCAATACTGTCTGAAGCCTTGGTACTTAAAAGATAATGTGGCCAAGCAGAAACCAGTTTGGCTCAGTGGATAGAGCGTCGGCCTGTGGTCTGAAAGGTCCTGGGTTCGATTTCGGTCAAGGTCATGTACTTTGGTTGAGGGCACATCCCCAGTAGGAGGTGTGCAAGAGGCAGCTGGTCGATGAATCTCTCTCATTGATGTTTCTAACTCTCTATCCCTCTCTCTTCCTCAATAAAATATATTTTTTTAAAAAGATAATGTGGCCAGATATAAAGTCCTTGGCTGAGACTGACTAGTGTAGCTCAGTGGTTGAATGTTGACCTATAACCCGAGAGATCAAGGTTTGATTCCCAGGGCACATGTCTGGGTTGCAGGCTAGATCCCCAGTAGGGATGAGCAGGAGTCAGCCAATCAATGATTCTCACTTCCTCTCTGAAATCAATAAAAAATTTTTTTAAAAAATTTAAAGTTGTTGGCTGATAATTTCTATTCTTGACACATATGTAGTGGATGTTGATGTAGAGAACTCTGCTGCCTACCTGTATTTTTTAAATATATATATATATATATTTTATTGATTTCAGAGAAGAAGGGAGAGGGAGAGAGAGAGAGAGAGAAATATCAATGATGAGAGAGAATCAGTGATTGGCTGTCTCCTGCATGCCCTCTACTGGGGATTGAGCCTGCAACTTGAGCATATGCCTTTGATCAGAATTAAACCCAGGACCCTTCAGTCTGCAGGCGGACACTATCCTCTGAGCCAAACCAGCGAGGGCCCTAGCTGGATTTCTTATTCTTAAAGGCAACTTGGTCTTTGTTTGACCATCCAGAGATGTTACTTTTTTATCTCTGAAGTCTAATAAATCTGCTCTTAGTTATTTTCATCCAAACCATTGTGTTTAATTTTTGTTGCTATGTGATATACAATTTAAAAATGTGGATTAAAGTATTATTCTACTTTTGTAATGTTTACTTGAAATACATTTAAAATAGCTATTTTGTGGGTGTTTTTTTTTGGGGGGGGGAGGGTTTGCTTCTTCTTCAGGTTCTCCAATTAAGTATATATTGATTCTCCTTTACTGGTCATCTATATTTCGCAGTTTTTTCTCTAATTTTTTAAATTATTATTGTTTCATTTTCTTAGATTTTCTCATGTTTGTCCTATTTCCTGTATTGTGAAAAGCTTCTAAGAAAGAAAGGGAGTCCAGTTGGTGTGGCTCAGTGGTTGAGTGTCGACCTATGAACCAGGAGGTCACGGTTCTATTTCTGGTAGGGCACAGCCCCAGGTTGCAGGCTTGATCCCCAGTAGGGGGTGAGCAGGAGACAACTGATTAATGATTCTCTCTCATCATTGATGTTTCTATCTCTCTCTCTTTTCCTTTCCTCTCTGAAATCAGTAAAAATATAATTTTTATTAAAAAAAGGAAAAGGAAAAGTTTAGCACTATGGTGCTGTTGGAACATTGATGTGTTCCTATTGAAATAACCAGAAACAGTACTTTTCATTTATGCTCCTGACCAGGTTGGAAAAATTGCATTTGAAAGAAATTTAAAAGTAAAGATATCCTTAATTCTCACCATATTTTATCTTATTAAAAGATTCATTTTCTTAAGAACTATTTATTTTTTAAAGTTCTTATTAAATAAACTATAGGGGCTCATAAATTGTTGAAAATATCATTTATGGTAGTGTTCAATCATATTGTAGGCTATCCCTTGATAATAGTTACAATTTGAAATCATACTAACAATCCTTAGTTTTTTCAATGGAGGGCAGAAAGCTTAGAAATTATGAAGAGCAAAAAATGGGACATGTGAACATGGAGTGTTTGGTACTTGGGGGAGGGCAAGCATCTGGAAGTCAAAAGAAAACTCTAAACCGGGAGAGTATGGACCAGTAATCTAGCTGGTATTCTCATCCAAGCTACATAACACACTCAAATGTGTTGGGGTTTTTTTTTGTGTGTGTGTGTTTGTTTGTTTTTTCATGATATAGTTCTGCTTGAACTGACATCTAGTTGATGTTCAATAATACATTTCAGAATAAGAGAACACACACATCTCCCCGCAGTGGTGCAATTTTACTGAATGGAGTGCTCAGTGGGACAGGGCTCTCTGAGAAAACCTTGTTGCTTCATTGTTAGCATGGAGTAACCATTTAATTCATTTGGACTCTTTTATGCTGTTTAATTTAGGGTAAGGATAATTCTATTAAAATCTTTTATCCTGTTTTATTCAGATATGTCTTAATAGGCTCACCCATTAGTTATTGTGAGATCCAAGATAGAAATGTTGGCTGGAGTCATCGTTTCCCACAATGTGAAAGTAAGTAAAGACTTCTTCTAATTCGAGTATACACTGATACTGTGTTAGGTAATAAAACTCCTGTGCATGTTTGCTGCTTTTTTTTTTTTTTTTTTTTTTTTTTTACTACCCATGAGATTTGCGTCATGAATGTGTGATTTGGAAAGGTACCTCCCCTGATGATTTCTTCTTCTTCACTTATTCATCCCAGTTGCCAAGTGTAAAGCTCCTCCATCCATCAGCAATGGGAGGCACAATGCTGGATATGAAGATGTCTACCCATATGGCTCTTCTGTCACCTACAGTTGTAACCCCCGCTTCTCCCTGATTGGTGATGCTTCCATTTCCTGCACAGTGGAGAATAAAACAAACGGTGTCTGGAGACCCAGCCCTCCGACTTGTAAAAGTAAGTTGCAATTGAATTGCTGGCTTATCATTTAAACTTTTCTCTTTTGTTTCAAAGAGCAAGGAAAAAACATGTTTTGGAGGGAAATGAGATGATTCAAAGACAAACGACTTCTTGCAATGGTGAAAGCCATGCATTTGGTCAACTGATACTGATGCATGTTGTACCATTGCATAGTAACAAACAGCACCAATAGCTCATTGGCTTTGCAAAGTAGGTTGCTTCTCATGCATACTGAGTCTACTGCATGTTGAGGAGATATTCAGGTGTCTACTTTAGCAACCAGCTCCACATTCCAGGTGGATCTTGTGGCACCTCCATAACTAAAGGTTCTTTCATAGTGCCTTTGGTAGAGGAAGAGAGAAAAGCAAACTGAGACCTGGCTTTTATGAGCTTCGGCGTGGAAGTAACCACATATCCCTTGACATTGCAGCCTTTAGTCCAAAACGAGTACTGTGTAGACTCTACCTAAGGGAAGTGGAGAATGTCATCTTTTGTCTGTTCAGGAATCTGAGCTGGAAATTTTGGTTAGCACTCGGAATGTCAACCACCTATGCTTACAGGGCAAGCTAAACCAGCAGGTCAACAGGGCAAAGCAAGCAGGAATTGAGCTGAAAGATACATTGGGGTATTACTGATTTGCTAATCTTCCTTTGCTACTCTGTGCCTACACGGTATCATTTACTATTCTGACTCCCCACAGGACACAATCAAACCAGGGCAATGGAGGGCATGGTACTGCAAACATGCCTGGGCTCTAGACTGAAGGGTGATAATGACAGGTCCTGAGCCTGGGAAGTTATCTGAGGAATGGAACATGAGGTGGCTCTCTCAGGAGTTCAGGAGGAAGGTGATAAAGAGACGTTGAAAGACTTAGCCAGGGGATCTTAATGTATTGCATATTAGGAAGGTAACTGGCTACAGAATGGCCAACAATTTATAGTAGGACACAATCTAACCCATAGGCACCATCCAGCCCCGAAATGCAAATGGCTTCAACTGTAGCCATGGCAGTGGGCCTGGTAAGAAGTTAAGGGTTTGTAGAGGAAATAAGGTGGCAGGACTTGACTGACTGCTGGGGGGGGAGGGGGGGGAAAATAGCGGGTGGGAGAGCAGTTTGTTCTTTGCTTGTGAGGGTGCATATGTCTGATATCTTCCTTGGCTGCCTCACCATCATGCATGTCATATAATTGCCATTGGCCACTGACCCACCCCAAAATCATCCAGGAAGGTAGGTCATTATAAGGGGAAGATTTGAGGATTTTGAGGATGTATTTCTCTGGGTCAGATAGGACTAGTTTTTCTTGAGATAAATGAGGAAGTGAAGTTATCCATAGACCTCATTTTCCAGAGGTTTTAAAAAGTTGAAAAAAAGATAGACATGTATGTGCTTTTAAGAGTGTTTTCCTTGCTGAAACCGGTTTGGCTCAGTGGATAGAGCTTAGGTCTGCTGACTGAAAGGTCCCAGGTTTGATTCTGGTCAAGGGCATGTACATTGGTTGTGGGCACATCTCCAGTAGGGGCTGTGCAGGAGGCTGCTGGTTGATGTTTCTAACTCTCTATCCCTCTCTCTTCCTATCTGTAAAAAAACAATAAAATATATTAAAAGAAAAAGAGTGTTTTCCTTGTAGCTGCTTGATATCAGGCTTTCGTGTTATACTTGGAATTGGATTAGCAATAGCAGTAATATTCTTATTGCCATTTCTTTTTTGTAATCCACTGTCTTTCTTCTGACATATATTTTTTAAGGAGTCACCTGTACTCAGCCACAGGTTAAACATGGAAAGATCACCTTTGGATTGGGACCCACCTATACTTACAAAGACTCTATTACTTTTGAGTGCAATAAAGGTTTTGCCCTCAGAGGCAGAGAGACAATTCATTGTGGGGCTGATAACAACTGGGATCCTTCTCCTCCCACCTGTGAGATCAGTGAGTATGAACCAAAAAAGAGCTTTAATGTTTGGCATCTAAAGTTACCCAGGAATTTTGGTGAGGGCACAAGCCCTCTTGAATCACAGTAAAAATTTAAAATTTAGATCAATGACTTTCTTATTTTTTCTCATGGGGAAAAAAAGATGTATGACAGTACACTGTGCAAGATCACTTAACATCACAAAAAACTGCCACATGCAGTTATGTTTCCCTTAAGGGGAGACATTAACACTGCAGACTTTGTGCCATGGATCAGGCTTCTGGCTGAGCAGTGCTCTCCCTGTGGGAGCACACTGACCACCAGGGGGCAGCTCTTGTGTTGAATGTCTTTCCCCTGGTCAGTGGGCATCATAGCAACTGGTCGTTCTGCCATTCAATCTATTTGCATATTAGCCTTTTATTATATAGAATTATAAGGAGGATTTCTTTTTCACCAAAAGTTATCAGAAATGCAAAGAGATAGGAAAGATGATGATGAAAATTGCCTTTGAGGGGCCCAAATGTTGGGCTTAGCAGAAGAAAAGTTCAAAGCAGTTATTATAAATATGTTTAAAGATTCATATTACTAATGATGTCACTTGCTTTCAGCCTGAAGAAGTTCCTTTAATATGTCTTGTAAGGTGTTCATCTAGCAACAGTGAGATACCACTTTACCCCTGACAGTATGGCTATAATAAAAAAATAAAATAAATAGTCACAAATGTTGGTGAGGATGTGAAAACATTGGAAGCCTCATGTACTTCTGGTGGGCATGTAAATGGTGCAGCCATTTTGGAACAGAGTTTTTGCAGTTCCCTCAAAAGTTTCAGTTGTTTTTTTGAGCCTGTTCTATCAAAGGGTACCAAGTGTGCATTCAGCCATTAACCAGCCTGCCATGGCTGGTGAATTAGCCACTCCAAAATACACACATAGACATGTGCCCAAATAGACATGTGCACAATACCAGAGACATTCTCTCTAAGCATATTACCAAGTGGTTCCTGTACCCTCTCGCAATCTGGGATCCCTCAGGGGATATCAGAGAGCCAGTTTCGGCCCGACAGTAGAATGACCAGTCACTATGACACACACTGACTACAGGTAGCAAATGCTTAATGCAGAAGTTGCTCCCTGGTGGTCATGCACTCCCACAGGGAGTTCACCACTCAGCCAGAAACCAGGCTCATGGCTGGTGAGCACAGTGGCAGTAGTGGGAGCCTCTCCTATCTCCACATCAGAGCTAAGGATGTCCAACTGTGAGCAGGTACAGGCCGGGCTGTGGGACTCCCCTGTTCCCCCGAGTGCACGAATGCACCAGGCCTCTAGTATGATATAAACCAGTAGAATCAGGAAATAGCAAATAGGGCAAGTTCAAGTCCCTGCTCAAAAGATGCTTGGAGTATTTTTGATCTTGACATCCCTTTAATGAAACAGTTTCTGGTGTCATCTGGATGAGGGCAATGACTTGTTTATTTTTTTTACCAATAAGTCAGGAGATAAACTTAGATTAATCTGGGACAGTTTTCCAGCCACATCTACCTAGCAAGTCTTACGCTTTCATTCAGAGACTAAACTTCCAGAAGTAAATGAGGAGAAAGGAGAATTAACATTTGGATGGTTGACATGTACACACGGGAACCATTTGGTAATATGTTTAGTGAGAATGTCTCTGGTATTGTGCACATGTCTATATGGGCACATGTCTATGTGTGTATTTTGGTGTGGCTAATTCACCAGCCATGAATGGCTGAATGAACACATGGCACCATTTGATAGAAAAGGCTCATTGATCATGCTGCATCCCTATTAACAGTGCTCTTTTCCCTTATTCTTCTTTTATGAGCAGATGCTTGTACTAACTTACCAGATATCCCACACGCTTCCTGGGAAAAATATAACTATCACCCACCAACAAAAGACCAACTGTATGACGTTGGGACTGTGTTGAGGTACCGCTGTCATCCTGGCTATAAAACCGCTGGAAATAAGCCTCTGACTGTGACTTGTCAGAAAAATTTGGAGTGGACCCCATATGCAGAATGTGAGGGTGAGTTTCTGTTTTTAAAAGACTTTACTATGTTAAATTCCCAGCACATACTAGGATTTTCTACCTTAAATGAATATAATTGTGTTCCTCAAATTAAATTTATGATTATATTAATTCAATAGGATGATTGATATTGCCAGAAGAGACTATAAAGGGCTTGGAGTTTGAGGGACTCTCCCAATTTTTATTTGCCATCTCTGCCCTCCTACCAGTATCAATATGGCTTCTTCTTTAATTTCATAGTCGTAGAACTTTCACTAAACCAGATTTTGGTTGTTTTGAATGATGGTTATTCTGTTTAGTTACAATTTTGATGTGGTTGTGTGAGAAGGCAAGTACTACATTTACTTATGTCACCATCTTGACTGAAAGCATTATAAACTCTTGAGAACATTCTTCCTTCTGCATTGTGGGAAGTATAAGTTATTAGAAAGCTTAATAATGATGTAACACTAGCAAAGCCATAAGGAGATAAATGTTATTTGTCATTGCTCTTAAATAACTTTGAAAATTTACATTTTCATCCAGGTTTAATCCAACTTCTCATTTTGCAGGCCCCTAATGCAATTATTTAATTGGAAGGAAATGACTGGATTGAACTACTTTAGCAAATCAGGGACAGGGAGCGGGAGCGAGGATTCAAGGTGTCTCGGGTACCCTTGTCCGTTCCCCCAATCTCTCTTGTGTGGCAAACTCTTCTAAAGGTGAAAATGAGTTGATTAGCCATTGGAGCCTCCTCATGGTGATTTTACCAACTTCACTCTTTATTAGCCTCACTTTCCATTTTTCAGAGGTTTGTTGTCCAGTACCAGAGTTGAAGCATGGCGAAATCACTGCGCGAAGACCACCGAAAAAAGAAGTTGTAGCCAATAAGTGTGAATATTTCTATGGAGACTCAATTTCCTATTCATGTGATGAGAGACGCAAGTCTGAAGCTTCATGCCAAGGAGATGGCACCTGGAGTCCTGAAACACCAACATGTGGAGAGAGTAAGAGCTTATGGAATGATGTTATCTTAGAAGTTTCTTCATATCCAAGTGTTAAGGGTTATTAAGGGAAGGGTTCAAATTATGTAAAAAGAATTTCTATACTCTGATTCTTAGAATGGATATAGTTGTTTAATGGCACTGTCTTCAGTCTGAATTTCTCTTTTTCCCCCTAATGGTTGTTGCTCCCATTTTCTTGACCTTCCTGGTTTCCTTTCCTGAATCAGTGAAATTAGGCCACATCTCATAGAGCAGCTAGACTTCTGAATTACTGTGTTCTGTTTCTTGGTATTTATTGTCTTCTCTTCCATTGTTCCTGGTCCATATTCCTTAACCTGCAGAATAAGGCTCCCAAATCTATTTGGACTTGCTTCCTTTCTTCTGCTGCCTCTCAGCCCTTCTTCAGCCTATTTGACAGTGTGAAATGCCTACCTCTCCCTCATCAAGAGCACTGAAGTACTAAACACAATCCTCCCGTCTCCCACTGTTTTTCCATAATCCTATCTGTTGATGGCCAGGAATAAGCACTACTACCACAACAGTGATTCTTTGCCTTGCCTTCTGAAAGAAGGAGCCCAAAGGAGCTTCAAAGTGACCAGGTATCAGTCACAGTTGAGAAGTCAATTGGACTCTTATCTCCCCTAGTTGAAGTGTTTCCACTTTGCCTATCAGTGCTTTTCTATCTGCAGATCACAGAGTTCAGGGATAAGAAGCACATTTTCCCCAAAAGTTCACTTAGAGTGACTATAAATGGGGTTACTTATGCTTCCATCTCTTGGTTTCTAGGCTCATGGACTTTATTTTTTTAATTGGGAACCCAGTACCATATACAGGTCAATTTTTTTAAGTTTAAAGTGAAAACTGTGTCCTTAAAGTTACTGTAAGTAATATTGTAAAGTCCTATCTCAACCGGCACTTCAGCTAAGCATTTAACAGGCCATTCCAATGTTCTAATACCATGGTTGGCAAACTGTGGCTTGCGAGTCACTTGTGGCTCTTTGGCCCCTTGAGTGTGGCTCTTCCACAAAATACCACAGCCTGGGTGAGTCTATTTTGAAGAAGTGGCGTTAAAAGAAGTTTAAGTTTAAAAAATTTGGCTCTCAAAAAAAAATTTCAATTGTTATACTGTATTTATTTAGCTCTGTTGACAAATGAGTTTGCCAACCACTGTCCTATCAGGTCTGCACGTTTTGGGCAACACAGTTTGTAATATAAGGAGTGCATTTCATGGTCGCATCCCAATACTATACCTCTTTTGCTGTAGGTGGCATGTAGTGCGATCCTCTGCCAATTGTTTAAACACTCTGTAATCCTTCAGATAGCAGGGCTGACTAAAATCCTGTAGGCAGGAGAGGAAAATCCATACCTGGAATAGCTGTCTCTTTCTGTCAGAATAAATAGCAGTTTTTTTCCAAGTGGAAGGGGATCCAACATAGTCATCAACCACGTGGCTTTTTGGTTGTGTCAAGGGATGATATCACATCAGAGGCTTAGCACTTTTGCTGGCAGGTTGGATAGTCAGTGACAGCGAAATTCTCTGCTGTAGTGCATGGACCTGCTTCAGTATTTCAAGGGTCTATGGTGTGATTGTCCCATTGACCTTTGCATCTTTTTCTACTGTAGCCACCTCAGTGTAGTATTCTCTGCAGGGTCGTAGGGCCAACCAACAGAGAGGATTTCACTGCTGACTGGACTTGCCACAGAGCCCTCTCCTAACTTGGGCCCTATTCAAACCTGACGATCTTGTCTGTCACCTAACATATGGGTTAGAATAGTATTCCCAAGTATGGAATATGCTGCCTTTAGAATCGGATAAGTCATGCTAGGCATTGTGATTCCTTCCTTGTATCATTTAAAATTATTTGACTATAGTTTAGATGGAATAGCCTAACATTCCCTGAACCTTGAATTCTGTGAGCCACTTTAACAAATTAATCAAACCCAAGAAGGGGATCCAAAGAATATATATTTATTTTATGGAGTAACATACATATTTATTTATTTTCTATTATTTCACATCATACTAGCATCTTATTGCTCATTCAATAGAATTAATATGATGCCACTGATATACTGGACTAATATGATAATGTCTGTACGTTCAGATGCTCATGACACCTTCAGACTATTACGAGAGGGGCAGGTGGGTTTTCATAGGACAAGGCTAAAATTGCAAATGTGTGATCTTGACCCTTTCCTATGTGTGCAGGTCGTTTCTGATCTTCTTCTCTGACAGGATGGGAAAGAAAGCCTTTGCTAAAACAGTGGTCTCATTTCCATGAAGACATATTAAAGCCAAGTTACCATATCTGGTACAGTGTCTGTAGTAGGGGCTAAAATGTTGAGTGATCAACAATCTACTGTAATTGTCCAGAATTCTAAATGGCGATATGATGAGCATGACCACTTCTGCATCTTTAGTTCTTTAAGAGTGGCACTAATTTTTCCCTTCCCCTCTACACATATACGTATATATTTTAAAGTAAATGTATGGAGTAACATTGGTTAGTCTGATATATATTTTAAATGGATTTTCCTTAGTCTAAGAGGGAGGGGTCTACTTGGCCTTCTTGCATGATATTGCTGTTACCAAACAGGTCAATGACCCAATTTGGAGAATGAAGAACTACCAATTTTGTTTATTAGATTATACTTTTGAAGACTATAGAAATGACCACCATGTAGTCTATTAAGGTGCCATCATGGTTCTTCAGCACCAGGTTTAAGGGAGGGCAGCATAGGAACTTGGGATGGGCTAAGTGATTCTTGGGCAGAGAAGATGGCAGGACAGGACAGAACCTGCAGAGACCACACAGATTCTGGGACATGCTGTTCTTTATGTCTTATAAGCTCAAGCTCTCTCACTTTATGTCTTCCCAACAAGGTTGCTTTTATCCTCCTGTCATTGACCATGGACGTCCTAAACTAACTACACACACATTCACAGCAAATAAGGCTAATTATGAATGTGACAAAGGATACATTCTGGTTGGAAATCCCACTATCACCTGCAGTTATTCACGCTGGTCTGGTCCACCTCCTCAATGCAAAGGTAACTCCAGCCCATGGCTAAGTGGGAGGAACTGTTATGCAGGGATTGAGAATAACGTTTCTTTCCAGCCAGAGGCAGAACAAAAACATGATTTATTTATTTTAAACAATTACTATATCCAAATGGTACCCGAAGCAAGCAAAAGTACAAGGGGTATACAGAATCATTAATCTTCCTTATTTCTTTTTTTCCCAGTTACAAAATTCAGCCTCCTTGAGGCAGCCCCTGTTCCCACTTTCTTGCATATCTCTGGAAGTAGTCTATAGGCAGTACATTTTCTTGTGGCCTGAAGCATGAATGCAGGCTCTCAGGGGCTGATTCCAAACACCAGAAAGTGAGCCTCATGAAATGTCGGGCACCACCTGCCAATGGGAGGCCTGTGGTGTGGCATTCCCAGTTTGCAAACTGTTGTGGGGATGGGTGGTGGGAATATCAGGTTTGCTTTTTACATGCATACAGGTTTAGTGTCACTTTGCCATCAACAACTCCAGGAATTATTTGTCACCATTGGTTCTTTGGCTCACAAGAGGCCAATAGGCAAGAGAGAACATTTCATCCCCAGTGTTTTTTAGGGATCACAATATGAGGGATTGTTGCTTTGATGGCTGAGTCTGGGGTCCTGTGCCTCTTTTATACTCTGTCATGTAATTTAAAGATGCTATGTCTTCAACAAGTTTCTTAACCCCTCTCTATTCACTTTTTCTTATTTAAATGTGAATAATAACAGTGCTCACTTTATAGAGAGGAGTGAGACTTCAATGATATCCTATATAATAAAAGAGTAATATGCAGATTGATCATCACTCCAACACACAAGATGGCTCTGCCAACGTGGTCAAAGATCCTGCCCCCATGTGGACACAAGATGGCCATCAGGGGAGGGCAGTTGGGAGGGACCAACTGCAATCAAGCCTGCAAGGGAGGGCAATTGGGGGTGACCGGGCCTGCAGGGAAGGGCAGTTTGGGGAACCCAGGCCTGAAAAGGAGAGCAGTTGGGGGGACCTGGCCTGCAGGGGAGAGCAGTTAGGGGTGACCAGGCCTACAGGGAGAGCAGTTAGGGGTGACCAGGTCTACAGGGAGGGCAGTTAGGGGCAAGCAGGCTGGCAGGGGAGCAGTTAAGCATCAATCAGGCTGGCAGGGGAGTGGTTAGGGTGTGATCAGGCTGGCAGGCAGAAGTGGTTAGGGGCAAACAGAAAGGCAGGCAGGCGAGCTGTTGGGAGCCAGCAGTCCTAGATTGCGAGAGGGATGTTCGACTTCCCCTTTAGGCTTGATCTTGGTGGGATCGGGCCTAAAGGGACAGTCGGACATCCCCCAAAAGGTCCCAGATTGGAGAGGGTAAAGGCTGGGCTGAGGGACACCCCCAACCCCTGTGCAAAAATTTCGTACACCATGTCTCTAGTAATCACATAAAATGGTTAACCCTGAAGAATGATATGAGCTAATGCTCAATTAAAATGGGAACTAATATTATTACTCTCAAAAAAAAACAAAAAATGATAAAACAATGAGAAGAACCTACATGTACAATAGTTCATTTTAATCATCCCAGCCTGTGGTAAGTATCCTTTTCTTAGACTTACAGATGGCTTAACTGTGCTTTCCTTGTAGCTCTGTGTCCAACACCAGAGATAGAACATGGAAATCTGCTTGTGGGTAAGGATCAGTTCCTTGAAAGTGAAAATGTCACCATCCAGTGTGACTCTGGCTATGCTGTGGTCGGTCCTCAAAACATCACCTGCTTAGAGGACAGAACCTGGTACCCAGAGGTGCCCAAGTGTGAGTGGGTAAGTGGCACAATTCAAGGGACTTTCTGTGCTTTCAAACCTTAAAAATGGCCAATCCCCAAAGCACTGTCCCAGCCAGCTAAGGCGAGATCTGACTTGACAGGACTTTTCTTTCTTCCTTCCTTCTTTTCTTCCTCCCTTCCTTCCTTCTTTCCTTCCTTCTTTCCTTCCTCCCTTCCTTCCTCCGTTTCTTTCTTTTTCTTTTAAAAAAACACATATTGCTGAAACCGGTTTGGCTCAGTGGTAGAGCGTCGGTCTGCGGACTGAAAGGTCCGAGGTTCGATTCCGGTCAAGGGCACTTACGTTGGTTGTGGGCACATCCCCAGTGAGGGGTGTGCAGGAGGCAGCTGGTCAATGTTTCTCTCTCATCGACGTTTCTAGCTCTCTATCTCTCTCCCTTCCTCTCTGTAAAAAATCAATAAAATATATTTTAAAAAATAAAAAATTAAAAATAAACATATTTTATTGATTTTTTACAGAGAGGAAGGGAGAGGGATAGAGAGTTAGAAATATCAAAGAGAGAGAAACATCGTATAGCTGCCTCCTGCACACCCCTGCTGGGAATGTGCCCACAACAATGTACATGCCCTTGACCAGAATCAAACCTGGAACCTTTCAGTCCGCAGACATAAGCTCTATCCACTGAACCAAACCGGTTTTGGTGACAGAACTCATTTCTGAGTCACTCAAAAGAACTCTCTTGTTTTCCTTTGGAGCACACATTTAGGATGGCAAGTTTTCCTACTCTCACTTAGAACAGGAAAAGCTGAGCCCCTTAAGAAGAGGAGGCTCTCAGAGAGCTGGGAGTGCCCCTACATTTTTCCTTTTCTAGATTGTATAATACACTGTGTTCCATGCCTGGATGGGTAGCCGAAATAGCCTCTATCCCGACAGAGGCCTTATGGGTAGTGTCTCAAGAAGATCTATATCCCTCTGGGGAAGACTACAGTGGGGCCCATGGTCTCCTGGTCTTCCTGCTCTCCCATCACTCCTGGGGGTGTCTTGGACCTGACCCTCTGTCCTGCATTGTCATGATCTCAGAGAAGCCTCCCAACCACTCAGCGTCTGTGTCTCTTTTAGGTGGTCCCTGCAGGCTGTGAGCAAGTGCTAGCTGGCAAAAAACTCATGCAGTGTCTGCCTAACCCAGAGGATGTGAAGATGGCCCTGGAGCTATATAAATTGTCTTTGGAAATTGAACTCCTGGAAATACATAGAGACAAGGAGAAGAAATCCATTCTGGAGCCATCACTCTGATTTTTCCCAGAAGAGGCAGGGAAAGGTGCCCTGCTGCCTTCCATTCAACATGGGTCACTTTAGTTTAGCAACTCTGCCATTCTTTTGCATTCAAATAAATACCCTAAAATATGATAATAATGCTTTTTTTTTTTTTTTTTTTTTTGCTATTGCTTTGAGATGATAGAATTGTTAATAATCTTGTGTTTCACATTTTTGCCTTTTGGACACAAAGTGCAGATTTTTTCCATTAAAATTTTATAGAGCACAATTTTGTCTTTGTGGTCATTGAGGTCCATACACAAATCCCAAAATGTATTTACATAAAGTTACTACATTAATTGTATTGTATGGGTCTTGCTGGTGGAATTGGATACAGCTCAATTATTTTTCCCTGGATTACCTCTACTCCATGTTCCCATCTGCAAACCACCAGGTCACTTCAAAAGTCTTGTCGATTCTCTCCTGTTTGAAAAGAGTTGCACCCTTTCTAAAATCTCAAGTGCTTGGTCTCTGACGAGCTAAGGCTGCCTCTCCACTTTTGTCTTCTATCAAGGGCATTAATGTTGTGTCTGAGCCACTTATTTCATCCTCAGAGAACAAACTCTGAAAGCTCGATGAATGTGAGCCCACATGGCAGCCCCCTGTGCATTCGCATGTCCTCCATCTGATCTGGTTCTCCTTTTCTTTAATAGAAAAATAAATAGCTGTGAGCAACTATTCCACTCACAAGGAGAAACCCCATACCAATCACTTCTATAGCTTGAGATATGTCAGAGGCTCAAGTCACTTCCACTCACCACTTCCTCCAACTTTGCATCCCCTGCAATGAGGTCCCTATACAAATCCAACAGTGTTTTTACATAAAGTTACTGCATTCACTGTATTGTGTGGGTCTTGCATGTGGATTCACTCATATTTCAGCTCCACTGGCTCTCCTGCCTTTCCCTAGTACACAGTACCTTATGCTTAAAATTGGCCTCTTTTGTTTAATTTTTTTCAAATATATTCTAAAGAGGGATTGGTGTAGAGCAGTCTTTCAGTAAATATGCATCCTAGCTTATCTCTTGCGTCACCCTAATCCTGGGCCTCCAATAATTCTGAAGACTAAGTGCTTCCACTTAGCTCTGCTCTCCTGGAATTCTATGAGCCCCACTACTTCTGGGCAGACACGTTTGAGAATGGCATCTCCCCTATCACAAGATGTAGAGAGCCAGTGACAATTGAATTTCACTGGAATATTGGTCCCTGTCACTGGTACATTCCTTATTGCCTTGGCAAATGGTACATCCATCCTCAGAGTTCTCCTGAAGATAAAAGCAGGTGGGTCTTCTGGTTTTATAAAATAGATCACTCTGCCTACTTCACTGAACCTTGGGTCACTTCCATTTTCTTCCATGGCAGTTCTGGAATCTCTACGCTATGTAACATGAACCATCATCTTTCTTAAATTTTTGAAAGCATCACAGAGAAATATCAAAACTGATTTCGAGGTCACTTGCTAGGTTGTTAAATTCTGTGTTATGAGAGAGGGTGCCCCACCTGAAAAACTCTCTGATACCTGGCTTAAAGATCCCTTCCTAGGCATACTCTCCCAACTCCTCACACAGGCTAGAAAGGTTGCACAGATTCTGCATACGAGTCCTTTCCTCCTTTAGCAGGTCCAGCACATTCTTAGTTAGTTCATGCTGAGGTTTGACTCTAGCTATTGGTCTGATGTCTGGAGATGAGGTGTGACTAGATCTGGAGTTGAGGAATTATGGCCTTATAAGATATTTAACACATTTGATGTCTTTGCATTATTTTCAAATAATGGGGGCACTATCTTATAACAAAGGGAAGTGAGCCTGTTATATAGGCTCTTTGAGTATAGGTGATTCTGGGGTTCAAGATTCTGTGGTCTGTCTACTTACATATCCTCATGCTAGGTCTAGAGGCACCACTCCTTCCGTAAGGGCCCTGCCTTTTAGTACAAAACTTGCCAGATATAAGAAATCATATTTTATTGAAGTCCTACTATTCTTTTATGATTATATCCTGAATTTAGCCTTTAGTTTAGCCTTCCAGCTACCTGAGACAAAAGTTTCTTTAAATACTGACAAGGAGGCCTTCTGGATTTCACATTGGGTTTGAGTTGTGATTGATTGCCTTGATCTTTCATTTTTCAGTAAAGGGACACTGAGTCTGTATTAATGGTACTCAGTCACCTAGTTTCACAACCATTAATTCCATTTCCACTGTGCCTGTTAAATGTCAGGAGTATTGTAGAAGCCAATGCATCTCCTTCCATCTATAATATTGGGAATACATCCAATGGCACTTAGCAGGTGAAAATGTTCATAGTTGCAATCCTACAGCAAGCCAGAACTATCAATATTTCACCCATGACCAGTGATTGTCAGTTGGCTGGTAGGTGATCCAACTGTAGAATCCCATTCTTAGAGTTTGCCTTTGAGGTCCACTTGTGGTATAAACTGTCTTCAGTCAGTTTCTCCAGAATGGATTTAGATGTATCTAAATGTTTGTTGGTTGTTGGCGTGCACATCAAGAAACACACTCACACACGCACACGCACACGCACATGCACACACACACATCAAAACTGTAAGACAATGAGGTAGCACGGTAAGGAAGCAAAGGAGCTGAGCAAGGATGTGTTCTCAGCTAGTGCAGCCTTCACTTGATCCATGGTGAGCTCTAAATTCCCTCACAGAATGCAGAGAACAGCTACAGCATTTGGACAAGTTCAAGCCTGGGACTTCTGAGAGGGCAGGATTCTCTCATGGCAAAGCCATGTGCAAGTTTGAGCACAATTATAGTCAAAGGCTATAGTTGTGAGCTTGACCTTATGGTCTGAACCTGTGGTCCCATGTGGCTGAGTGATATAGGCTGTGGGAGGTACAGCAAGTAAACAAAGCTTGACCAGGTGCATGCAATTGAGTAGATTCAAAACCCATGAGAATATTGTAAACGTCTTGACCACTCCCTTACTTTGCCTCATGGAATCTGGCTGTAAAATAAAGACTCGGCTTGCAGGCCATGGCACTCTCTCCATCAGAGGGCAGCATCCCACCTAGTGCCTAGCCGTTTTCTCTTGTCTGTTTTTTTGTTGTTTTTTTTTTTTTTTTTTTTTTTTTAATCTTTCACTGCCCCTCTCAGGCTCACCCGTCGCCGTGCTGGCTTGGCAAACAGAATTGTCCAGACTGGAGGCAAGGAATCAGGGCTTTTGTATCCCAATATTAGTTGGGCATTGATTGCTTCTGTGGCTGCGGTATAACTTCTAAAGTATTAGGATGAGGAGATTTCTGTCATTTCAGCACATTCTCTGGAGAAGTTCACAAATCTATGCTATTAATTACACCAACAATAGCATTTGGTGGTGGACATACCATCAGATAAAGCCCAACAATGTTGATTTACTCCTAAATGGCTGATTCATTGTCTTTACAGGAAGCCAAACTTGGCCAAAAAGTGGAAATTCTTTTGGTATAAAGAAAAAGCTTGTATTTTGAAATCAGTCTTGGGCTCAGAATTTGACTTAGCTACTAACCATCTAAGCGGTTTGAGGGCAGGTAATATTTTCTATCTAAACTGGTTTCCTCACTTATGCAATGAGAAAGGTAAAAACTATGTCATAGGATTTTTAAAAAAATATTAATTAAGATAATTTATATAAAGTTCTGGTACACTACATGCTGAAAGATTAAAAACAGGTTTCTGGTTAATCATTTAAATCACTTCTCTTTTTTTGTGATTCCTCTTTCTAAAGGAAATAACCATTTGGTGGCTTTGTTTTCCTTGATCCCTAGGAAGTTGATATTTAATTGTGCTTTCCTCAGTATTTCCGTTTCACTGGGTTATATCTGCTAATTCTTCACATTTATTTTTGAAAGGTAAGCTTTTTGGTTACCATGGGTATGTGGTAGTCATTCCAGTTCAGCTGAGTAGTGAAGATCCCTTTAGGACAATTTCCAGAGCTTACTCTTTTGCTTTAGGCAACAATCTAAACACAGATATTCACACTTGGTGGGCAAGATATGAAATCCAGGTTGGGATTTTTATCTGTCCCACTTAAGGAGACAATTTAGGAAATAATATGGATAGATAGTCAAGCAGTCTTCGATGGTTATGAGAAACTTAGTCTTGGGGTTACCAATTCATGAAGCACAACAAACGCACCTTCCATTCCCTTGTCTCTTACTGCTCAGAGACAAAGTGCTGGGTTTCCTCTGCATCCAGCATCATCCAGATAGTTGAAAGTCACACTAAACCTTCCTTTCTCCTTAATTGATCCTGTTCATCCGTTTCACTTTCAGTAAATGCTTCTTCGGTGCAGACACAGACTAGGATGGTTCCTACACCAGAACAGTTTCATAAAGTGAGTCATCCGGTGTTTCATGTATATCAGCACACCCAGGAAGTAAAGAGCTCCTGTTGAAGAATTATAAGGATAACTAGAGGTCTGATGCACAAAATTTATGTTTGGGGTAGGAGAGGTCCCTAAGCCCAGCCTGTGCCTTCTCATAATCCACGAGCCCTCCTCCTAACTGTCCACCTGCTTGCTCCTAACCACCTGCCTGCTCACTCCTTCCTATCAGCATGCTAGATTCTTACTGCTTGGCTCACAGCTCCTTAGTGCTGCTGGGGAGCCAGGAGAGGATCCTGCTACCTATGCTACACTCTCCAGCTGTGAGACTGGCTTCTGACTGAATGGCACTCCCACTATGGGAATGCACTGACCATGAGGGGTCAGCTACTGCATTGAGAGTCTGCCCCCGGTTGTCAGTTTTGTCATAGTGACAGATCCTTCTGATCACCTGGCTATTCTTCCATAGCAGTTGCTGGATATATATATATATATATATATATATATATATATATATATATATATATTCTAAACAAAATATATATATATATATATATATATATATATATATATATATAAAATAATTGTTTAGAATTGATTCTTGAATATTTTCCCACAGACTTATATTAGTGTGTTCTTGGTAGACCATAGGCTAACTAGAAAGAAATTTAAATTTCTATATTAAAAAACTTCATTCTATGAGCAATTCAAACATCAAATTGAAGAAACCACTTCGCTGGACAAGTACTGTTTCTCAGATATTTCCCTTTCTTTTATACTATGCCTTGTAATTCCTGGAGAGCCCACCACATACCTTGAACATCAGGATCTGCATGCCTTCACTTTCTCAGAAAGAAATCATATTTCCAGAAAGAAACTCATTACCTTTGCCATCTGAACAGCAATGAAGTCTTGGGGTTACAATAGTAAATATGTACAGCACCCCACAGGGTACTTGCATCAAGTTCCAGAATCTTCTCCCCAAAAGTTTTTAGCTTTCCCTGACAGATCTGAGCTCAGCACCTGGTCTCCTAGTCATTCCCACCGCCCCTCCCCTTTAGTGACACAGTGTTGGGACTTTGCCAAGGTCCAGTTCCTGTTCCTTAGTTTAGGCACCATTTTGACTGTTATTTACAGAACATTTCTTCATTTTGAGTTGAGGTGTCTAAGAACACTGAGACTCAGCACCATGCCCCCCAAGTGGCAGAGCATTTTCCCAGCCCTGTACCTCTATGGGGTCTTGATCCTCCTGCTGTGCCCTTCAGGCCTGTGTGGTGAGTACAGTGGTTATTGGGGAAAGGAGGTATTTTTTCTAAGGTATAAAGAAAAATGCCAAACAATTAATCAAATGTAGCCAATTGATGGTAGTTTATAACCTTTTGAAAGAGTATAATGAATTATGTTATTAATAAAAATAAATAATTTTAAAATATAAAAGACATTGGTCTAGATCAGGGGTCTGCAACCTTTAAGACATAAAGAGCCACTTGGACCCGTTTCCGAAGGAAAAAAAAACGTGGGAGCCGCAAAACCATTGCGACATTTAAAACAAATATAACACTGCATATATTGTTTCTTACCTTAATGCTATATATTGGATCCTGCAGTTAGCTGTCAATCTGAAGAAAAAAAGGACTTTTTCACTTAACAATGTAAAATATATTTTTGCAAATTAATAGCTAATTAAAATATTTAATTTACCTAGTTAATGGGATTTTTGCTCCTGAACCTCAGTGCACAGTGTCAGCACATCAGGGCTGTAAGACGTTACCTTCATTTTCACACAGGCTTGCCAGTTGTCAGAGCCGCAGTAAAGCTTCAAGAGAGCCGCATGCGGCTCTGGAGCCACAGGTTGCCGACACCTGGTCTAGATAGAGGCTATTATGTCTAGAATAATTGTGTTGATACTTAAAAATTCTTGTGAGGCTGCTTTAGCAAAGAATAATCTTTAATTTTCAAATCAATTTCTTATATTTAAATGCTCTAAAGTATTTAAATAGTTTTACCTTCTAAGTTAATTATGCCATCTACAACCTTAGTTAGTGATTCATTGGGGTGGGGGGAATTCCATCAGTAAAGGAAAAATATTGTCTGTTATCACAAATAATTAGTATTTCTAGAGTAAAAGAGAGGGCACTTGGAGAACTGCAAACAATTATATAAATATAAGGCATTGTTATTAAAGTGGAGAAAATATTTTACAAATGAAGGAGAAATAAAAGATTTTAAAAGAATTAACCAGAACTGTTCTAAGATTTGTTGTTATGCAAATTACTTTTTTGTTATATTATCTAAACGGGGATGTCATTTAAGCAAAATATTTTTCTCTTGTGCTGGATTCATATTTTTACTTTGTCTTCATTATAGAGAGATTTCTATGCATATTCCCTGAAAATGGCTAACATGGCATATAAAATGTAGGATTTCGGATAGCTGGGAGGGAAAATCCTGAATCTAAAATAATAGTTGAGTGCTCTTATGTGAGCTAGCAGCTTGATTTGAAAGTGTGGAAGCCATGCCTTCTCCATCACTGAGAGAGGTGAGGGGGAAAGCATGTGTTTATTAAGGAAGAATTTATAACTGGGAGGTGATTTTTCCCTCAAACACCTGGGCATCACTGAGGAGGAGCATACCTTTAGGTTAGAGAGTCAGTTCAGCATGAGGAACATTCTACCCAGGGGACGTTCAGGCCTCCAAGTTGTCTCTGAGTTCTCCTCTCTTGGAGTCTGAGGTAGCAGAAGAAAACCTTATTAAACTTGTCAACATCTTTCAATTATTCTTCATGTGTCTGTTTCCCTGTCTCTGTTTCTTCTATTTCCTCAAATCTTCCATTATCTACAGCCTCAACCCTTTGAAATGGCATTTAATGTCGGTCAACTTTGACCTGGAATCTCCCTTTCTGATTCTGCCTGCCCTTTTCTTTATAGTAACAATCTTCTGAGGCCAGAGACTTTGCTCATTGCCTCAGTACTGATCTGCCTCTACTATTTTATCAGCTGCTCGCTTCTACCCAACCCTTCAAGATGTATCTCCAACTCATTCCTGGATATCTTCCCCTGATACTCTAGTCCCCATTTCTATCAGCCTTTTCCGTAGAACTCATTTGTTATCCTACTCTGCTAGCACTTGTGTGACTGGTATTGTAGTATAACTTTTTAAATGGCTATCTTATCTAAGTATGTTGCAAGTATGGGCTCTTAATATTACCTGAAAAGCCTAGTACAGAACTCCATATATATGTTATTCATGAAAATTAAGAGCTATTTTTCTTAAACTCACCTAAGGCTAGGATTTTATTGATTTGAGAGAGAGAGAGAGGAAGGGAGAGGAAGAGGAAAACGTTGACTTGTTGCTTCTTGCATACACCCCAATCAGGGATCAAACTCACAATCTGGGTGTGTTCCCTGATCAGGAATTGAACCTATGACACTTCAGTGTCTGGGATAGTGCTCCAACCCACTGAACCACACCAGCCAGGGCAAGAGCTATTTTTTATATTTCTAAGAAAGTACTTAATCTGAGGATAGATAGAAGCTGTTAACTTATACACAGGTGAGATAAATAGAATTTTATCACACAATTCTCATGACTCAACAGGATGTCCTACAATTTTAATTCATTCATAACACTGTCTACCTGGAGGAGTGTCAGATCCCACAGATTAAGGGCTCACTCCCACAAGACTGGTTCCACCCCTCTTGAATGTCATTCACAAGGAGTAGGTCCCCAGATTAACCCCAACTTCTGTCCAACTAGACTATAAATCAGAGGGTCCAAGTACCTCTTCTTGGGTTTGCTTAATTTGTTAAAGTTATATATTTTTAACGTTATATAAAGTTTTATATATATAACTTTAAATATATATTTATAAATATATATATATATTTCTATTATCTCACATCATGCTAGCATCTTGTTGCTCAAGTATAATTGTGTTCCTCAAGTTAAATTTCTGATTATATTAATTCAACAGGATGACTGGTATTGCCAGAAGAGATCATAAAGGGCTTGGAGTTTGAGGGGGCTCTCCCAATTTTTATTTGTCACGTGTGGGTGCGGGGCCAGCACATTTCACATCTCTGCCCTCCTACCAGTATCAATGTGACTTCTTCTTTAATTTCCCAGTTGTAGAACTTCCATTCAGATAGATTTTGGTTGTTTTGAATGATGATTGTTCTGTTTAGTTCCAATTTTGATGTGGGTGTGTGAGGAGGCAAATACTACATTTACTTATGCCGCCATCTTGACTGAAAGCCAATGTAACCTTTTGAGAACATCCTTCTGCATTGTGGGAAGTATAAGTTATTAGAAAGCTTAATAATGATATAACACTAGTAAAGCCATAAGGAGATAAACATTATTTGTCATTGCTCTTGACTAACTTTGAAAATTTACATTTTCATCCAGGTTTAATTCAACTTCTCATTTTGCAGGCCCCTAATGCAATTATTTATTATAATTGGAAGGAAATGACTGGATTGAACTACTTTAGCAAATCAGGGACAGAGAGCGAGGTCTCAAGGTGTCTTGGGTACCCTTGTCTGGTTCCCCAATCTGTCTTGTGTGGCAAACTCTTCTAAAGGTGGAAATGAGTTGATTAGCCATAGGAGCCTCCTCATGGTGATTTTACCAACCTCACTCTTTATTAGCCTCACTTTCCATTTTTCAGAGGTTTGTTGTCCAGTACCAGAGTTGAAGCATGGCGAAATCACTGCGCGAAGACCACCAAAAAAAGTTGTAGCCAATAAGTGTGAATATTTCTATGGAGATTCAATTTCCTATTCATGTGGTGGGAGACGCAACTCTGAAGCTTCATGCCAAGGAGATGGCACCTGGAGTCCTGAAACACCAACATGTGGAGAGAGTAAGAGCTTATGGAATGATGTTATCTTAGAAGTTTCTTCATATCCAAGTGTTGAGGGTTATTAAGGGAAGGGTTCAAATTAGGTAAAAAGAATTTCTATACTCTGCATGATTCTTAGAATGGATACAGTTGTTTAATGGCACTGTCTCCAATCTGAATTTCTCTTTTTCCCCCTAATGGTTGTTGCTCCCATTTTCTTGACCTTCCTGGTTTCCTTTCCCTAATCAGTAAAATTAGGCCACATCTCATAGAGCAGCTAGACTTCTGAATTACTGTGTTCTGTTTCTTGGTATTTATTGTCTTCTCTTCCATTGTTCCTGGTCCATATTCCTTAACCTGCAGAACAAGGCTCCCAAATCTATTTGCACTTGCTTCCTTTCTTCTGCTGCCTCTCAGCCCTTCTTCAGCCTATTTGACAGTGTGAAATGCTTACCTCTTCCCTCACCAAGAGCACTTAAGTACTAAACACAATCCTCCCATCTCCTACTGTTTTTCCCTAACCTGATCTGTTGATGGCCAGGAATAAGCATTGCTACCTGAATAGTGATTCTTTGCCTTGCCTTCTGAAACAAGGAGCCCAAAGGAGCTTCAAAGTGACCAGGTATCAGTCACAGTTGAGAAGTCAATGGGACTCTTATCTCCCCTAGTTGAAGTGTTTCCACTTTGCCTACCAGTGCTTTTCTATCTACAGATCACAGAGTTCAGGGATAAGAAGCACATTTTCCCCAAAAGTTCACTTAGAGTGACTATAAATGGGGTTACTCATGCTTCCATCTCTTGGTTTCTAGGCTCATAGACTTTATTTTTATTTATTTATTTATTTATTTATTTATTTAATATAATGGTTGATCTTTGACTTAAAGTGAATACTGTGTTCTTAAAGTTACTGTAAGTAATATTGTAAAGTCCCATTATTGTAAGGCACTGCCTCTCTACAGGCACTTCAGCTAAGCCTTTAACAGGCCATTCGAATGTCCTAACACATCTACAGGTTCTAGGTGACAGTTTGTAATATAAGGAGTGCATTTTATGGTCGCATCCCAATGCCGTACCTCTTTTGCTGTAGGTGGCATGTAGTGGGAATCCTCTGCCAATTGTTTAAACACTCTGTAATCCTTCAGACAGCAGGGCTGACTGAAATCCTGTAGGCAGGAGAGGAAAACCCATACCTGGAATAGCTGTCTCTTTCTGTCAGAATAAATAGCTGTTTTTTTCCCCCCCAAATGGAAGGGGATCTGACATAGTCATCAACCAAGTGACTTTTTGGTGGTGTCAAGGGATAATATCACATCAAAGACTTAGCATTGTTGCTAGCAGGTTGGATAGTCAGTGACAGTAATTGATCGTCAACCTTGGGAAGTAGGAGTTCATGCTGCTGGGCTGATGCTTTTCCTTCTTTCATGTCACCTTGACCACTTTATCCATTTCTTCTTGTGACAGCTCTGCTGAGGACAATGACAGAGGATAGCTGACTAAGGCATTCTTTTTTACTTACTTGTTTAATGCCTCTTAAATTGGGGGTGCTTGCCAGGTGTTAATATGCAAAACAAAGCTTGACACTTCCTGGTCACTCCCATATGTCCAGTCACCAGATCTCCTTGTGCCCAATATTCCAATCTTTGTCGTTAAGGCTATGACAGACAAACTACTCATTCCAAGCCACAAACCTGAATTTGGTCTACCCATAGGCCACTTGTTTTTTTCAAAAAATAGAATGAGCAGATATATCACCTAAATCTCTGCCTATCAGAAATATTTCCCTTTACTACTGACCTTTGAGATCACCCTGATTGGGCTCTAATGCAGCTTCCATGCAATTTAGCTTGTATACACATATTACAAATATTCTTCTGTGAACCACGGTCAACCTTTCCTCTGCTGGGTAAGCTTGCTTGTAATGGATACTTCATAAAGCCATAAGTGGAGCTAAGAGAGAGGCACTAGAGCCACAGTGAATGGGTATAAGCAAGATGAGGGCTCCTTGTTTGTGCAACTTGCTTGTGCTTTCTGGTCTTGCTCATGCTCAATTCAAGATGCACCACATGCATCTTATAATGGATGCTTGCCTGCCTGACTTTATAACGTGATGGGTCTTACAGACCCAACTCATGTTGAGTGATTCAGTCTGCATGATCACATGATGACCAAGGCCAAGAGCTGTCATTATCAAGACTAAGTAACATGCCGGGAATTCTATTTTAATGACCCAGTATGGAGAATGGGGAACTACCAATTTTGTTTATCAGATTATACTTTTGAAGACTATAGAAATGACCACCATGTGGTCTATTAGGGTGCCATCATGGTTCTTCAGCACCAGGCTTAAGGGAGGGCAGCATAGGAACTTGGGTTGGGCTAAGTGATTCTTGGGCAGAGAAGATGGCAGGACAGGACAGAACCTGCAGAGACCACACAGATTCTGGGACATGCTGTTCTTTATGTCCTATAAGCTCACGCTCTCTCACTTTATGTCTTCCCAACAAGGTTGCTTTTATCCTCCTGTCATTGACCATGGACATCCTAAACTAACTACACACACATTCACACCAAATGAGGCTAAATATGAATGCTATAGAGGATACATTCTGTTTGGAAATCCCACTATCACCTGCAGTTATTCACGCTGGTCTGGTCCACCTCCTCAATGCAAAGGTAATTCCAGCCCATGGCTAAGTGGGAGGAACTGTTATGCAGGGATTGAGAATAACGTTTCTTTCCAGCCAGAGGCAGAACAAAAACATGATTTATTTATTTTAAACAATTACTATATCCAAATGGTACCCAAAGCAAGCAAAAGTACAAGGGGTATACAGAATCATTAATCTTCCCTATTTCTTTTTCTCCATTTACAAAATTCAGCCTCCTTGAGGCAGCCCTTGTTCACATTTTCTTTTTCTTAAATATATTTTACTGATTTTTTTTTTTTTTTTTTTTTTTTTTTTACAGAGATGAAGGTAGGGGGATAGAGAGTTAGAAATATCAAAGAGAGAGAAACATTGATTAGCTGCCTCCTGCACACTCCTTACTGGGTTGTGCCTGAAACCAAGGTACATGCCCTTGACCGGAATCAAACCTGGGACCCTTGAGTCCGCAGGTCGATGCTCTACCCACTGAGCCAAACTGGTTAGGGCTGTTCCACTTTCTTATATCTCTCTGGAAATAGTCCACAGAAAGTACATTTTCTTGTAGCCTGAAGCAAAATTTTTATAAAAACTTGCTCTGGCATGAACGTAGGCTCTCAGGGGCTGATTCCAAACACCAGGAAGTGAGCCTCATGCAATGTCAGGTACCATCTGCCAATGCGGAGGCCTGTGGTGTGGCATTCCTAGGTTGCAAACTGATGTGGGGATGGGCGGTGGGAAGATCTGGCTTGCTTTTTACAAGCACCCAGGTTTAGGGTCACTTTGCCATCAACAACTCCAGGAATTATTTGTCACCATTGGTTCTTTGGCTCATGAGAGGCCAATGAGCAAGAGAGAACATTCCATCCCCAGTGTTTTGTAGGGATCACAATATGAGGGATTGTTGCTTTGATGGCTGAGTCTGGGGTCCTGTGCCTTTTTTATATATGTAATTTAAAGATGCTATGTCTTCAACAAGTTTCTTAACCCGTCTCTATTCATTTTTTCTTATTTAAATGGGAATAATAACAGTGCTCACTGTTGAGCACTTTATAGAGGGGAGTGAGACTTCAATGAGATAATCACATAAAATGGTTAACCCTGAAGAATGATATGAACCAAGATCTATTAAAATGGGAACTAATATTATTGCTCTCAAAAGAAAAAAAGATAAGACAATGAGCAGCACCTACATGTAGTTCATTTTAATCATCCCAGCCTGTGGTAAGTATCCTTTACTTAGATTTACAGATGGCTTAACTGTGCATTCCTTGTAGCTCTGTGTCCAACACCAAAGATAGAACATGGAAATCTGCTTGTGGGTAAGAATCAGTTCCTTGAAAGTGAAAATGTCACCATCCAGTGTGACTCTGGCTATGCTGTGGTTGGTCCTAAAAACATCATCTGCTCAAAGGACAGAACCTGGTACCCAGAGGTGCCCAAGTGTGAGTGGGTAAGTGGCACAATTTAAGGAACTTCCTGTGCTTTCAAGCCCTAAAATGGCACCTCCCCAAATCACTGTCCCAGCCAGATAAGCCAAGATTTGACTTGACAGGACTCTTTTCTTTCTTTATTCCTCCCTCCCTCCCTCCCTCTCTCCCTCCCTCCCTGCCTCCCTCCTTTCCTTCCTTCCTTCCTTCCTTCCTTCCTTCCTTCCTTCCTTCCTTCCTTCCTTCCTTCTTTTCTTCCCTTTTCTTTTTTTTTAAACATATTTTATTAATTTTTTTACAGAGAGAAAGGGAGAGGGCTAGAGAGCTAGAAACATCGATGAGAGAGAAACATCGACCAGTTGCCTCCTGCACACCCCTGCTGGGAATGTGCCCACAACAATGTACATGCCCTTGACCAGAATCAAACCTGGAACCTTTCAGTCCGCAGACCTAAGCTCTATCCACTGAGCTTAACCAATTTTGGTGACAGAACTCATTTCTGAATCATTCAAAAAATCTCTCTTGTTTTCCCTTGGAGCACACATTTAGGATGGCAAGTTTTCCTACTCTCACTTAGAACAGGAAAAGCTGAGCCCCTTAAGAAGAGGAGGCTCTCAGAGAGCTGGGAGTGCTCCTACATTTTTCCTTTTCTAGATTGTATAATACACTGTGTTCCATGCCTGGATGGGTAGCCGAAATAGCCTCTGTCCTGACAGAGGCCTTATAGGTAGTGTCTCAAGAAGATCTATATCCCTCTGGGGAAGACTACAGTGGGGCCCGTGGTCTCCTGGTCTTCCTGCTCTCCCATCACTCCTGAGGGTGGTCTTGGATCTGACCCTCTGTCCTGCATTGTCATGATCTCAGAGAAGCCTCCCAACCACTCAGCACCTGTGTCTCTTTTAGGTGGTCCCTGCAGGCTGTGAGCAAGTGCTAGCAGGCAAAAAATTCATGCAGTGTCTGCCTAACCCAGAGGATGTGAAGACAGCCTTGGAGTTATATAAACTGTCTTTGGAAATTGAACTCCTGGAAATGCAGAAAGACAAGGTGAAGAAATCCATTCTGGAGTCACCACTCTGATTTTTCCCAGAAGAGGCAAGGAAAGGTGCTCTGCTGCCTTCCATTCAACATGGGTCACTTTAGTTTAGCAACTCTGCCATTCTTTTGCATTGAAATTAATACCCTAAAATATGATCATAATGCCATTTTTTTTTTTTTGCTATTGCTTTGAGATGATAGAATTGCTGGTAATCTTGTGTTTCACATTTTTTGCCTTTTGGACACAAAGTGCACATTTTTTCCATTAAAAATTTATATACTTATAGAGCACAATTTTGTCTTTGTAGTCATTGAGGTCCATATACAAACCCCAAAATGTATTTACATAAAGTTACTACATTAATTGTATTGTATTGGTCTTGCTGTGGATTTGTGTTTGCATCAGTTATATTTCCCTGGATTACCTCTAGTCCATGTTCTCACCTGCAAATCACTAGGTCCTCAATATTTACAATAATTGTCAACACGCCTCAAAAGTCTTGTCCATTCTCTCCTATTTGAAGAGATTTACATCCTTTCTAAACCCCAAGTGCTTGGTCTCTGATTTGCTATAGCTGCCTTTCATTCTTCATCTTATACCAAGGGCATTTATGTTGTATCTGACCCACTTATTTCATCCTCAGAGAACAAACTCTGAAAGCTCGATGAATGTGAAGCCCACATGGCAGTCCCCTGGGCATTTGAAAGTCTTTCATCTGATCTGGTTCTCCTTTTCTTCAAATAGAAAAATAAAGAGCCATGAGAAACCCCATACCAATCGCTTGTATAGCTTGAGGTATGTTGGAGGCTCTATTCACTTCCACTCATCACTTCTTTGCATCCTCTGCAATGAGGTCCTTATACAAATGCAACAGTGTTTTTACATAAAGTTACTGCATTCATTGTATTGTGTGGGTCTTGCATGTGGACTTGGGTCCTCACTCATATTTCAGCTCCACTGGCTCTCCTGCCTTTCCCTAGTACACAGCACCTTATGCTGAACCTTGGCCTCTTTTGTTTAATTTTCCCAAACATACTCTGAAGAGGGATTGGTGTAGAGCAGCTTTCAGTAAATTACAGATATCACAGAGGGGCTGAGGCTGTTAGAAAAACCCACTTAGTGGGAGGTACCTATCCATGGTATTGATACTATTATCTGCTCCTGCTACCAGGAATTCCTTTTGCTTCATGTTTATTTTGAGTTTCCCTTGAGGCAAGGGTTTGTGGTTACCTATTTTCTCTGAGAGGTGGCCCTGGAACGCACGATGAGTGGGTGGGTTATAAGGTGAAGAAGGGAGGGCAGTCTAAAGAGGGAGCAGTGCTGAGGGGATTATTATTGCTGTTGCTGATAGGAGATCAATTATGCTGACAGCCCTATGAATGTGTGTGGAACCCAACTATGATTTGTCCTCTGGAGAATGAAGACCTTGGGTATTTAGTGAATAGGTCTTGCTCTTAGGACATCTGACCACACTGCAGATCAACTAGGCATGCTCCTGACCAAGCTGACACTGGTTACCAATGGCACCTATGGGACTGTGTGGGGTAACCTCCAGGGTAGGGAAATGGACAGACAAAGCAGACACTGGGGTTGGAAGTTGTCCAGAGTGTGCCAAAGTGAGAGGGCCCTGGTGATCTTGACAGGGATTTGACAGTGTCTGCCACACACTTTGACATGCAATGGAGGTTTTCTTGTCTGTGTGCTTGCTTTCCTGTTCTATCTGCCTTTGTTTTCTAATTCATGTTCTCCTCTCTCTTTCTTTTTTTTTTTTAAATACATTTTATTAATTTTTTATAGAGAGGAAGGAAGAGAGATAGTTAGAAACATCGACGAGAGAGAAACATCCATGAGCTGCCTCCTGCACATTCCCTACTAGGGATGTGCCTGCAACCAAGGTACATGCCCCCCACCGGAACCGAACCTGGGACCCCTCAGTCCGTAGGCCGATGCTTTATCCATTGAGCCAAACCGGTCAGAGCTGTTCTACTATACTGTTATGATTATATCCCGAATTTGGCCTTTAGTTTAGCCTCCCAACTAACTGAGACAAAAGTTTCTTTAAATACTGACGAGGAGGCCTTCTGGATTTCACACTTGGGTTTGAATTGTAATTGATTGCCTTGGTCTTTCGTTTGTCAGCTAAGGGACACTGAGTCTGTATTAATGGTACTCAGTCACCCAGTTTCACAACCATTAATTCCATTTCTACTGTCCCTCTCAGATGTCAGAGTTATTGTACAAGCCAATGCACCTCCTTCCATCTACATCCTATGGCACTTAGCAGGTGAAAATGTTCATAGTTGCAATGCTATAGCAAGCCAGGACTACAATACTTCACCCATGACTAGTGATTGGCAGTTGGTTGGTGGGTGATCCAACTCTACAATTCCACTCTTAGAGTTCGCCTTTGAGGCTTCTGCATTTGAACAGATTCAAGCCTGGGACTACTGAGAGGGCAGGATCCTCTTGTGGCAAAGCCACATGCAAGTCCCAGCACAATTATAGCCAAAGGCTATGGTTGTAAGCTTGACCTTATGGTCTGAACTTGTAGTCCCATGTGGCTAAGTGATATAGGCTGTGGGAGGTGCAACAAGTAAACAAAGCTTAATCGTGTGCATGTAATTGAGTAGATTCGAAACCCATGAGAACATTGTAAACATCTTGACCATATCCTTAATTTGCCTTGTGGAATCTGCCTATAAAATAAAGATGGCTTGCAGGCACTGGCACTGCGTCCCACCTAGCGCCCAGCTTTCTACTCTTGCTTGTCTTTTCTTAATCCTTCACCACACCCTCTCAGGTTCACCCATGGTCATGCCGGCTCGACACACAGAATTGTCCAGACTGGAGGCAAGGAATCAGGGCTTTTGTATCCTAATATTAGTTGGGTATTGGTTGCTTCTGTGGCTGGGATATAACTTCTAAAGTATTAGGATGAGGAGGCTCCTGTCATTTCAGCATATTCTCTGGAGAAGTTCACAAATCTATGCTATTAACTACACCAATAATAGCATCTGGTGGTGGACATACCATCGGATAAAGCCCAACAGTGTTGATTTACTCCTAAATGACTGATTCATTGTCCTTTCGGAAAGTTAAAATTGGCCAAAAAGTGGAAATTCTTTTGGTTAAAGAAAAAGCTTGTATTTTAAAATCAGTCTTGGGCTCAGAATTTGACTTACCTGGTAGCTACTTACTAAGCAGTTTGAGGGCAGATTACTTTTTCTATCTAAACTGGTTTCCAAAATTTATGCAATGAGGAAGGTAAAAACTATGTCATAGGGTTTTTTAAAATTAATTATAATAATTTATATAAAGTTCTGGTACACTACATGCTGAAAGATTAAAAGCAGGTTTCTGGTTAATCATTTAAATCACTTCTCTTTTTTTGTGATTCCTCTTTCTAAAAGAAGTAACCATTTGGTGGCTTTGTTTTCTTGATCCCTAGGAAGTTGATATTTAATTGTGCTTTCCTCAGTATTTCAGTTTCACTGGGTTATATCTGCTAATTCTTCACATTTATTTTTGAGAGGTAAGCTTTTTGGTTACCATGGGTATGTGGTAGTCATTCTAGTTCAGCTGAGTAGTGAAGATCCCTTTAGGACAATTTCCAGAGCTTACTCGTTTGTTTTAGGCAACTATCTAAACACAGATATCCACACTTGGTGGGCAAGATATGGAATCCAGGTTGGGATTTTTATCTGTCTCACTTAAGGAGACAATTTAGGAAATAATATGGATGAACAGTCAGGCAGTCTTCGATGGTTAAGAGAAACTTAGTCTTGGGGTTACCAATTCATGAAGCATAACAAACGCGCCTTCCATTCCCTTGTCTCTTACTGCTCAGAGACAAAGTGCTGGGTTTCCTCTGCATCCAGCATCATCCAGATAGTTGAAAGTCACACTAAACCTTCCTTTCTCCTTAATTGATCCTGTCCATCCTTTTCACTTTCAGTAAATGCTTCTCTGGTGCAGACACAGACTAGGATGGTTCCTACACCAGAACAGTTTCATAAAGTGAGTCATCTGGTGTTTCATGTATATCAGCACACCCAGGAAGTAAAGAGGCTCCTATTGAAGTATTATAAGAATAATTATTGTTTGGACTAGATTCTTGCGTATTTTCTCACAGACTCATGTTAGTGTGTTCTTGGTAGACCATAGGCTAATGAGAAAGAAATTTAAATTTCTACATTAAATAACTTGATTCTATGAGCAATTCATACCCCAAATTAAAGAAACCACTTTGCTGGACAAGTACTGTTTCTCAGATACTTTCCTTTCTTTCATACTATGCCTTGTAATTCCTGGAGAGCCCACCACATATCCTGTGCATCAGGACCTGCAATCCTGGTGCCTTTTCCTTTGTTTACTCAGAGAGGAATCATATATCCAGAAAGAAACTCATTACCTTTACCATCTGAACAGCAGTGAAGTCTTGGGGTTATAATAGTAAATGCGTACAGCACCCCACAGGGCTCTTGCCTCAAGCTCTAGACTCTTCTTCCCAAACCTTATCAGCTCTCCCTGACAGATCTGAGCTCAGCACCTGGTCTTCTAGTCACTCCCACTGCCCCTCCCTTTTAGTGACACAGTGCTGGGATTTCTGCCAAGGCCAAATTCCTTGGCTTAGGAACCATTTGAATGTTACTTTCAGAACATTTCCTCATTTTGAATCAAGGTGTCTAAAACGCCGAGCCCAGTGTGGCACCTCTGAGACTCAGCACCATGCTCCCCAAGTGGCAGAACATTCTCCCAGCCCTGTACCTCTATGGGGTCTTGACCCTCCTGCTGTGCCCTTCAGGCCTGTGTGGTGAGTACAGTGGTAATTGGGGAAAGGAGGGAGGTGGTTTCTCTAAGGTATAAAGAAAAATACCAAACACTTCATCACATGTAGTCAATTGATGGTAGTTTATAACCTTTTTGAAAGAGTATAATGAACTATGTTATTAATAAAAATGAAGAATTTTAAAATATAAAAGAAATTGATCTAGATAGAGGCTGTTATTATGTCTAGAATAATTGTGTTGATATTTAAAAATTCTTCTGAGGCTGCTTTAGCAAGGAATAATCTTTAATTTTCATATCAATTTCTTATATTTAATGTTTAAAATACATTTACCTTCTAACTAAGTTAATTATGC